GATGCTATGTTAACATTTGATGGTACCGAAGAAGTAGATGACATTTCAGACCCTAAACCGGCTCTAGCTTCAGGACCCATGACGTCCCTTCAGACCAAGATGATTCGAACGGGACTTAGAAACCCTGCTACGAGTTATATGCTATTGCGTATGACTCTCCCACCTTCAGGCAATGAATTCAGTGGGGAAACACTCCAATCCGCGTGGCACCAAGTCATTGAGAGACATTCGATCTTTCGCACAGCCTTCAATCTCAAAGATCAAACACAACATGTACGACAGAAGCTTGAGCTTGACTGGCAAAATGAGGAAACAACTCGCGATCAGCTAGAACCTGTGATTCGGACTCGCTCCCAAGAATTGCGCAAGAGGATCTCATACTTGGAAGATGGAGATACATTTATCCCTATTTCAGCCTATCGCTTGATCACAGTTCCCAATGTTGCTTCTACTTTCTTGGCTCTGGTGCACCATAGTTTAGTGGATGGTTGGTCATTCAGTATCATATTAGAAGAGCTCCGTCTAGCATTGGATGGCAAGCCGCTCTCAGAGCCTCCGCAATTCATCAATATTGCCCTGACTCAAAAGCGGCTGCAGCAAGACCCTCAAGGCAATGAATTTTGGGAAAAATGCTTAGCAGACAGATTGGCGCAACCGAAGCTGAGGCTACCGAAACCATCGGCCAATGTTCCAGTGGCTGAATGGTCCAAGAGCCTGCAAGTCAACCTTGGATTTGGATCGAAAGAACTTGAAGCCAAAGCTCGCCTTCGACGTATTACACCAGCGACCACAATATATACAGCATGGGGATTGGTGTTATCAAATTATAGCTTTTCTGACCGACTGGCTTTTGGTGTGGTGTTTTCTGGAAGGAATATCGATGCAGCGGGAGCCGATCGAGTCGTCGGGCCTCTGCTCAACACATGCCCATTTTCCCTCGAGTTCAAAGAAAGCCAATCCGTGGCTGACATACTTTCAGAAGCTCAGAGTCAGCTCCTACGGATGCTCGAGTTCCAGTGGTGTGCTGATAATGCTCTGGCCAGAATGCCATCCGAAAGAATAGCCAATGCTTTCCAGACAATTGTGGTCGTGGAGTACGATCTTCCGTCGCAGTCGGGATCTTGCGAGGCAATCCCAGAGGCATGGAAAATTGAACGAGAAGACATGATGGAATTCGGCATAACTCTGCTGCTTGAGGATGAAAGCGATGGCAGTCTTCGGGCCCGCATTCTGTACGATGGCGCGCTATATACCGAGCAGAGTATCGTTGGCCTTCTGAACCATTTTAAGCGTGCGATCGAGGGGTTACTCGACTGCGGCAATAGTCAAATACAGCAAGTTAGAAACCGTATAATTCTGGAAGAAGAGAGAAAGATGCTTTTAAGTCCATTGGAACAAGAGCGAGGAAGCGACTATCAAGGATACGATACAGTTAAAGATGCTTTTGAAGCTGCTGCAGCGAAGTGGCCAGGTTTAACAGCTTTGGAGTCGACCTATGGTTCAATGACTTATCGAGAGTTGGATGAATCTGCTAACAAGCTGGCCAACCATCTCCGATCCATAACGAAACCTGGAGGTGTCGTTGGTATTCTTACCGATGGATCCATCCACTGGGTTATAGCTATTCTGTCTGCTCTCAAAGCGGGCTGTATATGCTGTCCCATTGATGTTAGTCTTCCAGCAGCACGGATTGAAGTCATTATCCAACAAAGCGGTGCCACCATTTTTATCGCCGCAAACCAAGATTGCGCGCGGGTGCTTCGGGACTTTCAAGGAAATCGTACCATAGTTTCTGACGAGTTTCTCGCGTCGCGCAACACGCCTTCAGTCTCACCTGACACTATTTCAAAGCCGAAAGATGTCATCTATCTTGTTTTCACTTCAGGAAGCACCGGTGTTCCGAAAGGTATAATGACCTGTCCACTGTTTGCATTCAATTCCTTGAACACGACGTTGACTTCTACTATAGGCGTTGCTTTGCATAACCACAGTATTCTTATGGTCATCAACGATGATCTAAACCGAATGTTCTCTGGTCCTGGCCGCCGACATGCTCAGGTTTACGCTCTCGGTGAGTGAAACACGTTTCATTTATATATTTCATACAGCAAAAAAATATCTCTGACGTTTATTTACTCACCCTTTTGTTGAACAGGCTTCGATGTAGTGCTCGTTGAGTTATTTGGATCACTCTGTTATGGTGGGACACTAGTTTTGAAAGACCCCAGTGATCCTCTGGGGCACCTCAAGCGTGTAGATGCAACCTATTCTACCCCATCACTGCTAGCAGCTATGTCGCCAGAAGAATTCCCCAACCTCGAAACGATTGGTCTTGCCGGAGAACCTGTTCCCCAGAGCCTCGCAGATAGGTGGTCACATAAGCGCTTGTTCAATTTTTACGGACCGAGCGAGGTGAGTCACAGTCAATCTTTAGACATATGTAGATGGACTTATGAGAGAGTCGACTGACACTGCTGGTTGCTGGTGAAAGTGTGGACCTATCTCGACTCGAACTGAGCTTCGCCCTGGAGAGCAAGTCACCATCGGAAGAGCAGTCCCCCATCTGGATATCTACCTATTAGACCATCACCGGTGTTTAGTTCCACTTGGAGTCACAGGAGAGATTTACATCTCCGGAGAACAAATTACTGACGGATACTGGAATCTTCAATCCGAAACTTCAAATTCATTTGTTCCAAACCCTTTCTCTCCTGGCAAAGTCATGTATAAGACAGGAGATCTCGGTTATTGGACACAAGACATGAAAGTGGTCTACGTGGGACGAATTGACAACCAGGTAAAATTGCGGGGATTCCGAATTGAAATGGAAGAAGTCGAACGCGCTTTTCTGCGTGCTGATTCCTCCATACAAAGCGCTGTTGCAATTGTCGTCGACCGTGTCCGTCTTGTCGCCTTTGTCACGCCAAGTACCGTTGATGTTTTATCAGCTGGACGAATGGTCAAGAAACTCCTACCCGCCTACGCTTGTCCTGCCCAAGTAATAGCGATAGAATCCTTGCCACAGTCGTCTAATCTCAAAATTGACCGCAAAGCTCTTCGGGAGTTGGCTACTGAAAACCTGGACCAAGGAGATGCACCGTCAACGCCGACAGAAAAGATGATAGCAGAAATCTGGAGAAAAGTTCTCGACTTCCAAGATCATGATAATGAACGGAAAATTTCCCGAGATGATGATTTCTTGGCTATTGGTGGAAACTCTCTATTAGCTATCAAGGCAGCTCGGTTAATCGCTGAGCGAACGGGTCATCACACTCCGGTACTACTTCTCATCAGAGAAACAGTCCTATCGAATCTTGCAAAGGAAATCGATCGATTTGCAGCTCTTGATGAACTAGAAGATGGAATTACTACATTCAAGTCGTTCCTATCCACTCTGTCCGCACCGCCAAGTATAATGGCGGCCCAAATACCGTCGCAACTCGAAGAGGAGTTCTATTTATGGCACACCATGTCGAACACGAAGTCGCTTTTCAACACAGCATTCCAATTCATCATTAAAGGTGATGTCAACCTTGAACTGCTGAAGGCATGTTTGATCTCTGTAATTCATGAGAACCCAATTCTTCGAGCGCGCTATGTCCTCAAAGAAGGGTCCATATACCGACTCGTCAGCGATAAAGTTACTCCACCTTCGGTCTTCTCAGGGCGATCTATAGATTCCAAGGACCTACAAGCCCTGATCGATAAACCTTTTGATCTGGCTCATGACCAACTTACTAGGGCGGTTATCTGTACGGAGAAAGATAAGCATGCTACGACAAAGACGTCGCTCTCACTTATAACGCATCACATCATTACAGATAAGGCATCACTGGCCCTTTTGCTACAATCAATTAGCCAAAAATACCTAGCAGCAGCTGATGCCGCTGTTTGCAATGGGCAAGGTGATGATGAAAATACGCACAAGGGCACCTACATCGAATGGACGCAGTGGCTTCAAAAGAACAGTTTTCTGCCTGCAACGCTAACAAAATTGGCGAAGCGAGAGTTTTGGAACGATCGTGTTAGAAGAATAGAGACAGTTCCGTTATTAAGCAAACGTGAACTTGGGCGGCCGGGTCATGAGATACCTGGTTATGAATCCATCCTCATCCCAACTACGGATGGCAAGGGATTTTCGCAGCGTATGGCCCTAGCTGCGGCCGCAATCACACTTTTCTTAGTGTTCGGTAATAGCGACATTGTATTTGGAATTCCATATATGAATCGAGACGAGCCTGGGGCGGCGAACATTATGGGTCTCCTTCTCGACAGGCTACCAGTGCGCATAAAACTCGATGATAATAACATGGCAGACTCTAGTATGCTCATTAACGATATTGTGTCGGAAGTTAACCTTTCGGTTGAAAACCAGATGCCTTATTCTGAAATTTTACAATTGGCAAAGGATCGAAGATCTCTCTTTGATGTTGTGGTGATTTATCACTGGCAGTCCGACGCACTGGAACACTCCCTCAAGATACGTGGTGCTCAAGTTTCCAGCAATCGCATTCGAGCGCGAGGAACCAAGTTCACATTGCAGCTAGAGTTTAGCGAGCAGGATGATGGACTACACTGCGGCATCGAGTACAATGCTGCCGTTCTGTCTCCACCGCAAATGGCAGCGATTGTGTCCTTCATTCCGACCGTCTTCAAGGGCCTTATATCTGGCTCGGCACCAGCTGAAATTCTTTCCTCATTTGGACCATTGAAGGACTATAATCCATTGGAAGCTATGTTATCTTACCACAGGAGGGTTAACGAGGTTCGCAAGGCTTTTTCTGAGGCACTAGGCATTCATACAGAGGGCATTACACCCGAGACGACACTGTATGACCTGGGAGGAACATCTATAACAGCACTCCGGCTTCACTATTTATTAGGTGAGAAAGGGTTACGTGGAGATTTGTGCGATATACTTAGAGCGCCTTCTCTAGGAGAGATTGCCTGGATGTTCCAGTAAAGTAGATCGTACAACATTGAGAGTGAGATTTAGAGTGGGCGCAACGGACAATTTTTGACTCTCCAAACAGAGATTCTATCTATTAATCAGAGAAAATATGGTTCGCTATCTGTCAAATGTTACCACCTCTATAACATGAGTAGGCTACCCCGTGGATCAAGGTACCTAGACATAGCAACATGTAACATTTATAATAAGAACGGTGAAATCAGATTGTAGACTCCCCGTCATAACATGTACCCATTTCCTTTCCATGCCTTCGGACCTCAGCTAGGGCATCTGCCACTCGCTTCAAGGTTACATACAAGATTTGGGAATCTATAGGCTGATAACGACTCTCGGTCTCCGTCGATGAGATGCTGTCAATACGCTGACGGACTATGTTCACAGTAGACTTGCTCTTTGCCATAATGCGATTTACTAGCAACAGTTTCACCGCAGTGCCTTCTTCCTCGGACACATTCCATGTGCCAAAGTTGATAGAAGGCGGCTTATGAGCGTCCCGACTTCTCGCATTGTTGCAATTGATGATGGCCCAGTTAAAAACAGTCTGCAACAAGACCATGATCAGGAAAAGAACCTGGCTGTCTAACCAGCAGGGGTCGCACGCAAGAGCACGGCTTGAGCAGTCAAGAATCATTGTGGCCATAGACAATATAATGTCGAGACGCCGATTCCCTTGCTTGCGCTCAATGCCACTGAGAGAGCATTGCATTCCGGTGAGCATCTTCAGGCAAATGCAATTAGACAGTGACGATACCGTCTGTCTCTGCTCGCCTCTTATAGGTGGAAATTGCTTAGGCCTTTTATGAACCTCATGAGGAGAATTAGGAGAATTCGAGTTCGAGTTCGAGTTACTGGGCTGCATCAACGACGGCGGAGACCCATTTGCTGCCACTTCATAGCTGCCAATCCGCGATCGACGCCCTACACCTGAGTCGCCGTCTGGGCCATTGGACGGGATATCGGTGTTAGGATTGCTAGTAAATAAGATATCAAGGAAATCTATACCAGTTATTACACACGATTGCTGGCAAACTACCTCCAACCAGAAATAGAAGGCTCTTACCTGGCACGAATTGAGGATCTTTACCAGTCGGAGATTGCGAAGAGAAGAATAGTGGCATTTCAAAATCCAATATACTGCTCAGCTCCATGCTTAGATCGGGAGTGGGATCATTTATGACGGGTGTGCATGCGGTGCATGAAGGTGCTGTGATGGATAAGGTTGTGGGTATAGAAGCATTGGCGTCAGACGGTGGCGATATTGTTGTTGTTGCTGGCATGTCTTTCTCCTGTTCGTCTTGGTGAGTGTTTAGCATTATTGGCCAGTCGCCTTGAAATGCGTTGTTTGCTGAGGCTTGAATACACGCATTGATGGTGGAATTTGCGCCGCCGGCGATTGCGAGGCCTAGCCTTTCGAGCGTTCTTTTATTCCGGCTGCCTTTTGGCTTCCCCAATTTTGCCATGTAACTATATGTACATGGAAGATTGCTAGATATGAGGTTATTCATGGCCAATCTTTGCTTGCGCCCTTGGAATCCCGTTATCGCGGGCTTTCGGTTCTCTTACGTACGAGTTGCAGCACTTTTTGCACGGCTGGCCTCCTGAGCATCGAACTTTGGACGCATGACAGACATCGCAGGCAGACCGAAGTCGCCTGCGCTGCTGGCTTGCTGAGACTTCCATTATTATATCTCAATGGTCATGCCAGCGTAGTGGCAGAGGTCATCAATCCGGGAGCACCTCTTAACGCGCTCGAGGTAGAGTGTTTGATGAAATTCGCGCTCGGGGACTTTTCGTGTCCCTCCAACTGTCAGTGCTTACGAAGGCTGCCTTGACCAGCGTTGGTTGGACATTCACTTCTTGCACAGGGGTATCGGCGAGTAGGTGGGGGTAATGTTGCATCGATTTATGCATTCCTATGGAGCGATACGTATGTAATACTGTAATACTGTGTCTATCTCGAAGGAATTACGTGAGAAAGATGCATGTGCTGACCGGGCGAGATGTCCGGGCATCTTGGCACCTTAGGAATCTTGTGAGATAAAGCGGAAGGGGGAATGGTAACACTGGAAGAATACCGGTCGAAGATTACGGTCATTGTCCTCGGATGCTAACAAGAAGCCGAGTAACTGCAGAGCTGCTCAATAAATAATAAGAATATTCGAAATCGAGATTACCGTGCCGCTGAGACTATGAGAAGTTGGGGGGTATAAATACCTATGCATATATTCGGATGCCGGAGTCGTTTCAAGTACATGTACCTCAAGCACAAATCTCGTATCTTGCCCGAGTTCCGGACACGAAGTTGCCACTCTACCAATTAGGTAAAATCTACCAATTAGGGAAAATGATGCACTCCTTCATCTCATCGGACGCAGCATACATGTACTTTTGACCTAAGATCTAGCATTTGATACAACAGAATATATAGTGGATAAAAAGTGACTGGATGATGTACATAACGTTCAAAACTAGACCCTATTGATGACTACATAGTCACGCCTTCATTCACTTTCTATCATTTAACATTCACTTTCCGTCATACAGCATTCACTCTACATAATACAACACACTCACCTTTCCGCCTTTGTGGTCCAAGCAGAGTAGCCACCTTCAATTCGTTTTCTGGTCGCCATCTTGTCTAAATAGTCGAGATCGAGATGCGCGATTGACACAAGCAACATGAAAGGGGATTACAATACCGTTGAACAATTCACGGACATTGTGAATAGTGCTAATGTTGCCATTAAGCATACTCAATCACCTCGCGTCATGTCTGTTACCTAAGTGTGCAGGTTCGCTAAAGTGAAAGTAGCAATTCCAATGTTGCGTATACTGCGTGACTACAACTGAGTGAAGCTGCGTGGTAAGCGATTTTCGCCTTCCGTATATGGCTGACCAGCTTCGCTTCGAGCCATATCATTAACCCATTGTTCATTTCCCATCAGTTCAAGCTTAGGCCCTTTCTGCGCCCATTTCATGGCCAGATAATACCACGATAACGCATTTCCAACAGTCGAAACTTCGTCCGAAACGCCAGTTTTGGCGGCTTGTGACATTCGATCGTGTAGTTTGAGATCTGTAAACAACTCCATCAAATGACCAGCGACTGCTTTCCAATCACCCGGCTCAACGAGGAAGCCGTCGATTTTATCTTTGATCTGAAGGGGTATCCCGCCAGCATATGTAGCAATGACAGGGCGACCCGCATGGAGTGCCTCAGAGACCTTGACTTCGAAACCTTCGTATGTGGAAAGCTGTAGGACAACATGGGCATTTGCCATAAGACAGTTCAATAGCTGATCACATGGATCTAAGCGCATGACGCTCACGTCGCCCATGATGTGGGGATATTTTGTTTCTAACTGCGTCATTATTTGATCGTAAATGGCAATACCATCGGGGTCATCAACGGACGCATTGCCGCATCTTTGTTCGGATAAAGTTAGTGTTTATGTATGAAACATACAAAACGGGGAAACTGACATGACGAGCTGGGGGATGGCGACGCCACCATGCTTTTCGAGCTGCTCTCGGAAGCAAGCGTACTAAAATGCCACAGACGGGCCTTGTTAGCTCAAGAAAATATTAAAAGCTGGAGACAGCATATGCTATTGGTCATACTAACAGCAACAACAACTGTTGGCAGTCCCTTGGCGGGATCGAAGCGGGATACTTGGATGATATATCTCCCTAGGGTGGGTTTAGCATATGGTGAAGGTATCTCTTGGATGAACGCTGCATTTACTCACTTCTTGGCCATTGCAACTCTGTCATTCGTTCTGAACGGCATTTGACGTTGTACAGATGGCCGTAGTATCCAGTATCCCAAATTTCCATCGGCTTATTTAAGCCATCCAGCCTATTATATGAGTATTAGTATGACAGTCTTCCTTTATCCGTGACATGAAATACATACCAATCGGTCGTTGCAGGCATATACAGCACCTTCTCCCTCGGCACATTATGGGGCACAAAAGAAGGAATCGGGTGGCTAATGAATAAGTCGGCTTGCTTGATATTTTGCCAGAGGAAGTCCCAGATATCTGCTTGAGGAGAGCCAGCGACTTTGATCAAGTCGGTTCGAATCTGGATATGTGATCGGTAAAACACTGGCCGCGATGGTGTAAGTTTCTTGATTTGCGGAATGAGACAAGGCATTTGAGGATCGTCAATAATTATGATATCAGCGCCGCCTTTATCTGGTCGGCACAATGGTCCATCGTTTGAGAACCAATACCGTTTGCCGTTGTCGGTAATCCAGTCCACTATCGCGTTCTTTTCGTCCGCAGAGATGTATTTACCATCCTCGCTCACCCCTTGCAGCGTATTGTGGATATTTTTGGTGATTCGAAACACTCCCGGGTGAGGTTTTGGAACTACAATTCTTTAATTCGTATCCGGATGCGCGTAACGAATCTTGGTTCTTGAGGGAATGAACAACGTACCGTACCAGCGGAGATCTACTCCCAACGCACGAGAAAATCTCACGAGAGCGTGTCTCATCAATGCAACGCCGCCACCTTGAGGAGTGCTGCTGAAGAAAGCAATCTTGGTCTTATGCTTTCGTAAATTTTTTGTATAATGCATCACTGCCTCCCAAGTCGCGGAATTGCATGTGGTCTTGTAATCCTCGACCGAGATGAGCGGCGCTTGAAATGATGCATCAACTTCTACAATACCGCGCCAGGCAACTTGTAAAAGAGGTGCCAACGAAGGACCAAAGTTCCTAGGACAGTCAATCACTTATACGACCACATTTATATGGCTGACTCATGAACCAGGTATCATAGCTTACATGATGCATTTTCGTGCCATTGAATCAGCTTGTTCGTCCACTCGTTTGGTAAGCCAGAGACTTATCCTCTCTGTATGTTCATGAGGCTGCTGAATAACAAGAGGAACAATGTCCAGTTCCAGCCAAAGACGAGAGCAAAGTGTTGGGCTCGTCGTCTGCAACGCACGGGGAAGGCCAGCGCCTACGACTTTAACGAAAGTTGTATGCTCGTACCACCTGATTGACTTGATAATGTAGTCGGCAATGAAATCGCGACCATTTGAGCCTTCTGGTGGTGAAATCTTTTTAATCGCAAAATCGAGTAGGTAAGTAGCATCACGAACAGCAAAGGAAACCAAGTACTCTTTGTACCCGGATGATGTGGCCGAAATTCCAATGAATACGGGCTAAGAGAATCAGGTTAGCTACTGAAGAATTGTTCTGGTTCCCTCCTTTTTCTTGGCAAATCTTTTTTTTGTATCAAATATTCTTTTGGACGCCCTTCGAAATAGATAACATGAAGCTCACGGCGGAGACTGACAGTCAGGCTAAGGCCGAAACATCCTTCTTTCTCGACCAGTTTTTCCGCTTGCGACTTGCGACGAAGCGAAGCGCTGACGTGAAACTCTTGATTAGACGCGTCACTCATCTTGATGTTTTGTGTTTTATTGTTTCTTTCTGATATAAAAACGAATGTTTCCAAATGCAAATATCGTTGGGCTTATAAATATGATATATGATAAATTATACGATGGCTAAGTACGACGTGAGGCTAGTTTCGGAGACCTCTGTCCAGGCGTATTGTGTTCATGCAGGTTCAGCCAAAACAAGCAAGCCAAAAAGATCAAAGTCAATTCTGGGATGAAGTGCGTATTTATACCCGAATCTCCGAATTTAATGGCTAGCTTCTATAGGATATGAATGATTGCGTGGCGTGGATTGTCGCAGCTGAGCATCTGGAGATGGTGCGATGAGATCGCGTACTGTGTCGAGAGATTCCTACACAAAGGTACGAGATCTCGAGGTGACATCATTATGACATCAAACATTCAAGTATGTGCGGATGCCTCCAGGCTTTCAAAAATAAGCTCTTTTAGAGCCACATCTATATGTTTGAAGGCGAGATAAAAGCCCTAACGAGGTGATGAACTTTATCGCTCGGGACAGCGCCACAATAGATGATCGAACAAATTGTTGTCTACTACTGCAATACTTTACAGTGTCACTATCGTGGGATACAATTGTATATACTCCATATGTAAATCGAAACAGCTGGCTGTGGCAAGCTTGGCATGTGCAAGCAGGCCCGAGGCACGGAGGCTATGCATCTGCAACATGTGATGCACATACCATCATGCTAGACGGCTATTATCGCACCACCAAAGATACTAGTACTTTGAATGTATTTACATTAGTATTTGAACTTACATTGATGTAGTTTTTAGGATCTAATTTCACATTTGCATAAGTACGAATGCATCTTACACCGTCAACTTCCCAAGAGCCCACCAAGGCTCATACACTCAATGTATCGTCTGAATACAGGTGGATCGTGCCGTGTACCGCCAGCGCTTGTAGTTGTCGTCAGTCCACCCACGGGTAACGGCAGCGGCTTCTTCCACCCACATAGCCGCATCTGATGATCCAAATTTTGCCTCCACGCTTCGCAAATTGGCTTTATAGTCATATGATAGCAGCAGAGCTTGCTCATGGGGGTCAGTTTCCAGATCGGTGAATCTCCATTCGTAGTTGCCAAATACAGGGACAATCAATCTCCAGTTTGGCTGACGAGCATCCCTAACTGCAATTGTTGAGCCACCTGGGTTCCTAACCGTAAGCTGCCAGCCTCCTTGTCCAGTTCTTTTTGAGAATTTCTGCAACGGTCGCAAGAGAGATTGACCCTCGTAATTTTGGACCATATCATGAGCTACGCGAGCTTCAGAGAGCGAGAGAGATTTGGTCTCAGTAGCCCACTGCGTTTAAATAATGGGATAAGTCGTCGTGATCTGTATCGCCTGCCAATAAAACATATTATTCGTCTGTCGGAATGACAAAGTCGTGATGGGTTGAGCTCGTTAGATGAGACAAGAAGACCCTCTCGTTATTCTTCTCCGCCGATGCGCAAACATCTCGTAGGTTATCTTCTATGGCAACTTCAGGCAATGCCGTACTAATTAACATCAGTTAGATTGACTGGACCAAGTTTGGCCGCCTCGTCTTTCAACTCCCATAAGCCGAGTGGATTGGCAAATCCAATCTTTGGCATAGGACGATCCTACTTGTCATATCTCATTGTTACAGACTACATAAAATCTGTCTTCCACAATTGATTCAACGCCTCAAAATATGGGGTAAGCACGGTTGGTAGATGTGATGATCTGTATCAACATTGAAGTCGGCAGCCAGTGGACTTATGCTGCAGTGAGTCCCCACTAAGCTGTTCAATGTGTAGGTGCTCATGGTGAATGCATGAATCGCATTGAGGCCACCGCGTGGTGTGCTAGTTTCACGGCCAAAGCCGTCATTGAAGTCTCCCGTGAGATGTTTTGCGGTTGAAGTAAGCGATGATAAAGTCTTCTGCGCCTCGAATGGCAAGGACGAGTTCTTGAACGATTGAACAAGACGCTCCCATATAAAGCCGTCTCTATTCAAAGGAAAGACATCTTTCCGCGTACTCTCAAGCTTAATTAACACATGTGTCGGATAGGGACGTTGCCTAGATTTCCACGTAGAGGCGGAAGTAAATCATCATCGAGATTCGAGGGTTTCAATGGATCTTCTAAAGCTTTATAGTGTTCTTTGTCTGCGGCGAACCAATCCTCAAAACCGCGAAGAGACGCACTATTCGGCAGCCACGCCCAGTGAGTTGGTTCATGTAGAGCTGTACGGCTATCCAGCATGCTGTTGGTGTTGCCCGACATAGCAAGAAGGCTTGCTAATGAAGACTTTGAGAGGTTAAACCCCACAAATGGCATAACTGGTAAAGCCTAAGACATGAATATCAGGATTGAGGATCAAGGGCATGTTGTGAAGTATGATCACTAGCCATAGTAAATAACTCCGTGAAAGTAGAAATCGCGATGAATAGATAGCGGTTATATATGAGGTGGAAAAAGACAATTGATCCTCCATAACTTACTAGATGTATCTTATGCACTAGACGCACGTCTTCTTTCACCCCCATTCCCAATTTGTAACCTGAACCTGATGGATTCTTCTTCTTTTTTTGTCCTGCGGAGATTTCTCTCGCCGCTTAGACCCGAAACACCCGAGTGAGCATCTCGATGTAATCGCCCTCTCGGCCCTAATCTTATCAAGTACTTCCTCTTTTTCCTTCGATCCCCTTCAATTGTACCGCTGTAGATGACTTGAGAAACCTAAGGACATGACCGGTTGTAGATACTTCACTCTGGCATTAATAAGTGGCGCTCAGACCTCTGGTGTATTATATATTTTAGGTTCATTGCAAGTTGTATAAGTACATGAACAGTTACTTGAGAATCAGTGACGAAATGGGGCGGCCATTTTAAAATTCGGTGATGTACAGAGAAGTCTCTCATTCAAGTTCATTCAGCATTGCGTTGCGGTGATGACCTTTTTGCATTTGCAACGCCTGCGCAAAAAGCCGCGGACGGATATCTTTCGTTCGCAGTGTAGCGGATGCACGGCATTGAAAGTAGCTGAAAAGAAACGTTTCATTGGTAGGTAAACGGAAAAATATTCTCTATTACTTGATATAATGAAGAAGCTGTCGCTACGTAAATATGCACCTGCAGTCTGTGTCTTAGAGCGACACTAGAGCTACCTAGACAAACAACGCCGAGGTTAAGAGAGAGAGAGAGAAAAAATGAATTATCAGCACCGTAACAACCGAATCGCAACTTTTCCCAGCCCCAGCACCTCTCTCAAATGCCAGTGCGTTATTTAGACGGGCAAGTCTAGCCAAATCAATTACCGAAGATCACCTCACTAATAAGGCGCCCAAGCAGAACGAAGCGGAAATCTAGATTGAGCCGTTTTTTCCGATTGAATGCCTTCACCAATAGCATCACACGGTCGCCCCACGAGTGGAAAGATCTCATTCTCATAGCATATTCGCCTCGTCTACGATCCAGATGAAATGTAGGGATCTACGGGCATATTACGGTATATAGCATTGTGCATGCAGACATATATATTGCTAGACGAGTGCGAGGTTACAGGGGCCGTGGGGTCAGTGTGACATGGTTCTATAGTACTAATTTCTAGCACGCGATACTTCTAAAGCATACGATATTCGCAGAGAGTTGAGGTACTTAGAGCCCTAACCATGTCGCAGGGAACCGAGGCACAATGAACATGATCACACAGGTGGCTACTGCATAGCTGTCGTCCGCTTCCACTTGACTGCGTTCAACACGCTATATATAGCAATTTCTTGATCATCCTATGGCCATTGAGGAATTAATAATGACAAAAGTACCATGGGATACAGCAACTACGAATCGAGCGTGCTTGTCTTGATCAAATATATATAGGTGCTGAGCCTTTGCTAACGAACCTGCATCTACTTCTTATGATCAATAGCCCATATATATCATCATCATCAATTATTACTTTAGTTGAACACCAACTACTAAAGTTAAAATGGTGTCGGCCTACAGTTCAGTAAAAGTTCTGCCAGTTCTGGTAGCCGGCGCTTTTGCTGCGGCAAGCTACCCTGCTATCCCAGCCGACTTGACAACACCAGTGCAACAACGAATCGCCGTCAACGGGCCCAACAGTACGTTTGAATCGACGTAGCAGATCAAATCTACATTCATACTGATACATCTTGCCTAGGCGTATCAATTGCCTGGAACACATATAAGCAGCTCACCCAGCCTTGCGTCTCATATGGCAACTCTGCCACATCTTTGACACAGCAAACCTGCTCGCAAAGCTCTATTACATATGAATCATCACGCACTTGGTCAAACGTGGTAACTCTTAATAACTTATCACCGGCAACAACATACTACTATAAGATCGTCTCAACCAACTCAAGCGTGGATCACTTCTTCAGCCCCCGTGTCGCTGGAGATAAAACTCCGTTCTCCATCAACGCTATTATTGACTTGGGCGTCGTTGGTCCCGATGGATATACCATCCAAAATGACCAAACAAAGCGTGATACTATCCCAAGCATCGATCCTTCGTTAAATCACACGACCATTCAACGCCTGGCTCAAACAGTCGACGACTATGAATTTGTCATTCATCCCGGAGATCTGGCCTATGCTGATGATTGGATTGAGACACCCAAGAACATTTTTGATGGAAAGAATGCGTACCAAGCGATTCTGGAGCAGTTTTACGCCCAACTTGCTCCTATTTCTGGCCGCAAGCCTTATATGGCCAGCCCGGGCAACCACGAAGCTGCTTGCCAGGAGATCCCGCACACCACAGGGCTCTGCAGTGCCGGACAGCGCAATTTCAGGTATTTTGCAACATGTGTCTTCTGTCTGATACTGTGATACTGACTATTCGTGACTAAGCGACTTCATCAATCGATTTGGCAAGACTATGCCCACTGTCTTTACCTCAACTTCAGCAAACAACACCGCGAAGATTAATGCAAACAAAGCACAGCAGCTTGCCAATCCTCCGTTCTGGTTTTCTTTCGAATATGGCATGGCGCATATTGTCATGATCGACACTGAAACAGACTTTGCTGATGCTCCGGACGGCCCAGATGGCTCTGCCGGCCTCAACGGTGGACCGTTCGGTGCTCCCAACCAGCAGCTGCAATTTCTTGAGGCAGACCTTGCCTCTGTCGATCGCAGCGTTACGCCATGGCTTATTGTCGCGGGTCATCGACCATGGTACTCAACCGGAGGCTCGGGCTGCGCACCATGCCAGACAGCTTTTGAAGGCCTGTTCTACAAATACGGAGTTGATCTAGGAGTCTTTGGTCATGTGCACAATTCTCAGAGGTTTTTCCCAGTATTCAATGGTACTGCTGATGTTGCCGGTATGACTAACCCGAAGGCGCCGATGTATATCGTCGCTGGTGGTGCCGGTAACATCGAGGGCCTCTCGGCCATCGGTACTGAACCTTCGTACACTGCATTTGCCTACGCAGATGATTTCAGTTATGCAACTATTCGCTTCTTGGATGAGCAGAACTTGCAAGTTGATTTCTATCAGTCATCAACCGGAACGCTGTTGGATAGCTCGAAGCTCTTCAAGTCTCACAACCAGCAATTTGTTGTCCAGCAATAGTATGCTTTAGAAATGACATAGAAAATAAATAAAGCGCCTCAATCTCACTAATCATCGGCTTACAATGGGAACGAATGCATCGCACTCAATTCCACCACGTGTATTTATGATGACAATTGAACCTGATTTTTGTAACTTCCAGCCCCGAGAAGTAACAAAATCTCCCGCTTGGAGCATTGCCATTGCCAGGCTTATTATCCCCGTCTCCAGCAAGAAATACAGGCAAGAGTGTTCTCAAAACTAGCCAGAAGTCAGTATCAAATATGACCTCAGGCTCTCGACGTTCTGATCATCTATCGCGCACGGGCTAATTCAAGAAGGGGGCATGCGCCACCATTGGAAGACATCTACTGTTCAATGAATTTGGTTTCTAAACTATGCTTCATGTAATTAGTGATGTAAATCTCTATAGAGTAATGTAAATACAAATTGAATTGTCATTAGTAACCATGAAGCGCAGACACTCTTCGCACCAGATTTCCGTAAGACCTGCGTCTTGTGAATACAATATCTTCAAGAGCAACAAAGAGATGGGCATCTACGAACGAATGGTCATTTTGTCTACTTAATCGACCAAGAGACAGTAGACACCAAGGGACAATTAAAACGGCAAGTCCAGCCTCCACTACGTTCTATCTCTTCTCGCGTGTGCCTCTGCGGCAGTCACATAGTCTACTTCTCGCATAATGTCTATACGTGGAGCTTTTCGTCAATTAATTCATCCTCATATTATATAGCATAAGCCTTAAATTCCAGTAAGCTAGCTTATTTGGAATCGCAACCAGTACAAGAATGATGCGAGACTGTTTCTGCGGAAACAAGATGTTTCTTCGGCTTCTACTGCGGTGTGCTTTAGATCAAGATCAAAACCGACAGATCGAAAGTCCCCAAGTCCACTATATTAATTATAATTGCTATTCAAAAAAAAGAAAAAAAGAAAAAAAAAAAAGCCGCCATGTCCTTGTGTCTCTGAATTATTTAGGCTGTTCAGTTGATAGTCGCGGAATATGATACTGAATCGAGCTATGTTATCCAACCAACTTCCACCAATAGAAGGTTACACTACAACATTAGGCCTCCAGGTGTAAACTACTAGTGTTGAATCCATACAGTACGGAGTAGATATCCCTCAAACTATCAGGAGACTAGAGCTACAAGAGCACTGTGCTCGCGACATGCGAACGTAATATAGTAGCCTGTTTCAATGAGGCTGGCGATAGAAGAGCTGGGGAGTTATAGCCTGTGTGTGGAGACGCGAGTTCGGCGAAGCTATTCAGGGATAGTGATTGTACGTCAACCCGATCTGCCTACGTACTGCATACGAACACAGAAAAGGTTGGCAACAAGATGGGCAGTCCTTTAATTCAGGCATCTTAATCAATTACGTGTGAATCTTAGACACAAATATAAATGAGCGTCCTGTTTGTCAGTAATTGAACTCTTCGTAACACCAACGCGAAATAAATGCCCGCATAGCAAAAAGACGCCATACGACGCCACGATGTCTCAGATTACTCTCTTCACTGATTCTAGGGTGCCTTGCCCACAGCGCCTGCTCCTTACTATCCACGAACTTGGACTCCAGATCAAGGATATCAGAGAGGTTGATATTTCCAAGTTTGAACATAAGGTATGACATAGGATTACAACCAGAAAGAATATGTGTGATTACATCATTCACTGACAATTTTCAGCGTCCAGAAATTTTGGAACTCAATCCTTTCGGCGCTGTGCCATTTATCCGGGACGAAACATACGATCCTCCATTGATGCTGACCGAATCACGCGCTATTGCAAGATATCTAGCGCAAGCGTACGGTAGCAGTGATGCGTCTGCTTCACTGCTCCCTGATCCAACAAACGTTGTTGCAGTTGCCAAGTTCGAAGAGGCAGCGTCAATTGAACTTGCATCCTTCGATGCCTGCGCAAATCAACTAGTATTTGAAGAGCTGTTTAAGCCGTATGTTCTTTCTGAACACCCCACACTACCGATTCAATAGGAAAAAATTTAAGTTCATTTTTTACTAACCATTTTTTAATGGTGATAGGTCGTGGTTTAACGGTGAGACTGATGTTGAAAAATGCAAGCTCCTTCGAGAAAGCCTTGAGCGAGTCGTTGACTTGTTGAACAAGAGACTTACGGCTCAACAATTCATGGCAGGAGACGTAAGTGACAGGCTTGAGAACCTTCCCCTCCAAGAAAACGATGAGAAAGAAAGCTAATGATATTTAGAAATTGACGGTGGTCGATCTGTTCTTTGTCCCGTACATGCACCATCTGGTTAGAACCGTCTATCCAACCTTATTAGACTCTCGGCCTCATCTGAGTGCATGGTGGGGAAGAATAACCAGTCGCGAATCATACAAACATTTATTCGACGACTCAAAGGGGAACTGAGGACGGTTTACCTATCGCTACGCGAAATGCCTTTATCATCCTGATTTGTGGGATCACATACCTTCATATTCTTTGAGCGTTTAGTGGCGGCAGCGCCTTTCCTTGTCTATTTACTACTCTTTTGCCTATTCACAATATGACCCTATACTTAATGGTGATTACAAAAACTTCATCTTCTAGTTCGAAAAATACATTTTGTGATCCGAACTTATACAAGAAGAAATTATAAACGGCTCACTCTACGAGCCATTAGTTGATAGATACACTCTGCAGGCAAGTGACGCTGCAGACAATTAGAAGCCAGAGTTTGGCTCTAATGTGACGAACTGGTACCTATAGGCACTATAGGTTAGCTGTTTCCAAGGGATAAACCTTAGAGTGGTTCTATGGTTTATGTTGGCGGAGCGATTAGGTCGGTAACGGGCAATCTTATCACCAGCTAGTAATACAAATAAGAGTAGATGTCTATGTTCTAATCTAATTATATTATAAACGCTGTAATAACAACTGGCTATCTAAGTAATCTAATAAGTAATATAAAATAAACTTATATATTTAGTTGTATGTTCTGGAGTTAAGTAGAATTGCTTATAATCTTAATTAATTCGTTCCTGCGTTAATTAAAATTAACGCCGATTTTTGTTAACTGCTTCCTAATTAGCTACGCGGTCTAACGTTAATCCAGGAGTACCTACTCTATAGGCCCCTTGTCGCAACTATAAGAGCCGGGTTATAACACAATTCTCCCCCTCCTATTAGTCTTACCCCTAAGACTAGGTAATCTAGTATATAAGTATCTACACCTCCCACTTATAGGTGTTCTTCTTATTTCTGTTACCTGCTTGTTGCTAAAATAACTTTCCGCATTTAAAAATCTACTAACTTAGCTAATATAAAAGGAAAGAAGAAGAAACTTAATAAAAGTATAGTACTTACTGCTTCTATATTATCGCAATCTATTAAGATAAAACCCTGCTTTTATTATAAAAAGAAGGGATCTTAGTATTTAGCTTTTGAGGTTAACTTAAGTTGCTGCTTAAAGTATGTCGAGGATTATAAATCTTATTATAAGGTATTTTTTATACCTTAATAATTATTATATATTTCCCGTTGGTGCAATTAGCTCGATAATAAGGTTAAAGCTATTAAAGAGGAAATTATAAATCTTATAGCTAAAGTTGTTTATTTTCGGAAATAACGTAAGAAATAGTCTAAAAAGGCAGCGCATGCGGTATCTTAGGGTATTAATAATTTAGCAAAGCTAGAGCAGTTGGAAAAGAAGGAGCGTAAGGCGGAGGCTGCTCTTTAGGCTATATTATTATTACCTAATCTAACTAATCCCGTAATTACAGGTTCTACAATTAACGCTATTAATTAGAACGCTTTTGACCCTTCTTTGCTAGACCTAAACTTCAATGGAAGTTATTTATAAGGTCTTTTAAGTATTTAAGGTCCTTAATAGTTTACTATAATTTTTCTATTTTATTATAGCCTTTCTATTTCACCAGGTATTTAGTTTATTAGGTATTTTTATTAAATCTTATTATTTCAAGCTTCTTAACCTCGTATTCGAGTTCTTTACCTTAAATAATAATTTCGTCCTATATAACTTCACCTATTTCTTTATTTACTAATGCTTTTTCCAGTAGTAAAATATAAAAATTCAGATATATAGTTCTTCCTTATTTTCCTAGGGTAAGTAGAAGATCTATTTTATAATTAATAGGTTTAATTTTCTTCGTGACTTTATAAAGTCTAAGTTTTTTAAAATTAAGTTTGTTACTTAGCCTGTTTATTTTAATATTTAGCTGTTTATCGTTTCGTAAGTATTAAAGTAGGTAGACTATGTCTCCCTCCTTAAAGGTTAATCCTCTAATCTTTTTAATATCTGCGAATTTAGCTATTCTTTCTTTAACAAATTTGAGTTATACTTATAATTCTTAGTGCAGTTCCTTAAGTTTGTTAGCTATAATAATAGCTTTACTAGTATTTTCTCCTTTAATAGGTGGTTAATATAGATCTAGTTTGAACCCGTAGTTTGCGTAAAATGGTAAGTAGTTTATAGATTTTACTAGCGTACTATTATAGGATGCTTAGGCGGTTGGTAAGTATTTTACTTAATTGTCTTAGTTAAAGTTAATGTAGTATTATAAGTATATCTTAATAATTTAGTTAATTCATTCTGTTTATCTATCTGTCTGTAGGTAGTAAGCTATACTAGCTTTATATTTTAGTTTAATTTATGCTATAAGTAATTGCTAAAATTTTAATATAAACGTTAATCCTCTATCGGAGATAATCTTATTTAGCAGTCTATGGTTTGCGTAGATGTGTTGGAAAAAGACATAAGCTAGGTCTTCTGTAGAGCTTTTCTCTGTTACTGGGATAAAGTAGGCTATTTTCGAGAGTCGGTCGACTACTACAAAGATGCTATCCTAAGTGTTATTAGTTATAGGTTCTTTTGAAGGTGGAAGCTTTATAATGTAGTTAAACGTTATTAATTCCTAATTTCTAATTGGAACCGGTAAGGGTTATAGTTTTCCGTAAGGAAGATAGTATAATACCTTAGCTTATCTGTATATTATATATTCTAATATAACCTTTTATACTTATTTTTTAATACCTTTAAATTTAAAGTATTATGTAATTTGTTATATAGTTTTTCTAATTTTACAGTGTCCGTTGAGCTTATATATATAAACTGATTTTACTACTTTGCTTTGTAAGTCTTCTAGTACCTAGATAAGTCTATTTAATATCAGGTATCCAGTATCTATAGAAATACCTTCTGGGTATTATTCATTCTCCTAGTTCTTAACGTATTCCTTTATATCGTTAATAATTAGATTATCTATTTCGATTTAGTATATAGTGTTAATTAATTAAATTACTAGGTCGCTATACTAATTCTTTTCTAGTATTTATACTTTTACTTCCGGGATTTCTTAAAAGTAGTCTAGACATCTGCTAAGTACATTAGCGCATCCGTTATCTAAACTACTATAGTATTTAATAATAAGCTTAAACTCGGAAAGTTACTTATAGTACTTAACTTATCTGCGGGATAATTCTTATGTTATTATAAAGTAAGTAATATTCTAGTAATCCGTAAGGATTATTATTAGAAATCGACTTCCTTTACAGTAGTATCTCTAATGCTGCTTACTAAGCGCTTAGTATATAGCTATAAACTCCTTGTTGTAAATAAAATATCTAAGTTCTAGTCTATGTAGTTTCTTAGAGAAGTAGGCGATAGGCCTGAGTTTCCCTTTTTCATCTAGTTAGCTAAGTACTCCACCGATTACGTAATCCGAGGCGTTGGTTTTAATTATAATAGGTTTATTTAGGTTAAATATTATAAGTACTAGTGTACTTGTAAGAGCTTGTTTAAGGTGTTTAAAGGTAGCTAGAGCGTTTTATATTAATTTGAATTTAATATCTTTCTTTATTAAGTTTGTGAGTAGCGTAGCGATTTTTAAGAAGTCTTTAATAAAGCGTTAATAATAGTTAGTAAGTCCTAAGAAGCTTTATACTTACTTAATGTTTTCGGGCGGCTTTTAGTTGTTGATTGCTTTAAGTTTCTCAGGGTCTATTTAGACTTTACCTAGGGTAATAATATATCCTAAAAATATAACCTTCTGTATATAGAAGTTATATTTCTTAGATTCTACCAGGAGTTTATTATCTTAAAGTATTTATAATACCTTTTTAACGTATTCCTTATATTCTTCTAAGTTCTTAGAATAGATAAGGATGTCGTCTAAGTATATAATAATAAAATAATCTACGTAGTCTCGTAGTACGTAGTTGATTATTTTCTAGAATATTATAGGGGCGTTAGTTAATCTAAACTATATAATATTACATTTATATAATCTATATCTAGTTCTAAAGGCGGTTTTTTATTCGTCGCCTTTCTTTATATAAATAAGGTTATAGGCTCCCTTAAGGTCTAATAAAGTAAAGACCTTGGCTTCTGTAAGCTAATCTTTAATTTCCGAAATTAGTAGTAATAGCGTAATATCTTTCTTAGTTATTGCGTTTAATTATCGGTAGTCTATAATAAGTCGAAGTTTACTGTTTTTCTTAGGTATAAATATAACTAAGGCTTCTGCTAAGGATTTAGAAGGTTAAATATAACCTTTCTTTAGCTAGTCTTTAATCTATTTATTAAATATCTTAAGTTTAGTAGTATTTAAGTTATAGATTTTATTAAACATTAGGACTTTATTATCTATAAGTTTAATTTTATAATCCCATTGGCTATATTTTAGTAGTCCAGTGTTAAGTTTTTTATTAAAGACTAGTATATACTAGAGGTTTGTTAGTACGTTTTTTAAACATTCTAGTATCTATTAGTCTTAGTAGTATAATTCCTTAACCTTTTGTATAATTAAGTTTAAAAATCTAAGCTGTTTCTTTTTAGGTTTTTTAATATATTTGACTATTCTTAGGAGCTTTTTTGGCTCCTTAAATTATACTTATTTTATAACTTTTTTCTTTTCTATGTGTTTTTGTATTTTTTAATTTAATACAGGGGTTACTGATCCTATTATCGGGGATGTTGTGGTATCCTGTTAATCCTCCTGATTTAGTTATAGTATATCTTTAAAATTAATTAGTTTAGGGTAAGTTCGCTATTTCACCTAGCCTTTAATCTAGTTAATATTAGGGTTATGCAACTTAAGCTAATTATATCCTAAAAGTATATTATATCCTGTAATGTTTATAATATTAAAACTAAAGATATCTTTAATTTTACTAAACTAAATTATAAAGAGATTAGTTTTACAGTTAACAGTTCTATTATTATAGGTAAATTATTATTTCTTAATGCTTATAAAGGTATATGGTTTCTCCTTCTTACGGTTATTTAACTATAGGCGGTTAACTAGTTAAAGCATAATATAACTTATTGTAGCTCTAGAGTCTATATAGACTGTAATTAAATATCCTTCTAAAGTACCTGGTACTTAGAACTTTTGTAGTTTCTTTCCTTTTATAAAGGTATTTAAGTTATAGTAGGTTATATTATTAGCACCGTTGTAATAATTATTACCGTAAAGGTTAATATTAATATCGTCTAGGTCTAAGGTAATCTATCCTAGTTTTTTATTTTAAATATTATAGCGTTTATATTAGGTATATCTAGGCTTAGGTACGTGTCTGGTGGTGAGCTTATGGTATTTCCGAAGGTTGTTCTAGTTAATTCCTCGTAGTTTATCGTTATTGCTGTGTTTTACAAGGTTGAATCCTTATCGTTCTAGGTTATAGGTAATATATATAAGGGCTCGGTGTTAGTACTAGTGTTTCTTATAACAGTCTTTGTTATAGAGCGTGAATTCCTTTTATTTATATTCGGCGGCTCCGTAATCCTTATACTATTCGTTAAGCTTAGTTATAATATATTATTTATATAGTAGTAGCTTACAGTTAATAATATTAGCTTTATTATATTAGTCTATAAGCTAGATGTTATCGACGAAGTAAATAGCTGATTTTAGTAATTTAGCTACTGGGTATTCGTTTACATTAGTCTTAATATATTGCCGAAACCGATTTCCGGGTAATTAGATCCGGTCGTAGGTGGTATTTAAATCAATCTGTTTAATCTATCCCTATCGTTCAAGGAGTCTCCGTTAATCCTCGAGTTCTTTTCGTTATATGATTTCGTTATAGCGTTAGTTTTCTTTAATAATCTCTTAGATTCTGTGTTAATCCTTATGCTGTTCTTAGTCGTCTGTAGTTATTTTATAAGGGTAATATAGTCCCTTAGGTTTAACTAATCTACACTAGTCGTATATATATTTCTTAAGGTCGTTGATTTCTTCTTATGTTAATTCTTTAAGAGGATCTGCTTATGCAGGGCTTACTAGTAGAGCAGTATCTGGAAGACTATTACAGTCTCCGTTTATTTCGAGGTGCATTTAGGTAACCTCTTTAAGTATATTTAAGGTTTATATACGCCCCTTAGGGTATTATCCTAATCCTTATTTATTACTGTAATAAGTCTAGCAGTTATTATTATAGTATACTAAGAAGTATAGTATATTATAGTCTACTAGAGGTTTTATAATATTAATAGTTTAGTTTTCCTTAGGCTCTAGGATAGGTATGAATTTCTTATTGCTATTCTTTTTAAAGGCTTAATAATATTTCTTTACGTATCCTTTCTTTCCACAGTTATAGTATTTAACGTTCTTACGTTAAGCCTCGATAATACTAAGGTCTATTAGGCCTAATCGTCTATTATTAAAAGAGGTAATATAGTCGTTTTACTTCTTTCCTTAGTTAGCTTAATATCTTTAAGTTCGCTTAGGTTAGACATTATAAAAGTTCCCATTCTTTTCTCACTTCTATTCTTTCTGTTATTCTTAATTATAATTATTAATCTTAATAGCTTTTTAAGTATAGTTAGTAAAGGTTATTTTTTTATAGTTAATTTTAAAAAGTTTATCCTTAACTTTAGGTTTTACACTATTATAGTAAACTTCTTTCTTAGTTTCCTTAGTCTAGTTAACTTTAGTTAATAGGCGTAGGAAAGTTAAAGTATACTTACTTAGTAGTCTCTTTTAAATAATAAAATAAAGTTCTTACTTAGCTTTTTATTATTTATTTATAGTACTAAAAAACTTTCTAAGTTATTTCTGAAATTCTACGTACTTAGTGTAAATTTCTTTAGTTTACGTTTTAAGCTTCTTTAAATTAATTTTTCCTTCTTCGTAATTCTGCATAATAGATTGGAACTATGTTTCAGCATCTTTTATAAGGCAGCTGCCTATAAAGATAACTCTATCTTCATCGTTCTTTAAGGTACAAGGGAAGTATTTAAAATAGGTTGTAAGTTCCAAGAAGAATTTATCTATCTTACGTAGATCTCCGTTAAAGGGTTTAGGCTTCGTCAGTTTAATAATCTTACCTTTCTCTCTTTTTCTATTTTAAAGGTCCTAAAGCTAGGTCTTAAAAGCTTTAAACTTGGCCTTTAATTTATTGTAATTAGCTTAATTAGCTATATTTTCGGCTGGTGTGTTTTTAAGCTTGATGTTGCTGTTATAATTACTTTAAGCTTCGCTTTCGTAATTAGTGTTGTTGTCTGGAACTCTAAAGCTTATAGGCTACTAAGTTTTTAGTATCTTATTACCCGTAGGTCTAAGGTAACCGTCTAAATAAGAGTTATTATTATATAACGAACCGGTACTTATAGGCACTATAGGTTAGCTGTTTCCAAGGGATAAACCTTAGAGTAGTTCTATAGTTTATGTTAGCGGAGCAATTAAGTTAGTAATAGGCAATCTTATCACCAGCTAGTAATATAAATGAGAGTAGATGTCTATGTTCTAATCTAATTGTATTATAAACGCTGTAATAACAACTAGCTATCTAAGTAATCTAATAAGTAACATAAAGTAAACTTATATATCTAGTTATGTATTCTAAAGTCAAGTAGAATCGCTTATGATCTTAATCGATTCGTTCCTGCGTTAATTAGAATCGACGCCGATTCTTATCGACCGCTTCCTGATTAGCTACGCGGTCCGACGTTAATCCGGGAGTGCCTACCCTGTAGGCCCCTTGTCGCGACCATAAGAGCCGGGTCGTGACATCTAAATTTTCCTACCGCTGTGTCCTAATTGTGGTACGTTGGGTACATTAGTGCACTCTAGCAGCACCTTGCAAACGCGAAGTCATGCTGTGTGGCATGGTGGCTCGTATACAGCCGCTATACAATTGGCATCTTTGCGCCCAGTGTCTGGTCCAACTAGTCTTGAATCGTGACAAACCTAGAATTTGGGCCAATGTATTATACCGACGTAACGATATTACGACATACAATCAATTTGCCACTGCAGCTCTTTGTGACCGTTAGGCGCACTCTTGGTACGCTAAATAGCCCACGGCATTCTACTACTCCTACTAGGCATGAAATCCAAACATGACTAAATATTGGCCATGTGGGGGATGACCTTTCCATCTCCGCAGCATCATCACGGGTCATTGTTCTTCCTTAAGAAGTACCATGGTTGCTCTTTGCTCTGCTTTCGATCTAGAAATAGCCATCAGAGACTCACCATAACAGTCTTGCAGAGTCATAATCAGCCTAATTTTGGCCATACTCATTCATCTCAATGGACTCACCTGGTCTAATGCCTCTGGGATTACCCCAACCACTTGGATATGCCGACCAAGCATGCAAAGAATGCCGTCGGAGGAAATCGAAATGCAATAAGGGGATCCCCACATGTAACATGTGCCTGAGATACAGAAGACATTGCCTATACGAAAAACATTCGAGGACTCCACTTACGAGAAGGCGAGTAGCATGTTTGCTGAGAGTTCACCATAGCACCGTGTTTGTTCTAACGTATATCCATAGGCACTTGACGGAAGTTGAAGAAAGATTAGAACAAGCGGAGGCTTTGATCAGACAACTAAGAGCTACGCAGCCACCGCAAACGTTGTTAAGCGAAGAATCTACTAATGTACTTGCTTCGCCCAACCAGCTATCTGAGGCTAGTGAACTGGCTCATGATAAACATGATCATTCGAGATTAGGTTCAGATAAGATTGATGTTTTTTCAGATACCAGACAATTCACCAATAACGACTTATCCATGGACAGATCACATTTGCAACAGCCATCAGTTCTTGGTATCCATGATGGTTTGATCTCAGATTCCACGCTCAACGCAAATACTCCAAAGAAAGTTTTTGCTGACGGCCCAATTACCCAGCAAATTATGGGGGCCTCAGAGCAAGTTGAGAGCTCTGATAAGTCTCAAGATGATGATTTTGAAAGCCCACCCTCAACAGGCGACTTTGGTTGGAATGAGCATGGGGCTGCCCAGCAAGATTCTCCCGGAATTTCGATTGCAAGCGACTTGAATGAAACCAGACAGATCCTAGATGGCATGGCATCTCTGACAGTCTCGGAGCAGCGAAGTGGTTATCTCGGAATCGCGTCAGGCGCCGCTTTTCTACGCCTTTTAGAGCCTGTGGAATATAGAAATGCGCAAAGCCATTCACCTGTCGAGGCTGATCCCCGCGTTTCCCTAACCACGCTCCCCAATCTGAACAAACACATAGCCGACACTATGATCGATGCCTATTTCAGAATATATCACCTCAGTTATCCGATTGTCCACGAACCAACCTTCCGAGCTCAGTATTCCGAAGTCATTCGAAGGCCTAACGGCGGATCTTGGTACATTCTAGCATATGTTATGGCAGCCCTCGGAGTGTATACGACCGCAACGGATCTAAATAATCTGGATTTAGACATTTTTCAGCACACTAAATCTCTCCTCACATTTGACATACTTGAGGTTGGGAGCTTAACAATGGTCCAAGCCCTGACTTTAATTTCCAACTACCAACAAAAAAGAGATAAGCCGAATTCTGCGTATAGTTACTCGGGATTGGCGGCCAGAATGGCTATGGCACTTGGGCTGCACAAGGATTTTCAGGGGTGGAAAATCCCTCCGTTAAGCATGGAGATCCGACGCAGAGTTTGGTGGACGATGAGCATATTTGATATTGGTGCTACCATCACGTTTGGTCGACCGCAAGTGTGCCCGTTCGACGGTGTCGACATAGCGCTGCCCATGAATGTTCATGACAAGGTAACATTATCCCAGTTTCTTTAACTTATCGGCGAAACTAACTCCTGCAGGATCTCACTGCGATGTCTAGTTCATATCCTCCTGATCCGGAAGAAATAACTGTTTACACAGCGGTACGAACGCAAGCAAGGTTTTTTATCGCCACAAACCCCATATACCTCAGAATTATCTCAAAGCCTTTGCCCAGTGCCCGCGAGCTACTTCAATTGGAGGCTCAGTGCATAGGATCGTGGGCAGAGAAGACGCCATCTTACTTCTCAGAAGCAGCGGCCATACCGCCTAATTATGTGTTTTCCCACTCCGTCATGCAATGGAGATGGCGAAACTTTCGCATGATCATGTACCGCCCTTTTGTCATCCGGCGAGCTTTATTGGCGCGCAGCGGTCGTCGGGACAATTCGAGTCCAGAATCGCTCCAGGCTTACGAGCGATGCTTGGAGGATGCTAAACAGAGCATACTGTCAATCAGTGCATTCTGGGCTACAAATGACCACAACCGTCTCTTCGCGTGGTATGCATTGTGAGTTATTCTCTGGCGGCTGAGATTAAATGAAAGTCCTCTGCTAACTCATGACACAGATATTTCCTATTCCAGGCTGCTCTGATCCCTTGTATCTGCCTGCAAAACGAATCTTCTCCCCCAAACGCACCAGATTGGCGTGATCAAATTGTTACCTCCTTAAAAGTTATTGCGGCCTTGGTACCAGTAAATCCAAGCGCTAGACGGTGCTACCAAGTTATTGTCAGCCTCTGTGGAGCCCATCTCGATACACCGATGCCTCTTCTTCCCGAGGATGTCAACTCAGAAGAATCCCTCGTTCTTCAATCAGAAGACGTTGATGGGTTTAATAGCGCAATATACCGTCAGGATTCGGATGCAGACGGGGATAGACAAATGATGTCTGGGGTTAACTCAAACGATCAGATGAACGCGGTTTTTGGCATGATGTGGCCCAACACGCTTTTCGATACTGCTGACAAGGGACATGATGATTCTTGGATGGATTTTCTCAATGGGATATAGACTTGAACATAATGCTGAGCACATGGAAGTACTATCCTCCATTTCTGTGCCCGAAAGACCACTAGTTTTTTTTTTTTTTTTTTTTTTTTTTTTTTTTTTNTTTTTTTTTTTTTTTTTTTTTTTTTTTTTTTTTGTCAACGGAACCAAGGGTATACCACAATGGTAGCGATGCGCCTTGCTAATCAGTGATTATCTGGCTAATTTGAAGCATCTTTCGATTTTTCAAAAAATTTTGTAATATTAAAGAGGATAAAGATTCAACGACATGGGCTCCAAAATTGGTCGCGATGCCTTGTGGCGCTAGAATTGACACTACCCCAGGCTTAGGGGCTGCTGCGTCCACATCAAGGTCGACAGTCACCCTAGACAAGGGATCATGCAGAATGCGCCAGCCTTTGGCCTAATGGAAGGGAAGGGACAAACGAAATCTCATGGGTCTACATGTTCGTCACCTTCAAGAGATAGGAAGCCTACAATAACTCACTGCGGGCTGGATGAACGATAAACTTACTGCTGGATGATCTTTGAATGTCCGCTATAATATGCAGTAGCTAAACGCAGCACGGCCTGACTTCATCACATCTAAGCGTCCGACGCCTAACACCCGTATATCTTCAGCATCACGATGGCGCCTAATTCTGTATCAGCGTGAATGACAAAGTTATCGGCCGTACAGTTTATATCTTATGATCAATCTAACTATTTACACACTAATGGCATAAGCCATTTGAAGTGCAGTTTCCCCATGATGACTACAATGTACATCCACTGGGAATATGTACATACCCTATTGCAGAATCACACTAATTGGTCTACTGTGTTAAAGATCCTGGATTCATATACTAGTAGTTATAGGTGGCTAAAACGCCGCTTTCAATGTCTTTCTTCTTCCATTCTATTTATTTCTCTCTTTATTTTACTTCTTTTCTTTTTTATTACATGTTGGACGTTTATATCGCAGTGGACAATATGTGCAGCGTACCTTTCCGTTGTAGTTTGCATTCAATGCGCTAAGCTCTCATTTCTATGCTTTCTATCATCACATCATATCTGCCTCTACTTTTAGATAAAATAAATTCTCCATTCACCAGATCATTTGTTTTCGCTCGATGAACTGCTCCTTCCATTGTTGTTTCAATCCCAGCTGCGAGATGCCGTGATGCAACCCGCCTGCAGGCCAAATCCGGTTCCACATGGACAAACCACTTGTCGTCCACAAGATCTGCGATTTCATCCCATGGATGCTCATCACAGAGAAGATAATTACCTTCCAAGATGCACACATCCACATCCGGCTCTATGAGTAATCCATCTGACACTGGATCTTTGATTGCATGATCAAAAGTGGGCGCGAGAACCGGCTGGGCGCGCGTGTTTGTTTTGAGCTTTCGAACCAGGCTCACTGCGGCATGGCCGTCAAAAGTCCAGGGTGCTCCCCGGCGAGCAAGAGCTTCCGAAGCATTGGGTAGTTTTCGCAGCGTGGCAAGTGGAAGATGGAAACCGTCGGCAGATACCACAATAGTTTTGGGGCTCTTTGATGGGAAGGAATTGATAATGTCGACAACTTTGTTGGCTATTGTTGTCTTTCCGGAGCCGGGAGGGCCTGCTACTGCGACTATGAGGCGAGGCGTCGAATTTTTGGTGCCGTTGGCGGTAGCGGCTTTTGCTTTCTTTTCCTCCCACTTGCTGAGGATGCAGTCTGCAAGTGACCTGTAGGTTTGATCCATCTTGTATTGCAAATAATTGGATGCCGGTTAAAAGGTCATAGTATTGCTTGTCGTATATATTCTTGCTCTGTAGAGCGGACACCGCTTTCCGTGTAAACCTCGTCCTCCATTGTGTGTACTGGGTGCTTTGTTCCACATGCCTCCTAAATCTCCGAGCCATGACCTTTGGTGCTCCATCTCTACGGGCGACTGTCGCCCTTACCCACTAATAGCTCATGACCAATCTTCCCCACTGTGCCTCTGCCGCCAGTTGCTCAGTACCACTTGTAAGCTTGCCCGTGGTCTCAATAACTCTGGTCGCTGAACCTCCAAAGTCTAGCAGTCGTTGAACTTCTGATCGGCATCTCATTACACTTCTTAGAGTTTTACTAATTAAAGAATATTTTTACCTACCTATACAACATTGGTGTAAGCTGAACCAATGTCAATCTAAGTAGCCTTTGCGGCCCCTGGACTAAAGCCGTCATGCACTTACAACACCTGGGCCCTTCTATTCAATTCATTCATGGATCAGCTCTGGCGTAATAGAGCAGAAGGTCGTTTGTCTTTTCTGTTTTTAAGGCGACCCTGTACTGTCAGCAGATAACATACGGAGTATTGTCTGCCCCCATTGTGTACTGAGTGAGTGCGGCCCCGCTCCGACTATTCCGACTGTTATTCCGACTGTCAGTCCAACAAAAGAATTGGTGGAATCTCAGGCTGGTCAGTGCTCGCATCTGGGCATCCGTACATTGGCCTTGGCCAGAATAACACCGCACTCCGGACGGGACAACGTTATAAATCCCGGGTCCGCCTTAATCGCCACTAATCACGTATTACCAATCGGCAACCCCTACAAGCTCGTCGTGATGCCTTGCACTCCGTTACGCCCCATTTGTACCATTCCGTCATCTTGAAAGCTTTTGCATCTCGTAGCAAGCTCATGTGGGATTGGGTATAGCGGTGAAGCGTAGAGCTTAAGTGCCTGTAGTTGGTATGATCCAGACTGAACTACGATTTTGAACTTCTGTCTAACTGGATCGGCAGCGGTCAAGGAAAAGAACAGGACACATCTCGATCCAACTTTATTAACCAGTATTAGTGTTTCATATCAACTCTCTAGATCTCACCAGATTGCCAAAGAAGCCCTGGTTGTGCGAATGCTAGTCATCACCATCTCCACTCTGCATGATGGGGGCCAGGGACAACCTGAATATGCAGTTTTCAACACCAGCGTCGCGTCTAGCGGGTGCCTGTCCTCAGTTCAGAAGTATTTGAATTTGCGAGTCAAATATTTTCACGTGATGTATGTGCTAAATGTAAATTCTAAGCTTATAGGTTGAATTTGCACAGGTCAGCTAGCGATGAACTGCTCTGCGCTCTGTCCGCCATTCGGCTTTACAATCTTCCTTTTCCAACGTAGTATCATTTACGCATCTGGCTTGAGAGCGAAGATATTCTGCGCTTGTTAATTACTTGCCTGTGTGTGACCCTCTTTTAACTCACTCATTTACTGTAGCACTTCCAAGACACTCTTTCTGCACTACAGCAGCTACTGGATTTGTCTCGGCACATTCTTTTGGGTCTTCAACTGTTGTTTTCGTTCGATTCAAGCAATGAGCGCGGAGAATGAGGGTCGTGTGATTATTCCTCGCACGCGCCCATCATGTTCACAGTGTCAAAGGTCAAAGAAGCGATGCGACCGAGAGAAGCCCCGATGCTCTGCATGTGTGCGGTAAGTGAAAACTAGGCCAGGGGCAAAATGAAGAGTTGAATTCTAATACACCAACGGCCAGATATGGGAGAGAATGCATCTATACTAGCACCGTGGGCATCGTGGAAAATGACCAACCCACAACACTTGCCCCATCTAGATCGCCGTCGAAAGTTGCTCAAGAGAATGAAGAAAACTTTCCTGTAGTGTTCTTCCTTGACTCTGTTCTTTTTCAGCGCTCCTTGAATCGGTTACCAGAACTAGAATTAAGCCTCGGCGATCCGCTCTTGAGCTACATTGGTCACGATTCGTCTGATAGAGCATTTGTAAGCAAATACTTTACAACTATTCATCCAGCGATACCATTTTTATCGAAGAGAGGGTTTAAAGAGAGAGTTTTAAATCCGTTGGCTCCTCAGCGACCAGCAAACACACTTCTTGTTGCTTCAATGAAGCTATTGGCAACTCCATTAGAAGATGAGGGGCCACGATGTGGTGCCTATTATGCGATAAAAAACAGCCTACTAGAAGCCGAACACTCATGTGTTTTGGAATTGCGCGTACTACAAGCCATCATCCTCGTTGCTGTATACGAGATTGGGCACTCTATTTACCCTGCGGCATACTTAACGGTGGGCTATTGTATACGGTATGGGACTGCGTTGGGCATTCACAGAGCAGTGGAGCAGTATTCAGAAGAGACCTTCAGTATTACCGAGTCCGAAGAGCGACGTAGAAGCTGGTGGACCATATTGGTCTTAGATCGGTCAGTATTTCATTTTAGTTGCTACTACTGGGACTCTTCTTTCGTACTATTCCCTTGAAAGACTTTTGACGGTTTGTGTCAAACATAGACGAACCATCATTCAGGCTAACTGTTAATAGTTTTATAAGCCTTGGTAGCGCCGACAGAGCCTTTCTCACACCAGATCCCAGCAGTAACAGCTTGTTACCTATTGACGACACGATATGGGAGGAAAATGTAAGATTGCTGAGTTGTGCAAAAAGATGCAAATTTGATAGCTTATGACGGCTTAGGGAGAGACCGATGCTCCGGTACGCAGGCTCTTTGAGCCACCGACCACGTCAATGGGCCGCTTCTCCTTGACTGCGCAAGCCGCAGTCCTTCTGGGTAGGGTGTTTCGTAGCATACATGAGTTCCCTGTTTCAGAAGAGTTTTGGCAAAACGATGTTAAAGTATTAGATAATACTCTCGTCGCATTGACAAATGTTTCGTTGGAAGAGGGTCGCTTTCGTGGCATTGCCGTGTGTAGCCCTTCAACTATCTGCTATAGGTAAGTAATCTACGTTCTTAATGAGGTATTCATTCAACTGACAGATCTTCATTGCACGATTGCTTCTACATGATAAAGAAAGATATGCACCTGGCAAAAAGCCACTCGCTTCAACAGATAACTTCATATCACAAGATTTCAAGCATGAGATTGCTGTTGGTATGCTTGGATTAGCTAATACAATAATCGCCACGAACAGCTGTGCCGCGGAGGAAATCACGCCGCTTTGTTTAGAGGCGATTTATCGGGGAGCAGTACTATACGCTCAAGAATATTCGAGAACAGGCGATCCCAGCACTGCAGCATCATGTAACGCTATCAAAGACGCTCTGAGCATAATTAGCAAGAGATGGAGGGCGGCCGGTAAGTCTCTCAGTTACTTTATTTGGATAAAGATGACGGGCTAACTTTTTTTTAGCATTCTATGTTCAATTAATTGATGCACGAATGGTAACTGGTATCTTATAGCTTTCCATGTCTGGACGTATGTAGTATATTTCGGTCCTATGCCTAGATGAGAGCTTTCCACAATGAAACGTTTGAAGCAATACAATTGGGGAGTAAGAGCTGTATAGAGATGTCTATTAAATCTAATTGAAACTGTCTATGAGAAGTAAAGTTTTGCCCAGGGTGCCATGGAATTGGCGGAGCATTGAATACAAACGATGCCTAGTAATTAAGCGCCGTTGATCTCTCCATATGATCCGAGCGGAGGAGCTCGACCAGCTGAGAACGGAGCCGTCGGCAGATGGCCATCCAAAAATTCGCCAACGACCTTTGTAAAATAACCGGCATATTGAAACAGATGACCATGGCCACTGCTGGGAAACATGACCAAGTTGGCTCGGGGTAATTGTCGGGCAAGAACATAGGAATTTTTTGTCGGAACGATAAGATCATTGTCTCCAGTTGTAACTAGCGCATCCTTTTGAATAGTCTGCAATAGAGAATAGGGGACTGGATCAGCATCCCAAGTCAAGTAAGCCTGTGTGAGATTGACTAGAGATTCTCCAGTTGTGAAGCCAGCAATCTCAGGCTCCCCATGCTTCCCAGCAACGCCTGCTCGTGAACCCAAGCTTCGGTTGAACCAAGCTTGTCCCTCATCACCGGTCGTGAAAGACGGGAAGAATGCTTCAATTGTTGGCAGCCCTGGAGTTGGGTTGAAGACCGTAGATTGCACCTCATTCATTGGCCGCTCAACGCCTGGCCCAAGGCTTGGGCCAGTACCAGAGAGAACCAATTTGTTAACCAGGCTTGGAGCATCCAAAGCAACTTGTTGAGCAATGTAGCCGCCCATGGAAAATCCGAGGATATCCACCTGCTGAGTGTGTAGGGATGGGAGTAGCACGCCGAGAAAGGCAAGCAGATTAACAGCAAAGCCCCTGATAGATGGCGCAATGTTGCCCTGGCTATGTCCTATCCCAGCATAATCGTACGTGATAATTTGTCGACCAGACGCAGTAATATTGTTGATAACTTCAGGATCCCATGTGTCAATGGTGGCCCGAACATGGTTGAGCATCAGCAAAGGAACTGGGTGACTCTTTGAGGTGGAATTTCCGATGAGTCGGTACGCATATTTGATGCCATCTGCGTCAAGATATAGAGTCTTTGCGGTTTCTTGTGTGGCCATGTTGTGAGATTTTGTTGTTGTTGTCTTGAATGATTTCTAGTGTTTGCCTGAATGCAAGTGGTGGTTGAAGTCTCATGATGAAGGGAGGCGGTCTCCTATATATACCCAAATGTGAGCCATGTTATCTATATCCAGACTCTTCATAACATGTAAAAACACCAATGTAACATCGTCACGTCGGCTTTCTTCTCGAATACTTCATATTTGTCATTGGTTCAACGGCATATCCCGCTCCCTGTCTCCTGTCCCGACCTAATCCGCCCTAATCCGCCCAGATCCGATCAACCCAGGTCCCAAAATCTCTGACCCACAAAACCGTGCCCGGTCCAGCTTGGAGTCGCTTATGAATTCATGGGCAAATAAGTCTGTTGAAGTTTCGTCGTCTTGAATGGACCCGAGAAGAACATTTCGGCGATATTAGAGGGAAAGATCGGCTTCAACGTTGCCAGTTGATTACACAATCTCCGCCTCTTCTTGCATCCTTATACAAGGAACGGAATACACCTGGAGTGGTTTTAGTTACTAGTTACCAAATGCATACATAAGTAGACATTGAGTGGTAACAGGCATTTCTATGTAGGTGGTTGTCCACAAATGAGAAAGCACTACATATTTCATACATTCAATCTCTATCAAACCATAGACGCATCATTGGACAAGTAAACGAAGGCAGGTGGGTCGCTGGATGGAAATAAAGGTTGTTGAAGCAAGTGGAATTTGAATTGTGCCATGCTGTACGGAGTACATTGCTATCAATTGTCCACATCTCGTGGTTCCATAGTAGACCATGCCTTCTCATATTCCTCGGCACTCATGTATTTGAACTCCGTTGGCCGTGTGATTGGCAGGAAATTTTCTCCGTTTTGTTCAAACAGTTCCAGCCTCTTCTTTGTTTCAGGCCGGCTTGCATTGACGCTGTATATCTTCACTCTGTGGCAGCTGCTCGTAACATGCAGCCCCCAATTCCAGCTGTGGCGCACGTTCATTGGCTGTGTGTTAAGACTGTTGTCCCAGCAGCGGACGACGAGCTCTGTCCATCCTTCATGGTCGCATGGAATAGAAGCAGACCAAGTCCTCCACGCGTATTTGTGCTTTGGTGACAGATTTTCGATCGGTACAGCATACCAAGCCCAGCCACCGTCCGAAGAGACCTCGACGCGCTCCGGCCAGCGCCCACCACCAGAATAGGCCCAACCTTGCACAATTAGCACCTTATCAAGTCGCATAAAAAGAAAGCAAATTGCGTCTTACCAGTAACTTCAATATGACCGTTATGAACCACAACTTCTTTATGCCAAGGGCTCATGATGGCGCTGCTGACCGGCATCTCTTGAATCTGAATTCCCACTGCTTGCAAATCAGTATAACTGTCATGGTCCAACATGCCGGAGTTTCTTACGCGTAGGTAGCTGATTATGCTTTCCGTATTGCTGCTGGAAATATAGATATTCTCTGCTCTGGACAGGAGCACGGCTGGGATTCTCGATTGCTTTGACACGGTAGAGCCACTTGACACTCCTCGCGCCAATATAGCCCATGACCACAGCCCTCAGTGGGAAGCCGTGGATCTTAGGCAAAGGCTTGTCATTCATCTCCCACGCAAGGAGGACTTCGTTTGCCTTGACCTTTGACCACGGAACCGATACCACATAATTCATGCAATCACCACCCTTGAAGTATGTTTCGGCTCCATATAACTCAAGATGTTTCGCATCACCCTTGAGTCCACCACAGTACTTGATGATCTTTTTGAGACTGACGCCTGTCCATTTTGCTGTCCCAATTGCTCCTTCTGCCCATGGAGCATTGATCATCTCGTCACCTTCACCAGCATACTCACCAATCTGCTCAACGCGCCTCGTACCACTGCACTGAATAGTAACCAGCATAGATGTGCGCGGGAATAAAGCTTCATTTTTTAGATCATCCAGCGTGAGAACTTTGGGGTTATTCACCAACCCATCAAGACGAAGGTCGAATTCTACTGGATCAATGTCCGGTATACCACCATGGTTGCGTACAAAATGAAGGTCGTTTGGTGTTATGGCTTCTTTGGTGAGAAGGCCTTTGGGAGGCTCGCCATTGTATGGGAACTGAAGAAGATGGAGCATGCCCGGGTGTTTTTCCTGTATGGAATAGTTAGTCTACTGCATGCATTCTCAATTGTAGGACAAGGGGTAATACCTCTAGGACAGTCTTCCAGCTGTCTTCAGGTACGTTGATGAGAGCACCACCAATAGCTTTATGCCACAGCTTCCATCGAACACCTTCAAGGACTGGGTTGGTAGCCGGGACTGGCCCAAGTTGGAACTCGGGAGGTGGAGGGAATTTATGGCGTGAAAACCTCTTGCGAGCTTTAGCTTTTTTCTCCGGATATTCTTCCCACTCTATGTATCCTTTCCACCCTTTTCTTTCTTCTCCAACTACAAATGTCGGATCATCATCATCCGCATCTGCACGAAGTTCCGCTGAATTTGTCTCCGTAGGTGATTCTGATTCCGTATGAATCACGAGATTGCTCTGGTTCCGTAAACCAAGATGAGCGGGATCTAATCCTTGCTCAAGTTTCCATTCATTTGGAGGCTAGTGATTGTATACATGGTTAGCATTCATAGATATCACTTCTGGTTAATCTGCTGACCTGAAGACCAACCCACCGCTTGTTATCTGTATCCATTGCTCAATTGGTTCTTCAAATTAGAATGCTGATAGCCAGTCAATATCTTTGGAGCTCTAAAGCATTTGAGATACACCAAATAATTTCCCTGCTTATATACAAAATATCCGGTTGGGCATCCACCTGATACTCATATCGCAATCACTCCAAGTGCGGGGTTTCATAGTGAGATTAATCTATCCATGCAGATGTTACGTCACTATGATTAAAGATTTCTATGCAGAGATAGCTTTATAATGATCTATCTTAAAGAGAGATAACACCTCGGGACTTGGATGGGATTGGAAGTTGTGTAAAACGTGGTGTCTTTTGAACAAGAAGGGAGTGCCAATCTAAGATGAAGCCATCCTCAATCGGCTGTAACTATGGCGTTGGACAAAGTGGTCATTTTTTAACTAAAGAGGAGCTCAAACCTAATGGTTTGGGTACAACTTCGGCAATTGTTGTCACTCGTGGCGTAGCTGTGTCAATTTATTGATGGCTAACCGAGGTCACCTTCCCTAGGCGCCTAAGGAAGCTTTGTTAGACTTCATACATGCCATTTCCGGAGCACATATGGAAACCTCGAGTCTTTTTTACTAGGCGAGATAAATGTGCTTCATTTTGTCTATGTCTTGGTGCTGCTAAATAAGAAAGTTTTCCAACGTCGTAAACCCGATGATTGCTGATAGAGAAGTAAAAGGATACTCTCCTGAATCTAAAAAGTAAGAAGTAACTTGAGTGTAAGGCTTGCAATGGTTAAAGGCAAACGCTGTTTAAACTTCATCCTCGCTTCCATATCGCCATAATATCACGAATCCAAGCAAGCATTCCTCGTGCCCGAGCAGCGGCATTCAGAAGCCACAAGTACCTCTTCACGAATGTTTCCACCTGGTCGTAATCATGGGCGTAGCATTCCCAAATTCCCTGCGCCTGGTTTTGATCCTCTGTACCCAGCGAGCCACTTCTATTATCGACTACCTCGAAATCTTGAGGCTTTAACCGCGGACCAACAACGAGCGCGCGACCAACTATGGATTCATCGGCAATCAAACGCGTGGCTGCATCGACCACATCGGGAACTTGTCCCGGCCCTGCAGAGCCAGAGAGTAAAAGTGCCTCGGTGATCGGCTGTAGCATCTTCGTCTGCGCAATATAGTAGGGTGCTATCATGTTTATGCGGATTCCCTTCAAGAAAGCGGTTCCGCGCATTGAGCGAAAGAGGCCCAGCACAGCATGTTTGCTCATGCAATAATGACTCTGGCCAGGAAGGGGGATGAGTGATGCCACAGAGCCGACAAACAGAAAACACCGATCTGGTCTTTTGTTTTGTGGAAGATGATATAGCGCAAGGTGAACGGTGAAAATGACCCCTTTGACGTTTACATCGAGAGTAGCTGTGTTGGGCTCGGGCAATTTGCCATTCACCAAGTCGGGATTTTCGAATTTGGTTGCCTCCCCAGGGAGAATAATTCCTGCATTGGGCACCACAATATCTATAGCACCATGTGGGCTGGCTTTGACCGCGGCATCGAACAGGCTGACCTGAGATTCCCAATCTGTGACATCGCAGTGTTGGAACTCAAAAACTCCTTTGGGATATGCTATTCGAAGAGATGCCACAAGCTCCTCGCCAGCCTTGTCCGCAACATCACCGATCACAATATTGGCACCATGAGAAGCCCAATGGCGGACCATATGCGCGCCCAAGCCATTAGCGCCTCCTGTGATGAGAATCGTTTTATGCTTGAGAGTCGATGGGTCGTACGGCTTATTAACATCTACCGGGAGTGACTGCTTGATGGTTTGCCGCACGTCGCCCATCTTGAACGCCTGGATATGTTGGCGATGTGATGCGGTTCTGGTGATGGAAGCTTGGTAATGTCTATCAAAAGGATCACTGAAATATATTGTAAAGCCATATTTATTTGTCTTTGGAAAAATGCATGTTTTCTACTAGCGCTTATGAAAATGCTCTAGAACATTAAATAGTCTGGCATCTAGTGGGAGGGGCATATGTGAGGCTCAGGTAGTGTTAGATAGTTGCCGTGAGGGAATCGGATTGAGGTACGATACACCTGATGATAAATCATAATAATTAGGCTTCTCTATAACCTTTATAATAAGAGGAAGAAGAAAGGTGAAACAAAGTTGGGATCTTCGATATTGTAACGCTCTATGTTGCGCTTCCCAGTTTAAGCGTCGCGTCCCATCTCTCAGCTTATCTTGGCAAGTCAGGCAGTAGCAATCTTATCTCCACTTAAATTCGGGATTGGTGAGCGGTTCCAGCTTCCATCGACCGGTCTGGGCACGTCTTCATATGCCGCTGAATCGTCATGGCCAAGCTGCTGTTGCCATCATGAGGTCTGAAGTAGTCATACCGTTTGATGAGACTTGAGTGAAAGAGAGACTCGTGGCATAAATAGAAACGGTAAGATGAAGATGAGGGGTATCCAAGCCCTTTAAAAGAGAGCAAGGAGAGCTAGAAATAGAAAAGTCCATGGAAATATGGATGCTGCGAACTCGCCTCAGTACCCCACCTCCGTGTACTTGCTTGAGGCCTACGAAATTGCGCTAATGTGATTACGCCCCCCTGTTACTTCCGAGCTCGTCCGCGATCTCTTCCGTCGCTTTAATTTGTCCGATATTACGGATTACCCAACCTATCATTCACACAGCATTATGACAGCTCGGAAGTAACATCGCCAATTCTGCATCACCTATGAAGTAGCTGTCGTGTATTTGACCAAGAAGTCCCATAAGCCGCTCGGGGTTTGGCTTCGCAGTGATTGTGCTCATGCCCCATTCGCGTATTATGTCTCCATTCATATTTATACATACATCTCGAATGAGCTTGATGTAACCTTGCCTGGCAACATCTGTGGATTTGTTGATCTTCAGTTGCATCTATTCATACATCAATGGCAATTTAAGTCTTAGTTTATAATTTTATTCCCAAGTATAGGATAATTACCCAATAAGATCATTATAGACGCTACTACGGCCTTCAGATTGCATGTCACTCATTCTTTAACTTCTATTTGCAACCGTCAGTAGAGAAGATCAGGCAGAAAATTGTTTCTCTCTATCCATTTCATCCAATCATGAAAAAGAGTTGCATACTGTGTGTCATCTTTGGGAAACCACTTGGAGCAACTGATGTAAAATTAGATCAATAAACTACTCTGTCTTACAAGTCTGCAATACTTGAAACTCTCGGCCGTAATCTCGTCCGAGCTCCAAAGCTTAGACACAGCCATACATTGCTTTGCGTTCTGTATCACTAATATTTATAAAACACCAAAATTCGGTGTGAAGAAAATGCCATTTGCCATTGAGCGTCACTGAGGTTGCGATCTCTATGCACTCAATCACTGTATAATTGTGTTGAAGGCCTTTTTATCTTACTCAGCTTATTCGTTAAGTGATATCTGGGAAGGGAGCAACCGAACGCTAATCATCTCTTTCAGCTGCACTGTGCCCCAGCATTCCAGCCCTCGGACGTCGACGGACCAAAATTGTTACGCAAACATATCACACGGACAAGTACTCCGTATGATATCTGACTTTTCTCTGAACACCCTTCACGGTGATTAATCTTGTGGATACACCTTAAACATCGATGTCACGTACCCGCTTTCTCGCCATGACCAAACACCTGATTGGGTTGGCATACACTTCGTCAACATTACACGTTTTAATAGTTTCCACAATGAAGCGTCAGCATTGTATCAGTAAATATTTATCACTTGTAAGCTCACTAATTGGCTATTATATGTGGTTAGTACTCAATGTTTTGCTTAACCGCTCGTTGAACGATTCATGTATATAGCCATATGGATTTCCCAAACTAAGCAAGATTTCCATCACGTCTGTTGGTATACAATACTCGCAACAACCTCAACTTATACAGCTCACTCACAATGTCTGACAACCGCCGGAACGTCTCATTCCAAGCTTTTGATGGAGTTACCCTTAAAGGCTGGTTTTTCCCAGCTACTAAAGAAAAAGGTCCATGTATTATTATGACTCATGGGGTACGTTCAACTGGCGAGCCATAATGTAGATCAAAATTATTGATTCCGAACATTAGGTCACGGCCCTCAAAGAGCACTTTATTGAGGGAATGGCTCTAGATTTCCAAAAAGCAGGATTTAATGTCTTGCTCTATGACAATCGTGGGTTTGGAGAAAGCGGCGGCCGCAGATATGACTCAGACCCTGTCAAAGCACAAGACGACTACATTGATGCCTTTGACTATGTTACATCCCTTGCAGAGGTTGACCCTAAGAGAATTGTCTTTTGGGGACCAAGTCTCGCCGGAGGAGTCGCCATATCCGCTGCGGCAATTGACCGCCGAGTCAAAGCTGTTATTGGCCTCGTGCCCTATGTATCGGGAGAGCTTTTACTAGGGACTGGCCAACCCCTTCTTGATATGGCCGAACGAGATCGCGCCATAATTCGCAAAGGGGAAGAATGGCCTCTCTCGCGCGTTGTTGCTTCCACTATTGAAGAAGCCGAGGCTGGAAGTGCGCCTGTATTGCTCCGAGATGCGACCAGCTTCCGCTTCTTTCAAGACGCATCTGCCCAAGGCGGCAGCTGGGAAAATAAAATTACTACGATGTCCCTTTTCCGATTCCTTCGGTTTGAGCCGATTAGCTATATCCATCGGATCGCGCCTACACCTCTCCTGATGGTTGTTGGGGAAAAGGATGAGACTTTATTTACACCTCAATTGCAGGCATTTGGGCTTGCGCAGGGCCCAAAAGAGCTTCACATCTTGAAAGGCGGCGATCATTTCAACCATTACCAAGGGGAACTACGCGAAGAAAGTCTTGCAGTGCAGATTGAGTTCTTGAAGAAATATGTGTAGCCTAATCATCCTGTAGAGTTAACTTTATATAAGCCTTTAATTCCAGATTTTGGGGATCCAGCGAGATGAGAAGAATGTGTACATGTACTCATGCGACCCTATGCCATGATACTGAAACATGATTCAGTACCGTTCCACTATCAGAGGACCAAAAAAATGGTTTCAAGCCGCAAAATGTTTGGATAGTGAAAGTAAAGTGATACGTTATGGTTCGTATTATATTAAATACACGAGGTCAATAAGATGCAGTGCTTGAGATGACACTCAATGATATTTCCGAACCACATGTGTAAACTGCTCAGGATAATCACCCACGTTACCTAATTTCAGTATGAACTAAGACCCTGTGAAAGTCCCCAGCGCAATATGTTGCGTGTCGCGTCTTATTGCGTAATCTGCCGTATCAAAGCCAAAGCGAGGTGCTCATATTTATCTCCGATGGCGTGCCGTTTCTCTGACCGTGTGGAGTTGACGGCGCCGATGCATTTGGGTACTTTTGAGGCTGCTTAACCATGTTAAGCTGACTGATCATAGTAGTATGCCCATGCAATATAATACGAGAGGCTTTCCGATGCTTATTCAAGACGACTGTTATACAATCTAACAAAGCTGCCCACTAAATGTTTGTACTCTAGATCGCCAATATGTGAGAATATGCGGAGTAGACAAAGCGAAACCATGGAAGAAGCCACTGCGGCCACTCAAAAAGCGCTGCTTGGAGGGCCAGCGCTTTTCAACTTTCACTCTTACATAAGAGGGAACTGTGATGCGAAGGAGTTCAATTGGGAAAACAAAATCACACTCGAAAGCGCCTTTTATAATTTCGCCAACGAATTCCAAGCATATCTGCCCAGAGTTTCTCCTAGGCCGCTCTTATATATCGCACCCAGCGGAGAGCTCCCTGCTGAGCCTCATGAGCAAGCATATACGAAAGTAAACGAACCAAAAGAGTTTCACAAGATCGAGCCATTTGACTTTGGAGGATATATGAACGGCACAGCAAAGGTGTCCCAGAAGGATGTCGAAGTGAAGTTTTTACAGAAGCATCTTCTGTAAATCACTTAATGTTTCTCAGCTTATTAGGAAGAGAGGGGATTCTTGGACCCACCATATAGTTTTAGCAAGTCATACGCCTGATTTGGCTCAAATTACTGGCAAGTCTTGAGAAGATTGAAGAGCATCTGCTTCAACATCGTCCAGAGAGTGAAGTTGTGTAAAATCAGCAGCTAAGTCCTGAGGCTCAGTATGATGAGTATCATGCCTGTCAACGCAGGATCCGAATTCAGCGTTCTCAAATACTACCTCAATATCACGGGACCGATATCCTTTCCACTGGAGCCACGCCAAGAAGGCCCAAATCGAGCGCGCCGGTAATTTAGTAATGGAACCGTTAGTATGGCTTTCAGCGGGGTATCACAGGTATGTAATCAATAGGAAGGTCGAGCTTCCAGTTATGCCCCAAATTCCCTGAAACAATAGAATAAGAGGCACAGAGCCAAATGGCCCTTTTGCTATATACGTAATTGAAACTCAGGAAAACACCACACGCCCGCATCAGCCGATGCACGACCCCAAAGTTATTGCGAATAAAGCCAGAGATATAGATAGCGAAAATCTTAGAGCTAATCTTAACTATTCATGACTCTCTGTGCGCATACTCTATCTACCAGCTAAGATATGACCAAACTTGGTTTCTAAATTCATTTTTACAGCTGCCAGAATCTTTGTAATTAAACAAAAGATATAAGAAGATTTGTTCTATATAAGTTTACGGTTATCATGACATTTTTCTTGGTTTAGGAGCTATTCTCGCTGTTTTCCTTTCTACGTGAGATAGGCGCAATTACTAGTGAAGAAGCTGTGCCAATGATAGAGGAGTTTCAGGGATTGTAGAATCACCTTCCTTTTAGAGCAGTATCAAAGGTCCGGCACTCGGCATCCCCTCCTTCTTAAAACTTGACAAGCCGCCGGCGGGTATTGCGCCATATAGATATCTGCCGTCCCTCCTGTTCAAAGGTTCCTTATTCCTCGGACATTGTGACGCAATTAGCAGGTGCCCAGATATTGCGATCTTAGTGTGCATGGTGCTAGCTGAAGAGCCCAAGTATCTGCCTTTCCACAGCCGATAGACTCCTCCAGTTAAGCTCGCAGGCTAGCTCGCCAAAGCTAGTTTATGGCAATATATAACCTTAAACGAATCTTAAACTGTATAGCATATCTTAAACTATATAGCAGACAAATGCAGCATGAGTATGGCTTCATAGGAATGACGATTTGTGCCAAAGATGATGGTAACACTTGATCATTAGTCTAAGAAGATACGGAGGTCGTCCAAACAAAAGTTCATGAGTTTATGCCTTAACACACAGCATGAATATCCATTAGCAAACATGCGGATGATATTGCTACATCTTATTGCTTTCCGTATTCAAACTAGATGCCAAGAGGTTGGCGCTGTGACTACCGAATGAAAGCAAACAATCTTGTTTGGATCGATTTGTCCTAAATCCTTTTAGGCAGCTTGCTTGTCTGTGAGCAACGACTTGGCAGATCATTCAGAAAGACGCCATATTGATAGAAGTGATGATAGCTCAAGCTGGGGAAATCGATTACATATAGGGCGCCGAGAAAAAATATTTAAGTCGACTCTCCTCGCAGCAAAATACTTTTGATCAGACTCAGCCATCAATCTCCCATTTCCTCTAAGTCTACAATAAGAAGACATCTTCACAATGGCCAGCATCCGCCGCCTTGCGCTCTATCTCGGAGCTTTGCTCCCAGCTGTCCTCGCTGCCCCTGCGGCTCACCATAAGGCTCCCGAGGCTGTTCCCAACAAGTTCATTGTTACTCTCAAGGAGGGTGCGTCGGTTGATACTGATTCTCACTTGACTTGGGTGAATGACCTCCACCGTCGTTCTCTTACCAAGCGCAACACCGCTGGTGTTGAGAAGACATATAACATCCACACTTGGAATGCCTACGCCGGCGAGTTCGATGAGGAAACCATTGAGCAGATCAAGTCTAGCCCTGATGTATGTCTTATTCATGATCTTACATTATACATTAACACCGTCGAGATACTAATAGTAGACTCAAGGTCGCTTCCGTTGAGCCAGACTACATCATGTACCTGTCTGACATCGTTGAGGACAAGCGCGCCTTGACCACCCAGACTGGTGCTCCTTGGGGTCTTGGTACCGTTTCCCACCGTACCTCCGGCTCTACTAGCTACATTTATGATACCTCGGCTGGCAGCGGAACATATGCCTACGTTGTTGACTCCGGTATCAACACTTCTCACCAGCAGTTTGGTGGACGTGCCACCCTCGGCTACAACGCCGCTGGAGGACAGCATGTTGACACTCTTGGCCATGGTACTCACGTCTCAGGAACTATTGGTGGTTCTACCTATGGTGTTGCTAAGCAGGTAAGCTGAGTTCATACATTGCTTCAGAGTCTATGGCTCGTAATAACTTTGCCTCGCTAACTGGGAGATAATAGGCCAACCTCGTCTCCGTTAAGGTCTTCCAGGGAGACAGTGCTAGCACTTCGGTCATTCTTGACGGCTACAACTGGGCTGTGAACGATATCGTCTCCAAGAACCGTGCTAGCAAGTCCGCCATCAACATGTCGCTCGGAGGCCCCGCTTCCTCAACCTGGACTACCGCCATCAATGCAGCCTATAACCAGGGTGTTCTTACTATCGTGGCTGCCGGTAACGGTGACTCTTTCGGAAACCCCCAGCCTGTTTCTGGCACTTCTCCTGCCAATGTGCCTAACGCTATCACTGTTGCTGCTCTCGACATTAACTGGCGAACTGCTTCTTTCACCAACTACGGTGCTGGCGTTGACGTTTTCGCCCCTGGTGTTAACATTCTGTCTTCATGGATCGGCTCGAACACGGCCACCAACACAATCAGCGGTACCTCCATGGCTACTCCTCACGTTGTCGGCCTTGCTCTTTACCTCCAGTCTCTCGAGGGTCTTTCCACCCCCGCTGCTGTCACCAACCGCATCAAGGCTTTGGCCACCAGTGGCCGCGTCACTGGCAGCCTTAACGGCAGCCCCAACGTCATCATCTTCAACGGAAACAGCGCTTAAATTCGCTATACAGTCAACAATGCCTGGGCTTAAATGGTGGAAACTGTGGCACATTAACTGATTGGTCTATTGTAGAAAAATAGTTATGTACTCGGTAGGCAAAGTCAGCGCCATGGTCAAAGACCATGCTTAAAAGTTGAACAATTGAGAATAAAAAAAAATTATCCATCTATGCTGAGAGCTCCCTCCACAAGTGAACATGTCTACCGTAGTATCTTCGAACAAAACCAACCATTCCGCATCGCATGATGGTGTGGGGATGATCTGCCTTGGTTGCTTACTACATCATGTGCTTATATACAGTCTTCTACTGCTTAGCCTGCCTGGTAAAGGGGAGCTGGATATTGAAGAGATACTTTATATGCAAAGTACGGTTTCGACGTATCAGGTTATAAATGAACAACTTAGAAGTATTACTTAGCCTATCGAATAAAGTCTATATTAAACATGAGTGAAAGTAGCGTGCAATAACACGACATTGGTTGTTTTAACCTGTTTGTCTGGAGTTGGAATTAGTTGATGTCGTCGATCATTCTCAACAAGGTCGCTGAGTAAACTGTAGTCTCTCTGATTTTATGTTTACTGCCTTATTTATTTTCTAAATATTGACTTTTAGTACTCTTCGTGCAGCTGCTGCCCATGTAAAGTTGTCATCTCTATGGATGGGTTCGATCGGCTATAACCGATCGGATCTAGATAAGATGCAGACAGGACCCGTCAGACTAGTCAACAATGAGATATTAGCTACTGATCTAACACAATTGACTCTGACTCTCTGGAATAATTGCAAGCAAGCTTGCCTATCTCCTCCCGGGGGAGGCCCTTTGCAGTTCTTACAGCCTATTGAGCTGCTCCATGGAGTAAATGAAAATATTATCCAGCCTGGTATCTAGAGCTGTCAAATCTCTACGAGCACAATGTGATCATACTAACTGCTTCCCGCTGATTTAAGTCCTATGCATTATTTTGTCTGAGTAACCCGCGGTGGAGAGCTCCCCATGCATTTTTGAGCACCAAGTGTGTGCTGCAGGTCATTACGTAATCTGATCCGTTAGACCACGTATTATTATTTCCAGGTTATTTTATTTTTTTTCCCTTGGCGGTATAGCAACATTTGTCGGAAGAACTCATCGGTGCGTGCCCATATCTTGCTTGCATATTTGGACCACTGCCACAATGGCTGCCCAGATTGAGCCAAGTCAAGTTGCAGCCATATTGCTCTCTTGGCTCGACCTTGAGCTAATTTCGTGCACCACTCTTCAAGGCCTCTGGGCAGGATACGGCCACATCTGCGCCGTTTCTGCTCGACCAACTGCTCAAGGCGCGATCACACGGTGGCAGCGCTTCTCCAAAGACCAGGGAAATGACCAAGGCAGATTAATCCATCTCGTTTTGAAGATAGTTCGCCCTCCATCCACAGCTGGAGATGAAGGGCATCTTCGTAAGATGTTCAGCTACGAGGTTGAGCAGTACTTTTACGATGAAGTTGCTCCTCGCCTCACGGATACCATAGCAGTAGCACAGTGCTTTGCTTCGACAAGAAGTATGAAGAAAAAAGCCATTGAGCATGGAATTGATCATTTGATGGTTACTCTCATGAACGATTTAAGGCTTGAGTTTCCCCTTGCCGGCGAAAAAAGGGCAGTGCTTTCAAGCAATCAGGTCTATGCAGCTCTAGCATGGTTGGCCAAGTTCCATGGCAGCTCATGGTCTTATTTGCCTGAAAATTTGGATGAGTTTCTTTTACCGCCTCTTGAGGAAGCCTCAAGACGTCGAAATGACCCCGCATCAGGTGGAAAAGCCCTTTGGTTGAATGGAGGATATACATATCTAGCCACTCGACGACAGGAATATCGATCGCTTGAGCAAGACAAGTTCTCAGAGTGGTCTGATATATTTTGTACCTCAATTGATGGATCTCTATCCGTTGCCGAAAAAGCCGCCGACTTTCTCAAGCCGCGTGGTAGGCCTTTTGAAACATACATTCATGGGGATGTGAAGTCAGAAAATCTTTATTCAACAGAAGCTGGAGATGATGTGGTATTCTTTGACTTCCAGTATGCGGGTCTAGGATTGGGCGTTTGTGATTTGGCCAAGTTGTTCACTTGCTCTGTCCCAATGAGTATGCTTATCAACGATGATCCCATCCCAGACGACTTGGATATGAATGAACGGGAAAAGAAGTTGCTGAAGCACTATTGGACCATTTTAATGGAAAACCGACCACATGAGAAAATACCTATATATGATTGGGACGAATTTCTTCGACATTGGGAGACCGCCCTTGTCGACTGGTGTCGATTCCAGGCGTCTTGGGGATTCTGGGGGAATACAGAATGGCTAGAATCAAGAGTGAGGTTTATTACTAAAGATGATGGCTGGAGAGATTGGCTTCAGCGTCAATCTTAAAATTATGAAGTATGAAAGCTCAGAATAGCATTGTTTAATTTGGGATCTAAATATTATACAACCTTCATTGTGCATATCCTGTCATTCCATTTTGAACTATTTCCCTTTCATGTCAAGCGTTTCTCCGTGGAGTCTCTGGGAGAGAAAGAGTAATAAGGATCAACAAATTATGTCCCAACTGGTGTCAGAGAAATAGGTTTAATGATGCCACTATCACTATTCATGAACTCAATTAATATGTGTTTAATCGAACAATCTGGTTGAAAGATATTGTAATATGTAAGGAAACAGTATATAAAAAGACTAGCATCCATCATTGTAAGGCGAAGTACCTCAATCTCAATCTGTCAATGGATCAGTCCTAGCACAAGTCTTCTGTGGCCACTTGAACCTCCTTTCGGCTCGTACATATAAGTTACTAGGCTTAATCAGTAAATAATAAGGATTATACTCGACGGTTCCCGTTTCGGCCAGACTAAATCTGTATCGGTACAACAGCTTAGATAGCACGATTTTAACCTCTTGGAGGGCAAAATTGAATCCAATGCAGCTCCGAGGGCCCGAGGCAAAGGGTTGGTAGGATCCAGCAGGTCGATTTTTAACTTTCTCGGTGTCCCACCGGTCAGGATCAAACTTTTCAGCGTTATCCCAGATGTGTGGGTTCTTGTGAATGTGGTGCAAATCGGCAACAACAATAGAGTCCTTTGCCAACCTGTACCCCCCAGGTAAAATCATGTCCACTAAGGCTGTTCTGGCGGGCTGGAACGAAGGATTGTGTGTCCGCTGAGTTTCCTTGATAAAGTTATTCAGAAACTTGAGTTCGTTTACCAGATCTCCGGTCACTTGGATGTTGTCATCCCAGTCGTGGTCAATCAATTCTTGGAGCAATCTCTCTTGCACCCCTTCGTTGGTCACAAGGGCGTATATCATCCACGAGAGCAACGCGGCGGAGGTTACAAACCCGGCGCCGGTAAGCACAACCAGAGCTGGTACGAATTGATCCCAGGTCAATCGATTGCCCTTCAAATCTCTTGCCCTGAGACAGTAGTCTGCCATGATTAATTACTAGTCAGCTTTAAGCTTGCTAAAGATAGAAAGAATGAGTTCGTACTTACCGACTAAATTTTGAGACTGTAGAGCGGCATCTTGAAGGTTTAAATCTTCAATTCCCGTGGATGCATTCTTGGATGTTTCAAATATCATTCTCTGGATTTCGTGCATATTGTCTCGAAGTTTTTTGGGGTCTCCGAATGGCATGTTTGCATACCAGCTACCGAAAGACGACACTCGCTTGCTTAGTTCGACATTATGCGCAAGCTTGAGCACAAACTCGTGCAAAGGAGCATCAACAGATGCGAAGTGATTGAAATCCATGCCAAAAACAAGTCTGCCAACTGCTTGAGAACCGATCTTCATCATGTATGGAAATACGTTCCATGCTTCCCCATCCTGATCCAATTTGTCGAATACATTGAATGACTCTTCCGCTGTTTTTTGCATTGCTGGTGCATAATGTCGAACTGCCTTGGGGCCCAAAGCTGGCGGTAAAAATTTATGCGTAATCCGCCATGCCTCCGAATCTGTATCGCCAAAAAACAATCCAGCTTCTGGCATACCTAATGGATGTATGGGATGGTTGGGGATTATCTTTTTCGAAAAGAAAGGGCTCTCAGTGAAGAAGAGATTGGCCAAACGAGGATCATTAGTATGGTGGATGCGACTTCCCATGTTGGTCGTGACGAATAGTGATCCGTATTTATTAAATAGCCGTTGATGGTTTCCAAGATGGTCGGGATATACTTCGAAAAAGCTTCCAACGAATGGCAAACCACCTGGCCCCGGTATATCTCGTACAGATTTGCCACTGATTGATATCGCAACGGGGTCGGTTGCTGCGCGTACCTCGTTTACCGATGTCAACTCGATATTTTGATGAATGAAGCCAACATCTAGAAGAAAACGTAAACACCAATGTTAACATGAAATGTTTGTGAATAATACACTAACCGTTAGAGTCTACAATAGCAAAGTGAGATGCAACCAACTCTTGCAAATCCGCAAAACTGAAGTCCGAAGGGAACGTGATTTGGCGGGAGGTGGATGGTTGCTCCCCCAAAAGATGGAAAGACGAAGAAATCATGATGAAAGGTTATTTTGCGACGCTGATATGTTGATACAATTCAAAATATCTTGGAGACGTCCAACGCGCTTTATAGTTATAGATGTTAATAGATCATTTGCTCACAAAATAATAGTCGCAAATACTACCACTTTCTTGATTATCCGGCTTGGGTCACTTTCCATGGTATGTCTCCATGGAATTTCCATAGAAAGGGGCAAAGTAAATATTGTTCGGATATTCTCCATGCTCCGTGGACCGTAGAAAATCAAGATGCAATGTAACATTATTATTCGATCCTGTTATGCATCCGTAGCAGTTGCAGAGCGAAACCCGCCCAATCCTCGGCTAATGTCCCCTTTTCGTATGCATAATAGAGGGCATAAGTAGTCTTTGACATATTAACATTTACCAACCTATACCCTGCATTCCTCGGAAACCCACCCTCCTTCCCGCAGTTGGCGCCCGGGTGAGTTGTGTCGGTCGAAGATCACTCCGCAAAGGTTGCTTCCGGAGTGACAGATGCCGTATGCGTTTGTGGGGCTTCGGCGTTTTTAAGTGAGCGATCAGCGTCTAGGAAGAAACAACAATCTCCGTCTCGGATTGGACTATTTTGGGATTGCCGACAACTACCGATGCTAGTATTCCCGCAATACGCCCTTTTGCGGATCAGAATACCAGCCAAATAGTTTATATATAATTCGCACAAGCATCCCAAACCTTTTGGACGATTCAATCGAAACGACAAGTTCAGACATATGAAATCCAGCCAATATGACTCCAGAAACGGAATACACGGCGGACGAAGTTGCTCAGCACACCAAGCCTGATGACATATGGATGACTATCCATGGGGAAGGTTCGTCGGCTTACTATCAACCTGGACGATTGACATTAACTTTTTACAGTGTACGACGTAACTAAATATGTCATGGATCATCCAGGAGGAATCGAAGTTCTCTTGGAAGCAGCCGGCACTGATGCAAGTGATCCATTCGACAATGCTGGCCACTCAGATGATGCCTTCGACCTCATGACCCCTTTCCGAATTGGGAAATTGAAAGGTCACGTTAATAAAAAGTCAAAGAATCCAATTCTTTTGCAACCTCCACTCGAGAAGCTTGATTCTACGAAACAATCTCATGGCCTAGCAGGAATAACCTTGGGATTTCTTTCGCTGGGTATTGCGGCATCGACGTACAAGATTCTTAAGGGAGAACATGGTATTTCAGCCTTGACTCATGCCCTCTCGATTTTGTCGATACCGATTGCTTCTACACAACCAAGTAACTCAATTTACTCCAAGGGGTTACTGGGTAGCTCATTACTCTTAATGGGCTGTACAGCATTTGCAATACGGAAGTCTTTTGGCATTATCATGGGTGAAACGAACTTTAGAACGTACCCAAATCACCTGAAAGTACCTAAACCGGTGACACGGGATCCCTTACTTCAAAGGGGTTGGTTGGATTCAGTGTTATCTCCCCTACCGTTGGCAAAGAAGATACTTATTGCACCAAATGTATACCGCTTGGTGTTTTCCCTACCTCAGCCAGAAGCAATGTTAGGCCTACCAACTGGTCAACACGTCGCTATTACGATGAACATTGATGGAGAAAAGGTGACAAGGTCTTACACTCCAGTATCCAATAACTTAGATTATGGTGTTCTGGAATTACTCGTCAAGATCTATCCAGACGGCAAGTTGACTGGTGGCTGTCTTGCCAACCTCCAAATTGGAGATGCGGTTCATTTCAGAGGTCCTAAAGGAGCAATGCGCTACACCAACGGACTTTGTAAAAAGATCGGAATGATAGCTGGTGGTACAGGCATAACTCCGATGTTCCAGCTCATTCGAGCGATCTGTGAGAACGACCGTGATGCGACAGAAATAAGTCTGATATACGCAAATCACACAGAGAACGACATTTTACTCAAAGACGAGCTGGATAAGTTTTCCCGCCTATATCCTAAGCTGTTCAATGTCTTCTACGTCATTGAGCATCCATCAACAACTTGGAACTCTGGAGTTGGCTACATAACGAAGGATATGGCAGCACAAAGACTACCGCTTCCGGGAAATGATGTCAAAATCATGGTTTGCGGTCCACCTGGTATGGTCGGCGCAGCCAAGAAATTTCTTGGAGAGTTGGGCTACGAGACTCCAGGTGCAAACCCGAAGATGAGCGACCAGGTTTTTATTTTCTAGAGAGAGTGTGAAAAGCATAAGACAGCCATCAAAAAGGTTGTGTGGCAAGAGGTTCTTATATTTCTTATATAGCGTCCAAGCCTAGCCAAAAGCATTTCAGTTCTGTAGTTAATACATTTTAAAATTATGTCTAATTAGCGACGTCGAATATTTGTGCCATTGGTGAAACCCCATTTTGCCTGTAACTGGAATGCGACCCGCCCGTTATAAAGGGAGTGTCAATGCGCATGCCGATTATGCGATCTCTATGGCTTGACAACAGCAAGTTTACCACGAACGGGGACATTTTCTTGCCTCCCGATTTCGGGGAACTCTGACAACTTGACTCCCTTTCGGAATAGGAGACAATGTGTTGATCCACCAAAATGAAACATGCCTGTTTGTTCACCTTTCTTCACATGTTGGCCCTCTTTGACGGTGATGTCCACCGAGCTGACTTCATCCATGCCAATAGCAATAAAAGCCATCAAACCGATTGCTGGATTATCTGCCTCAATGAAGATGATGCCTCGAGTTGCCATCGCAGACAGGTAGCCTTGACCGACCGAAATGCCGCCAGTATTGATTTCATGAACAGTCGGATCACCTACGCCTTCAAAGAGAGGCTCGCTGAAGTACGTGCCATCCTGGACGAAAGCGCGTTTGATGGTTCCTGAAACTGGGGAATGCCAACGGTGATAGGACAACGCCGAGAGGAACGCCTGGTAGACTGTTGCGCCGGCGAAATGTTGAGCGAGTGGATCGTGAGCCAGCATATCAAGTACTGAGTAAGGCTGGCCTTTTGCGAAAAATTTGTCTCGCAGTTGAGCACCATGCTGAATGTTGAACACCTTAGATTCGCATGCATTGGCAATGACATTGTCGTCGTCTGGAGATGCGACGGGCCTTGCCTCATCGTGAACCTTGCGAGTGAAGAAGTCTAAGAGCAGTCAATAAATTTGTCGTTTAAAGGAAATCGACTTTGAGAAGCTTACCATCCCATGACTTGTAGCCGTGATATTTCGCCGATGGTTCGCACACAAACATTTCTTCAAATTTCATAGACGACTTCAACGGAGCGTTAGCAACTTGCATGACGTCGTTTCGCCCCGTTTCGCCGAACCAGCCCAGCTTGTGCTCTCCCAACACCTCGGCCGATTTTGGAGTCTGCGATGCATGTTAGCCGACGATTGGTGCTTGGAGTTTTAAACGGTTGAATTGAGACTATAGAAAGCTCAAAATTACCTACCTCTAAGAACTTCCCCCACTCGTTTAGAACTTTCTTGATCGCTTTGTTCACGTCTGGGTCGAGGAACGCGGCATATCCACTGAGACAAGGCCAAGTTAGCGCTTTCGCCACCCAATGTCAAGGGCTACAAGCAGCCATTGAAGTATGGATGTATCCATGAGTCTGCAAAACCGACGCACCTTGGTGTTCCCATGGGGTAATCAAGGATTGCGCAAAATGGCACTCCCACAACACCAGCACTTTCGGCGGCATCTGTCCATTCTGGAGCTCTTGAGACAATGTGGTTGAGCACCTGAAGCATGTGTTTGTAGTCGCGGATCTGTTTAGTTCCTGTGGGATCGCGCCAGTATGGCTGTTTCTTTGGGATTTCATCAAACATTTGGACAAAGTACATGTATATTCGTGAGTTTCCTTCGATTAACTCTTTGAACTCCTGCAGCGCTGGTGTCAGTTTTTCATCGGGGTGCTTGTCGACATGCTCCGTCACACGACGAAGATATTCGCGATGGACACGATGGTCAGCTGGGAGCCATGCGCCAGGCCTGGATCATGTGAAAAGACGTGAGATTTTGATACTTTGACAGGTGAAAATACGGGAGGAAGAATATTCATACTTGTGGATGCGCCATTGCTGCGGGATGTCATGGTGATCGCCGTGTTGCCAAACCATTGTGAATGAAGAGAGTTGGTCAGAGTAGAGGAACACCACTTAAAAAAATATTTGTTTTTCAGCAGGTGCCTTTTCAACTAATGCATCTATATCTAGTCGAGCATTCGAGCTCTACAGCATTATATACGTTGCAAGTCAAAAGTATAGCTTCATACTTTCTACACGGTAGTGGGTCTTATAAATGCTATGATGCAATCGTGATGTGAGCGATACCCAATTGAATCTCAGATCCTCCAAGATTTATTTTCTATATAAAGTGCCGCATCCTGGGACCATGGAGCTGATCAGCCACTATAGTGCCGATTTCCCGCTTCCACGCCATCATGCATCAGGAGAAATAATGGATACATGGCTGTTCGCATGTGAATCGGTCGACTTTCCCCTTCCCTCTTCTGCCCATAGCGCGCCTCCTCTAAACCGCGATGCCTTCCAGGTTCTTAACGCCATTTAGCTAGTAGTTGCCGTTGCCTACTAGGTATGGCACATCTTTTATGCGGTCGAGTGTCGGTTAAGACCTACAAACTGGGATACAGATGCCAAATTGACAAATACGAATCGGTCGATGCAACTTTTCAATGAGGCCACTTAATACATCGCTGAAAATTGAATCAGCTTTGGGCCGCCATCGATCTACCTGAGAAGATTTAGCGCACCGCTAAGATAGACATTGCCGCGAGTCCCGAATTGTCACCCGATTTTCCGGTTTTTAAACAAAAGATCTTCGCAGAAAACAGATTGGAACTGGAGCCTTTGGATGATGATGATATGATAGTAATGAGAGAGGCCATTGACTATGGTGCACCTTGATAGACGCTATAGAGAATGAGAGGAGAAGGAGGCGTAGTCTTCGTATCGGGTTTCCTTTCAAAATGGTGCTCTTTGGAGCCTCTATGTAGTCCACACACGTCATCAGCGGCATCATCCAACAAGTAGAGGTCTCTGGGAGTCCCAACGGTACCCATGACGTTAAAATCGATGGTGGGATCGATAAAGTTGTCCTTCATCCCCATGCAATCATAGGTATGTTCACAGAAGTATTATATGCCCACAGCTTTTTGCAGGCCATAGCAAAGCCTAGCCACCAGTTCAATGCTTTGCGCATGCTCTAGCGGCAGGTGGGGTGCGAAAATGGTTGCTTGGAAGTCTCAAATGCCGAACACACTCTCGCATTTCACCGACAAAAAAAACGATAAATCCTATGTCATTGAAGATATTATTGACTCAGAGAAGTCTGAATTTGAGTTTGCAGAAGAAGAAAGGACGATATGGGATAGAATACTACCTATCAGAAGGACTCGTATGGTAGGGAGGAGGCGGAGTGGGGGGATGAAGAGCACCACGAAACAGGTTGGATACGGGAAGATTCCGCTCGTCAATGCAACCACTCAAGGCAATGACGGCTGAGATAAACATGGGTTATAGAAATAATTACTTGCATTTGAATGAAATTATAGAATCACCGTAGTGGAATGGTGTACACTTTGCCTCCCATACGAATGGGAGGCAAGTCGCTGCCTTGAATAGGGTAGGTACAGAAATATAGAAGCTGTCAACATGGAACCATACAAGTCAAATGCAATAGGCTCTATGATAGTTATCACAGTGGAATTCGCTACATACTAAATACCTTACCAAGAGTTGTCATAGGACGCGCTGTTTTCGTTTAATAGTGCCATTAATCAGGCGGCCGAGGCTATTATACAGAACTTGAATCGTAATTCATCTATCTAATTAATCGGCTACCGACTTGCTAATAGATTGCAATACTTGGCATAAAATACATATTAGCAATCAAAGGATACAACCGCGGGTTGTCTCAAATGACCGTGAATAGAAAGCGTAGGTAATTAGGCCCCTGTGAGGCCTGATATGAGCAGATCCTTGTTCACAATCTCTTCTTTCTTGGCAACCAACTCGTCAACATCCCAATTAGCCCATGCCAGCCGTCCAGATAAAAATGCAGCCTCTTCTGAAGTAGCCCAGACAATAAACTCAGCAGAGAGCTTAGCATCAGTCGTTGGCATATCCGAAGATCCCTCAAGTCCGGACTTATGAAACATTGCCGTTTTAACAGCACCTGGGTTAATGCTTATAAAGCGCGCAACAGATGATGGGATATCAACAACAGCCAACTCAAAGATGCGGGCCAACGCAATCTTGCTACCACTATATGCCCACAGATGCGGCGCTCGGACAGCAAATGAAGCAAACGTATTGAGAGCAACAACCACACCTGGTGACTTGGGTTTGCTTGCCAATCGGTGCTGTAGATAAGCCTGCGTAACAATAGTTGTACCAAGGACGTTGACCTCAAAGCCTTTCCACCACTCGTCTATGTCGGCAGTAAGAAAATTCTGAGGCTCAGACATGAACCCGGCATTGTTGACGAGTGTATCGGGTGATTCTGTTAGAGATTCAAACAATTTCTTGACAGATGCTGTGGACGAGATATCGACAAGGCGGTAGCTGGCCTTTAGCGATGGGAAGAATTGTGCCAAGTCGTTAACTGTCGACTTCAGGCTGGACTCAGTACGCCCCGCCAAAATAATCGATGCGACGCCAGCCTCAGCAAAGCTACGAGCAATTGAAGAACCAATTCCGTAACCACCGCCGGTCACGAGAATTGACTTCCCCCTTAATTCTTCATGTAGCTTTGAAGGTGACAGTCTTGGGTAGGATTCAAAATGGAAAGTGGAGACAATTGGTGATGCCATTGCAACAGAGGTTCTATAAAAGAACCGAAAGTTGTTTAAGATACTGATATATATGTATGTGCGTGTTGATTTCAGAAAAAGATCTAGATTATGCTGTTATACATCGCATCTCTTTATATATTTCGCGGACAGTCAAGTCGTCTTATCTAAAAGAACGCCGATTGCCACTGTTGGCCCGTATCACTGTTCTGTGTATTTCTAATTTGTACTCTATGTAAAAATTCGTGCCATCAATTGATCTCTCTCTACGCAATGCTAGTTGAAAACATCATATCGGATCATGTTACATAATTCCTATCACCGACAAGACCTTATCCAAATCGACGTGATGGTGAGGGTGCTGTTGAGTAATCAGTAAATTCTGACTTTAGCTAATAATCGGATGCAACTTGTCCCATTAGTCGGATCATGCGCAACTTGAACAAAGAACTACGCCACACTCTTGAATTTCTAATACTTAAATCCGAAAGCGCCTAAAGTTGTGAGAATGAACGATTTGTCGTATATAGCAAATAGCTTTGTTTAGTTAAGTAACCTACTCAGTAGTTGATCGCGTTTGCCGAAATGTATACTTTTGCTTCTACGCGCTATCACCCCCTCATCCCCTCATTGCAACTCTAGAACAGATCACCCCGTGAACACGTCTGCCTCGTTATCAAAAAGTAGCCCATTATCTCAGCCAATGGATTAAAGCATTTTCTTTTCTCACTAATTTAAACAATAACTCATATCTATCCGCTGCTTATTCCTTCATTAACTTGTGCTCCACAGAATACGCTGATAGTATTGCCGACTCTATGACAATAAATATCTTTATAGAAGGGTATCCCACAGAAAGTAGCGGTTAATGCCACCAATTAATAGCTTCAATGAACTTTGCACGACATTGTCTGATTAAGTTTTACATTACGAGTGCTTCTAAAGAGATATAATCCGCGAATGGATTCAGGGCACTAAATGGATCGTATCTACAGGTAAAATCGCTGCGATATTACTCATATTCACTTATTGGTCATGATAGCCCATTCTAAGCTATTGAAACCAACCAGAATCATGCAAGAGGCATCTACCACTGCAAAATTTGACCCTTCTGAGTGATAAACCTTCCCGACGTCTCCTCTGATGCCTCATCAATAATCTTAAGCATCCCATCTACACTGGCCTCAATCGTATCTGGAGGACCAGATGCAAACCCCCATTGATCAGCAACAAATTGACCCGCACGCGTTTGTACCCAACCTGGATGCAGCGCAATTGTAATGAGGCCCTTGTCTTTATTTTCCAAATGCAAGGCTTTGGTGAGCCAATTCTGAGCTGCCTTACTGGGGCCATAGGCGCCACCGGGTACAGGTTCCATCTCCCCAATACTACCAACTGAAGATGTAATCATCACAAGCTTCGGCGAAGGTGAATTCTGAAGCAGTGGCCATAGTGCCTGGAATACCATCAGAGGAGCAATCGTATTGACTTCAAAGGCAGTACGTAAATCTTCTGCCGTTGTCTCGGCCGCTGGTACCATAGGCGGGGCCCCTCCAGCATTATTAATGAGAACGTCGATATGATCTATATCGAATTTGAAGGCATCTCTAACTTTGGCAAGGGAGAGAGTCGTTGAGAAGTCCAACGTTGTGATCAGGAGGGTACTGCCTAACCCCTTATTAACCAGTTTAGTCTCATCGGTAATGGTTGAAATGCCATGTTCGTTGCGAACGGTTGCGATAACAGTCGTATTGTCGCGAATAAGAAGTGCCTTAATAAGTCCAAGACCAAGCCCCCTATTTCCACCGGTGACTACGTAGATCTTCTTTTCGCTGTCTTTCCCCATGATGTTTGTTGTCATTCGAATCTCTGTGTTTGTGGAGTCAATCTGGCATTTGCCAATAAGGAACGTTATGAAAAGGGGTAACAAAAGATGTATCAGGGGATTGGACCTTTTATACCTTTATTAGGTGGGGACATTGGCTTTATTTTTCTCACAAATGAGGGGCAGCTGTGGGACACGAATATCGCGAACCTGGCTGGCTGCCTAAAAGGATTCAATCCCACGCGATGCCCCTTGAACGACGACCACAGGGCTTCTATCACACAAATACCTTTCAGGGGCACTACTCTAAGATGGAATTTTTGAGCAAGAGGTCAAACTGAAGATTGGGTGTAATGTATCTACTTACTCGATAGAGTTATTGCAAAATAATACTGTTGAGATGTTGTGCACATTTTCTTATTTACGTATGATCCAATGATCAATTTTTTGTCATACCGTGAAATTACTAAGTATTAGGTCTAAGAATATTTTAGACATGACGTATGCAAATGAAATCCTTTGTGTCTCCAAAAGAGGGGGTGGATGGGAGCGGAACCAGGGGCTAGCACCCAAATACAGTTGCATCGGTGAAGTATAGATGAGTAGTATGAACGGACCATTATGTTCGATGTCATTATATACCAGATGATTCTTCTATTAAATCAGTTATTTGATCGTTATTTTACGACTGAAGAGTGTTCAATTACTGTGAGAATCGGGGAAAAAAAAGGTGTGCCAATTAATGGGCGGTTACACGCCTACCCCTATTAAAAAAGAAGATTATGAGTCTATCATAAACTTAATGCGCAGTTCCTTTCGGAGACAAGGACGCTTGATGATTTTACGATGATACTGCGGACTTGGGACCTGTCAGACGATCCGTCGACGCCGAATATCATCATGGCCGCCATGACGGCTTTCTTGATACCAGGGGCATCCACTCCGTCACAAGGATCGGCTAAGTAAACACAATGAAAAATACTATAGATTGATATCACATTTTATTGTCTCATTGTTCACTTAGGGCGCCAGGAAAACTTCCAATTTACGCAAACTTGCAGCAACATATCGACTTTCTGTGAAATGATACCCCTGTGTCCTTGAGACCAGATCCAGGTGGTCTCCACCGCCTTACATTGTTAACGACCATTCGTTCCTTCTTTGTGCACATTTATTCTTTCAACAAATATTCATTGAACCAGGCAATTGCTTGGGAAAATGCTTGTTCCTTGGCAAATTTCTGTACCTTCACAGCTGGATCACCTCGAATTCCGAAGCCATGCTCAACTCCAGAAAAGAGGTTTATCTGGAAGGGCTGTCTTGTTTTGATGAGGATTTCTTCCGATTTGTGTCTCATCGCGGTAGTAAATATAGAATCAGTTTCAGCTGCTGCAATGGACAAAGGTCCCGATAAAGCAGCCAACTCGTTTTCCTCGACGAAGCTTGGGTGAGCAATAAAAGCGACATCAATACCGCTCTTGAAATGTCGTAATACATACTAGTTTGACGAATTAATTAAGTACACCCAAATACACATATCGACTCAGCTTTACCTTAGCACCAAAGCAGTATCCAACACCTCCAATTCGATGTATTCCCAACTGCCTTAATGCTTTGATTCCAGCAACAAGAATAGGGTCAACGTGCTCGGTAGTATGAGGATTATTGCCATTGGAGCCCTTGGTAAGCCAACTCATTAGGTCAATGGTCGGAAACTTGTTCAATGGTACTGCATCTCCATTGAATACGTCTGGGATAAGCGTAGTGTATCCTTTGGCAGCAAAACTGTCCGCCAGGAGCTGGCTATTCGGATATATACCCATTGCCTCCGGAGCAAATAAAATGCCTATGCCTTTGTTCGGATTCTCGTCCGGCGCAGTTGAGAGATAGGCATCGAACCCCCCTTCGAGTTTGATAAGCTTTCCCGTTGGTGTACCTCTAGAAATGCACGTTAGCGAAGCTCGTATCAATTTGAATGCATAGCTAGAGGGTCATTTTGGAGGTTGATGAATCGAAAGAATACATACTCGTGGAGAGTACCAGTTGTACAGCAGCTCTTTGGTTGGTTTGATGCCATGACGATAGATGAGTTTCCAACTTGACATGCGGGGGATTGGAAGATAAGGTACTGAGTGGTATTGGAGAGCGGATGAAAAGATATGAAGAATATATACTCGTTGGGGCTCCTCTGTTACGTAACAAACCGTTTTTGTAAAATTTCTCTCCTGAATCATAAAGAGAATCCCATAAAATGTCTTGACAGCAGAAGCTCCGATCAATTCCGATAGACACAGTTGCATAGGGTGTTTTAATGGAGAAGAGCTTATGATAACCCCGCCTCCCCTTGGTGTAGTACCCTTTACTGTAGCAGGCTACATCAGATTGGCTGACTGCTTCATAGCCCTAGTATTTGTCAAGCCGAGACAGGGTGGTTAACAAGGGCTCAAATTAAGGTTACATGATCCCAGGTCGTTCTGAGCATTCACCCGCTGGCTGATGGCGCAAAAGCTGGAGCAGGAAATGATGAAAATACCCCGCTTCTTACGTATAAAGGCTCAAAAAGTAGCTACGCATATCATCTCTTTTCATTCCTGTCAAGTAGTCTAGTTAGTCTGCATTCATTTAGTTTTATCAATGTTTACTGCCAAGATCCCCAGCACCACCTTCGCCCTGATCAGGCATAGTGATTGCCTAGGCTTCTACCCTGCCGCACATTCGGCCTTGTTGGATCGTACATGAACACGCTGCCCAAGTCCGCACCGAACCGCCGCAATTTAGCGCAATCTCGACAAGCCCGAATGCGATATTACGCATATGGTAGAAAGTAGTTTCTTGTGGGCTTCCATTTACCCGAATTTAAATGCAATTCTAACATTTGTCCCTCATGTCGGTATTTTTGGAGGCATCATACTACAGGTCCTAAAAGAAGTACTGAAAATGGGTAAATGACCTAAGATTTAGATGCATTATGCTCAAGCTACTATCCATGGACGCTCATTACAACTCTAAGCGCAATTAATTTAGAAATGGTGCTGACTATGAGGCACCGATATATATTCTACTTTACAAGAGTAAACCAGCCTTGAGCGATGAACGTAACTAGATTTAGTTATAACAGCACCATGAGAGACAGAATATTTGCGTATCATAACAATACCCTGTGCCTTGATTGAAAGACAAGATGCATTTAGCTGTTTTGTACCAAAAGCATTATCTCCTGCTTTTCAAGAAGTGACATATATGCACCTTGGAAACAAAGGTTAACTTTTGCATAAACATTGATGAAACGACCGGCTTACCAGCTGCTAGCCATCGATGGTTAAGAAGACGCAAGGTATTCTTCAATATGGATATTCTCTCGTTGATGGATTTTTGCGATGTCGAGCGTTGCAGCTTTGCATAAACGCAAGTTGCTTTATAAAGAAAATGTAATAAGAAAGGAGATACTCGTTCGCATTTTTGTCCACCCATTTCTGTCAGGAAGTTTGATATCCACTCTATTGCGGCGTTGAGAGAAGATTCAGCTTCTACCGACAGAGGCTCCATAATGGGATTTTTTCCGTCTAGCAATACGCCAGGATAGTCCAGTAGAAGTATGCCGCTAGAAGAGATTAGACATGGCGAAAATTAAACCGTCAAAAACGTATTTCTTACCTGAAACACACCGCCATCTGACTGCAAAATGCCCACTGTCTCATTGTGCCCTCCATAAATGAGAGGTTGACGAGTGCCATAAGAGTGCGCCGTAATTGAGTGGTTTCAGTATCAGGTTCCTTTGCGACAGTATATAACGCTTGACTTAATAAATGAGCGGTTTGCGCAAACCGAGCGAAACGACCCATATATGAGCCCGACGATGAGCCGATTGTCAAGGAGTTTTCTGGTCGTGATGACTGGAAGATTTATGATTAGTACTATATTTGCATTTTCTGTATTAAAAACGTACTCCTGTGTCCCACTCTTGGTCATCGGCGGGAAGATAGCTATCTGGTGATGGATCTGGAGTGATGAGATGTCGACCAGGATTGCAGAGATTGAGGTATCTTGTCCTTTGTTTTAGCACAAATAGCCACATTGTGTCTCTTTCAAAGGTTCCTTACCGGTCTAAGATTATAATAGACCACCACACTCGGCGTTGTTCTTCTACTTCATTCCATGGGAGCTTGTCCAATATTTGCGAAGTGATACTTTTTTCGATCTCGAGTGCCGCCGCATACCTAGCACATTGTCCTACAGATAAAAAAGCAGCCGGATATATGGCATGTCCTAGTTCGTAAATCGCAATAAGTACACCGGCTTGCAAAACTGTAACCGATAGTATTCCCGACGACTCCATTTCAAAATAAAATTGTTTTGCTGTTCGATATAGCACTGTTTTTGCCGTGGTGGTAAGAGAAGAGCTTAGTTTCATGCATATGACAAGCAGGCAGAGCTCGGACTTTCTATGGGTGAGATAGTTAGGCAGATTTGAAGAGAATTGTTTCTTTGACAAAATTGGCATCCACGTGTGAATGGAATCGAAATAGGTATTGGAGAGGTTCTGAATGTCGACTATGGTACCAACATAGTCAGCAACCATTTTTGGGATCGCTATATCCACTTTGGGAGTTTCTAATTGTAGATGATAGAAAAAGTCGGGGTCCAAAAAGCGTGATGCAAGAATATCCGAGATATTGGGATCCGAGATGCCATAGCGCCCTGGCCTTAATCTCTCGGTTGGCGTATGAAACAAAGGCGTATTGGATCCAATAGGCATCGATTCATCTCCCTCAGGATTTGCCATCTGGCGCGTTCGTTCTTTACGGCGATAAGGGTAATCACACAGGATCTGCCTCCTGAATGAACGCCGGCATCGTTAGCGTTGTTCCCTCGGTGAGAATACAGGTATTCAGTAGAGTTCACATACTGCGTGCAAAGTGTACATCTGGGGTAAGTTTTGTCGCAGCGCCTCTTCGAATTCCGGCAAGCGATGCAAGCATATGGCGAATGAGTGATGTTCACACCACTCATCGGGTTCATGCTGACTGATTGTAGTGGTAACTGATAGATGTGAGGAAATTACGAGACCTCTGCGGTAGTTCGGCGCGGGCTCGTCGGTAGAAATGACCGACATATGGACAAATATTATCGGCAGCAATCGCTTTTCTCTCTAGGGCAGCAATGACTAAAGCTTGCCTAGGCCCTTAAAGAGGAACTAGGTTGGATCAATGATCGTGCGTCGGTCATAACTCCCGTTACAAAGGTGCCAACATTTTCTTTAGTGCAGAAGCCACCCGGGAGCTGCGGATCTAGAGGTCATTGGCAGTACCCAACGCATCATGGAAACATGGAGTAGAGGGATGTATCGAATTGTTCAGACAATTCGGGCTATGTCCGCAATGTAAGTCCGCACCGAAAGCCACCCACTAAGCGTAGCCAAACTCCACGCATATCGTACCTTAATGGAGATTATTTACATACTAAGTATGCAACAGCGGGTGGCTCCACCGGGTAGCTGTGGCGTAGAGTTTGCAGGCTATTACTATACGAGTTACTCGTTCTGCATTTCCATCATATATGATAATACCCGGCTGTGAGCATTTTGGACCAGATTGCGAAGCTATTTGGAAAAGAAAAGACGACGCAGGCAGATTTGGTTCGATAATAGGTAGACAATCCCAACACACCAAGCTAACGTAACGCATGGGTAGCATGACGGACTAGAGATAGACATGCATTCATATCGAGCCACGACAAACTAAACTATTCCTCAAGATAAAAGCAAGTCCCTGATTTGGATCAGAGGTAGGCCACATAGCAATAGTTAATTTCTTGTTTTGGACAATAGCGAGCATGCTTATAAATTGTGACGAGCTGTAATGTAGTTGAATCTCGATTAATTCTGTCAGACCTCCTCTCCTATTTGGATCGTACGACGATCATGTATTCACTTTTTCACGATTAGAGCCCACCATGCTAGGTTTATCAATTGTTTTTATTTACAGAGACCAAGCAGTCAACTTTCTTATATACATTCCATATAACTGCAGTGAAATACCCTCCACTTGACCAGTTGTCCCCCCTTTATCGTAAAAGTTCAATGGTGAAGCGTATATATCCTTTGGTGTATTCGGCCAAAATAGATACCACAAACCTAAGGTAATGCTGAACGCCAAGTGGTAAAGAAAAATCGTATAAACTCCTGCTCTCTTCTCGCAGCCTCAGCTTAAATCCTTGTAAGCAGATTATCGGCGAATGTCCAGTTCTTGGATCCATCCCAGTTGATTGACCACGTCATCAAACCCTTAAGAGCGCCGTTATAGTGATCCCATGCCTGGCCTACCAAGCTTGGGGTCATGTAGCCACCACCAGCGCCAGATTGCGCAGGTAATCCAGGAACTTGCATGTTGTAGGGAACCTTGATTGTGGTGCCTTGGATAGTGATGCCATTGTTTAAGCAGTCAGTTTGTGCGGTGAAACCTTGAACAGTGCCGGCCGCATATGAATCGCCGGAGCAACCATACATGTCACCGTTGTAGTATTGCATGTTGAGCCACCACAACCGGCCGTTGTCGACGTACTTCTTGATAATTGGGAGATAAGAACCCCAGATGGATCCGTACACAACACTGCCACCTGTCACATACGCCGTCTCTGGTGCCATAGTCAAGCCGAAGTTGGAAGGCATCTGTGCAAGGACACCATCAATGATGCGGATCAAGTTGGCCTGTGACGTGGACAGGGTGCCGATGCTGCCGCTTCCAACCAACCCCGTCTCAATGTCGATGTCAATACCGTCGAAGTTGTACTGCTTCAAGATTGGGACGATAGTCGAGATGAACTTATCGGCGACAGTACTAGAGCTGAGGTCGATGCCAGCAGTAGCACCTCCAATGGACATGAGGATAGTGGCACCAGCTGCTTTGGCCTGGCACATTTCGGCTGGTGTCGCAACTTTAACAGTAGCATCCATGCCATCTTCCCACAGTGCCGTACCATCTGAGAGGATGACTGGGAAAGCGGCATTAATCACGTTGTAGCCATTTTGTGCGATCACAGGGTTTTCGATAGGCGTCCATCCAAATCCGGGGTGAACACCATTAGCTGATCCATCCCAATTCTCCCAGTATCCTTGAAGAACCTTGCCAGCCGGCTTTCCCTTAGTTGCACATGTGCTTTGTGCGGATGCAGTGCCGAATAATGTCGATGCAATGACAGGCAAAAGCAGAAAGCTTGCGTCCAGGAGGCGTGTCATGGTTAAAATACTCGATTGAGTTGACGATAAGTGATCAAAAGAGTTACTCAACCGAGCTGTAAGAATAAAGTGATTCTTGGATTTAGCTACAGAATGGATGAAGGGGCCCTTGAGGTGCTTTTATAGAAAGTAAGCTCCTGATATCTTTTTCCCTTTAGGTTTTGCCATCCCTGGATGCACAAATTTAGAAGGTAGTATTACTCCCACTAACTTTAGCCTTCCTTTGAGTTACAGCAGATTCATGTGGATTAAAGGATGTTCAAACCATCAGATACCACAATATGAACTACATTATCCCAAGGCCCACAAAATTTGAACGGTATTGAGCATAGGACAGCAACTAATGACCCGGCCCTACGTTGGTGAAGTGTCTTATCAGCCAGGTGCAGCCTTGTAGCCAACGCCCATGATACCATTGCATGCCGCGTGATACTGGCTGCTGCCTCTATTCAGTGTACTCATTTTTCGGGAAAAGCGCATTCCCCGCGTTTTAGCTTATGAGGTATTTGGCTATAGTAATCTGTGCAAATAAATAGGAAGGTGAGGCGGAATCACGCGCCCGCGATTAAACGTAACGTAGGATCTTCACAGGGTATCCAGACTGACCTTTGACAGCATAGTCAACACAAGTGTGTTTAATGTCTGAAGAAGGAAGTTCGGATTATAGACAGTGATAATGATCAGCGGGGGACCAGCTTACGTACGTATATAAGAGATTTAGATCACGTTGCAGCAAATGTAGAAACAGGTCCCTAGGGCATGGGTTACATTGCTTGGCAAGGCATGTAACATCAGTACAGAACAACTATGAGTTCTAGTAGTATTAGAGATATAGCGCGGACCATCGGTCATTCGTGAGTATCGCGCAAGACCGTCAACATTCCGTTGTAGATTGCGGAGTACAAGTACCATCCTTGCAATGTTTGTCTCGAAATTACGGGCCTTGTGACTCCTAGTTGCTGGGTCTGCGCTGTGGCCTTCCATATTTGGCGCTCCTGCCCGGGACCCCCACCAATGACCAAGGTTCTGGCTTCGTCAAATACTCCTATCTTAAATTCTCCGTCGAGATAGATATGTCCTCTGTTGTCAAGCAGCCTGGGTCGATAAGAGGCGGCAGTTAATCCGATAAAACTTACGCGAACGCCTTAACCCAAGCTCAATTAGATCTGACTTGCTTTCACCGATCTGTCTGACAATGAGAGATGCAAGGTATGCAAATGGTAAAACCGTGAGTTGTAAATGAGAGTTTAACACTAACGTCACGTTTTACATCAAGATTTCGCAAGATAAAGTTCGAATGTAATCCAAGAAACTATAGCATGATGCCTAAAGTAAAGGACAGTACTTCTCATAGTACAGGAGGTACCCGTAACAGAGAACAACTTTCCGAGATGCAACTGTAAACGAGATGCGATATTCCCGTAACACTAATCCTTGCGAAATTTGTCGCCCATTAGTTCCGAGATGTAGGTAAGTAGATTACAATCATTTGTATTGTCATTTACCATGTGTGTTCACGTTCTCAATGTATAAGAATAATAATGTTGACCCATTGGCTTCCGCCACGGTATACCTCTTTGTGGCACATACCTATCCAACCTAACCATATCATATATTTACCTTTTAGGGAGTGATGGCCTTCAAATCTCGTTTATCGATGACTGAAGTCCCAATGGAGTGTTTCTGCTCCAGCTCTTGTCAAATAAGCGATGTACTGTGTACCAATGATGATGTATGCCCCCACTCCATTTTTTTCTTTTAGAGAATGTTTCTTCTTATGTTTAGGTTCTGTTATTTAACGACCTTTTCTTTCGACTAGTTTATTCACATGTATCGTCTTCGTTCGAAATGGAGATTGGACTTTGATTAAGCTTCGACTAGCCGCTCGTCGGCCACGTATGTGTCGGGTGCGGCCAGAATCGCATCGAATGCATCAACTATCTCTATAAGTTCGTCCACCTCGGGAAGCTCTTGCGAAATAGCAGTTATGCCCATGGGCGATCCTAAGTTAATACTTGATGTCTAGGACATGGAGTGGAAAATTTCGACCTCGGAAAAGATTATCGCGATGTTGTGACGTGACAAGTCTACAGCAATTAAAAAGTGACAAGTCATGGGATGCGAACTGTTCGCATTTTCGGAAAATTATAGGCATAGACATATCATCATGTGGTAATAAGCAGTGACTTATTGGACCCATCTTGGCACGCGGCTGACTGCCGCACTCTACGAAAGGCTCTTTGGCAATCCAGTTTTTACCGTTAAGGTTAAAATTATTCCACTAGAAGCTATTGTTTTTTCGATAGAGCGATAAGATTCTGACTGCTACCTGGATATAGATTCACTGCCTGCTCGTCGACATAGGTCTATTGGTAATCAGCCAACTACATTGCCGCGTCTGGAACCACAGCTGGTATCTATGTCCGTTGCGCAAAATTAATCGTAAAGCCAGTTGAAGATCTAATGATGCACGGACATCTTGTTAATACAACAAATCTTTTGGCGTAACAGCTTTCGTAGCTCAAGAAGCAGGAATGTCTCATTCCATGTGACGCTGCACACCGTGTATCCCGTCGCCTCCACACCCAAAGAATGCATGGAAAGGGCAACATCATTTGTAATGTAGGTACGGAGGTATACATCGTATCGGTTCATTCCTCTCGTCTCATATTGGTCTTGCTTGCTACCCTTGTGGCCTCCATATCCGCTGACCTTCTTCCACGACTATTCCTGCCCCTGGAAGAATTTCTCTCAACATTTCGTTGGCGCCTTTACTTGCATCCCGTGCCTTTTCCCAATGCCGGGGATATCCCAAGCTGACCTCTTCATATCTCACCCCTTCTTTGACATCTGTCCGTCGAACATGCAGATGTCCTGAGACCACCACCAGTGCCCCTCCATAGTCTGCACCAAAACGCCCGACCTCTGTCCAATCTTGGGTTCTTTTCGTTCCACACCACAGAGAAAACCGAGGGACTTTGGGAATGAAGACTAAATCTTCTCGTAGAGGCCAGTGGTTGACAATCACAAATTTCGAATTCGGATATCTCGAGGCGTAGTCGGAGAATTTAAGCTCCCATCTTTCGCATAGTTTCGTACACCATTCGTCCCGCGAGCCATATGGGTCTGGATGCAGCACGGCCTCGTCCGTTGCATAAATGTTCTCTTCCATCGCCCATTCCAACGCTTTCTCTCGGGAAACCTCTGCCGGGCGAAACGAATAGTCGTATAACGTGAATACTAGCGCGATCACCACATCAACGCCATCTGGCCCCGGCCATAGCATCCAATCATCCTCTGGTGTGAGGACACCGTGCTCCCGTGCCAGTTCCACCAAGGCATTGTATTTCGCTTCACCTTTAAGTTGATCGGCAGGGTGCTTGGCCATGTGAGACGAGATGCTGTAGAGCTCATGGTTTCCTGGGACCCAGAATACGTGCGTGAAGCAGGCTTTGGCGCGCTCAAAGGCAGCCGTTAAGTGCGTAGCTGATTCGCCAATGTCACCTGCAAGAATGAGACCACTACCAGGTGGTTTTGGCTGCAGAAGATTCCATGTTGAGGCATTTAGGGGATACGAAAGATGCAAATCGGAGATGGCATAAAGCTTCGCCATGGTTACTTGATGCTGGAGATGAGAAAGAGATAAGCGGAGTGGGGTTAGGCAGTCAGCCTTTATAACACGTTTGATCAAAGGAATCGCTTACCTAACGTGAGACATGACTGCAGAATTATGACATCAAAAAAGTATTATGTACTTGCTGAAGATGCCTTTGCGCAACCTGCAAGCGTTTCAATGCTTAGTCCTCTTTTCATTGGTTGGAATTTGCCTTGTAATTTGACATTAAAGGTCGTGTACACCTCAGCCCTTTGCGTCTTATCATCGACCCACAGCCTTATTTAACAGCCCGTAGGTAGCTACTGAAGATGGACGCATCCGCCCTTGTGCGGGTAGGACAGCGGCCGCTAGCGACACAAGTGTAAATGACTACGGGGTAGTTGGGTCGCTATTGATAGAGAGAAGCAAAACGGTCAAGGCGGCTGAGCACTTATTATTCAAGCTTGTTTTGTTTTGTTGTTTTTATTTGTTCCGTTTGAGTATTGTCCATATGGGTCGGTATCGCAGTTTGTTGGTTATGTACCTGAGTGGCAGGTCAGTATCTGAATCATCGATAAGGCGCATGAAAGTATAGGTCCTTTCTTAACTTTTATTCCACTGCTCTGGGTGGAGATGATTCCCAAAAGCCTAACCTTAAAACAAACCGTGGGCGGTGATTAGCTCAAGCGTGCAACTCAAAGCTTAATAGGAGCCACGCTATCACTCCATGAAGTACACTGTGATTGAAGACAAGACTACCGCGCACAATAGCTAAGAGTTCTATCCTTCGCTTATTTACTTCCATTTGAAGATGTATCGAATTACGTCGTATATAACACCAGATGCGTGCAGATTAATAGGTGTCGCTCTAATCGTGGCTACATTGCCATATTCACATAAATATTAACTACCTAGGTAGATGAAGAGGCCACGCCTTCATCACAGGGGACGGAAAAAAGGCAAATTGCGCTATTTCTGTTGAGTTCAGGGTATAATTTTGGCAGTAATAATAAGTTCTACAAGACATCCATTGTTCGTATCCGACGCATGAAGGCGATTCAACAAGCTTTACTGCACTTAACCACATACTATGTGCAAATAATAGTCTACCGTGTTTACTGGACACAGCTCTAAGTCCGTCACTATATAATGCTCATCGCAGATTCCCCGTTCAGTATCACTCATAATTATCGTGGGGGCTGAGCAAAAGGAATGCAGCGATAATCAGGACATGTATATCTACGGCTTATACAATTTCGGATAGACAATAATAAGTATGAAGACAGTGGAAGGTACGAGAGTGCTAAGATTATTCAGACCTTGAAGAAAACCATCACAGCAGAGCAGATTTTTGAGAGGATAGAAAACATCAGAGATATAACTGTATTCAGAACTATCTCGCATACCACATAGACATAAAGTGTCTGCATTGTAGTCCATCTCTTACTCCCTGCTTTTCCATACTGGGGGCCAATAAGATAAAAATAATTGCTCAATTATTACAACGCCATTGGTGCAGTCACCGTGACGATGTCGAGTTTATCCGCATCATAGTGGACCTTCTGCATCCATTCTTTGACACTCCTGGTTCGGTGAGGGTGGATCTCATCTAAAAGCGCATAATCGCGCTTGATTAAGCCTGTATTGTTAATAGAATGCTGATACATTTTCCACCAACCAGAGAAGCTTTCATATACTGTATGTAGTGTTGGGTCATTTGGTCCGGCCGTGGTAGAGCCCATTTTATGTTCTCGAGAGGGGCCCCAGCTGACGTCCTCAAACCATTGGTCCAGTTCAATATTAGTTCCCTTTGCAGGTAGACCTGTAGCCTCTGTGAGGGCTTTGGCTAGAATGTTTGGCGTAACGTGTTCCACTCCTAGTTTAAGATTCATCCCCGCAGATCTTTCTGGATGTTCGATGATCCAACGAACGTAGTATCCCATATCATCCAAACAAGTCAATGGGAAGCCACCATCGTTAACAGGGAAGCGAAAATCGTAAACACCATTCTCGCCCTTGGTTGGCCTCATTAAACCCCACAGTTGCTCAAGATACGGGCTTGTGGCAAGAATTGTCCATCTCATAGGCGATTGGGGCAGCGCGGATATCCACTGTTCAACATGACCCTTGCCATAATAATGAACAGATCGAAAAGAGTCATCATACTTCGTTTCCAAAAAAAAGTTGTCAAGTGATGACCATATATAGTGCTGAACACCACTCTGTACTGCAATTTCGAATATTCGAATCCCCCAAAATATTTCATCCTTGATACCCAGGGCCCAACTGTTGAGATTGACAAATGCATAGTCAACTCCGTGGAATGCTCTTTTCAGGTCAGGAACAGAGTCCACGGCACCCAGAGAGAAGGTCACATTTGGAAGCTCTGAGAGTTTTTTTGCGTTGCTCGAGGTAACGTCTCTTGTGAGAACTCGAACTTGAAATCCATGATTGGCCAACTCTGGATAGGTATTAGTAAATGATCTCATAACTGCCGCCAAAAGGTGGAATACCTTCGACAATCGGTACTCCTTGAGCTCCAGTACCACCAATTATAAGGGCCGTGGGAGAAGTCATTTTTCTTTCGCCTATGTCTCTAGATTGAAAACGAGCAATCGGGATTATTGGCGTGTGGATCTGGGCAATTCTTAGTGATTGATCGTTTGCTTCAAAATTCGGCGAGGTATCACGTTTAAGTACTCAGGTTAATCCGATGATTAATGGCAATGCAATAGAGAGCCTTCTAGCATTTGTCTGATTTGAAGGTACAGCTACAATCAGAAATTATCCGTAGGTTCTATGTACGTGCGCAGCTTAGAAAGCAGACGCCGCCCGAAATCATAGGCCACTCGTTGTTTCACGCGAAGGTATTGCGTCACAGGGTGACATGTGCGTATGCGAATTCCAAATCAGTTGACAGTCCAAAGTGCCAATACGTGATGTAGTGTGCACAATGGAACTGTTTATGGTAACATTGTTGCCAAACCAAACACCATAAAACAACTTAGTTAACCATGATATCAGCTCACTCCCACGGTGAACCGGCCACCAAGTGCACAACCGCCGAGCTTGTCCGCAAATGCACCTTAGTTGCGCCCAGCGGACCGGGATAGATATCCTGGTCCGCACGCTAATATATGTAAGCTGTGCTATGCCCTTTCAGCACATGTCACGGACACTAGACTGCCAGCGACTGCTAACAGGAAAATAACCTGAACAGAAAATACCGTTCCTCATAGTATGTCTATAGAGAAGAGTAATTATATTGTTATTGATAATGTATAATTATCTTCATTAAGAGATAATGGCAATTACCTAGCTATCTTAATTTTAGCCTACTAGATGAACGTACAGCTTACACCCGGGGATTGTTGTGAGTGATAACATCCTGCTTGAAGTACGGACAAAAGGCTCGCGTGTGCTTCAGTTGGCGTGAAATATGTTGTACAGAAATAATCAGTTCGGCGGTGGAAGCTTACTACCGTGGATTTTTAAACTGGCTAAACGAACTGATGTCGGCTTGCCACTGTTGGCATTTTGAGGTGAGCCTAATTTGTGCGGACCAGGGTATCTTTGTCCGCAGCTAGTTGTTAGCTCTTTGTTACTGACCTGAAGTTGGTTGAATGCGCCCCATTGGTAAGCAGTCAATATATGGATAGCTTTCAACAGAAATGCGTCGCAAATAGCTAACCACATAATGATGGTCTTATTTAAACATGTTTGACAAATATAAAGGCAGCATCTATCCTGGCCATCATACATCCTTCAAAAGCATCAACAGCCAACATTCTCTATGCACCAGTGAAATACTATTATTTAGACCATCATGTCTTTCAAGAACATTGCTGTGATCGGTGCAAACGGAAATTTGGGCAAGGGCATCTTACCTTTGCTACTTGAGTCTGGACTGAACATTACTGCAATTACTCGCCAAACCTCGGAGTCTACATTCCCTCAAACTGTTGACGTCCGACGAACGGACTACTCCTTTGAATCTCTGAAATCTGCTTTCCAAGGTTAGGATGCTGTTCTATGCTTAGTTTCTGTTGCCGATGTTAGGGCCGAAATAACCATGGCAGATGCTGCTGTTGCTGCTGGAGTTCAATGGTTTATCCCATCTGAGTTTAGGCACGATACAACTAATCCTCGTGTTGTTGAAGTGCTTCCCCTATTCCAGGAGAAAGTGAAAATAGTAGACCACTTGCGCTCAAGAGAAAAGGATGGACTGAGCTGGACGAGTTTGCATACCGGGTTCTTTTTCGATTTCGGCCTCACTTTCGATCTCCTAGGGTTCGATCTACGCCAGAAGACAGCAGCGATATGGGATGACGGCAACAACAGATCAAGTATGTCCACGTTCAAGACCATTGCTCAGGCAATAATACAAATCTTTACGGATCCAACGTCGCGAGAAGAAGCAAAAAATCAGTATATACGTATCGCAACAGTAACGACGACTCAAAATGAGATACTCCAAGCTTTAGAAAGAGTCAGCGGGGCTAAATTCCAAGTCACTCGCATCGAAACGGCAGAGGGGAAGCGCCTGGGAGACCAGCATTTAGCATCAGGAGACAAGGATTTAGCGGGATTTTTTCTACTTCTCAAGTATGTGGCACTAGGGAAGAACGAATTGTTGGATTGGGAAAATAGACCTGGACCTCACCGCCTAGCCATCAAAGCTCAGCAGGAATCTGTCCTGGATGTTGTGGGTCGCATGTATCCGAAAGTCACTGGAGAAGCAGAGAGGGGCGAGCAGTAAAGCAGTTTTAAAGATCCTTCACTTCAATCGTTGTTCTACTTGCTTATGACACATTCTTTGAATAGATCATATTTGTTGATTTGCAAACTTTACGCGACTGTCATTGAGAATATACCGAAAGACAGAATTGAGTGCTTATTTTAAAGTTGCATCTGGCCGACATTGGCATCGCTATTTAAGCGAACAGACTTTGGTGGCGTGCAAAAAAGAGCCGTTGATTGGCATTTAACAGTTACATAAGCCAAAATAAGTCTCCAAAGCGAATTGCTAAGCATTTCTGGAAGCAGCGACCGTCTTCAATGCTGCCTCAATGCTATTTCCGCAACTACCGTCCCAACTCGAAGCTTCAACGTCAATTCACACCAGATTATCTTTCCTGAATCCAAGACGAGGAAATACTTGGACCGAAGCTCTTACTCAGAATGAATGCCTGCGCCTACTGTAAAAATGGAAAACGGAAATGCGACAAAGCACGACCTTCGTGTTCCAACTGTATACGGTAGGCATCTCTTAGTTGAGATTCATGAACAGACGATGTACTAAATTGCCGTTTAGCCTCCATAGAACCTGTATCTACACAGAAGATGCGGTTCAGGTCAATTTTCCCACTACTCTTTCAGGGCAACAAGACCCTGCTAGCAGATCTGTTCCGATAGCCGAAGACATGCATGCATTTGAGCTCCCAGGATCACGTTTTGCTCGCTCCATCTCAGCTCTTGGTCCAATGAACCAGATGCCGCTACGGCAGTCCATGATAGATCTCACAGTGAGAGCCGAAGCACTTCAGATATTGGGATCATTGGGCAAGATGAACGAAATAGCGGCACAATTCTTCGTTGGCACCCACCAAAGGATGTCAATACTATCCAAATCTAGGTTCTACAGGAGCCTTCAAACTATAAATGCCGAACCAAAAGCTGACTTCTTAACACTATGCCTATGCATGTATCTAATTGAGCAGATTCCTTTGCACCAACCAATGAACATGCAGTCAACTACCTATATTATTATAAAAAGTTTGCTTGGTATGCTCGAAGCGGCAGAACAAATATCACTCGATATCGTCCAAGCCAGAACACTTGTAACCTGCTATGAGATAGGCCATGGCCTTCATACAGCGGCCTGTATCTCAGTTGCTGCGTGTGCAAAAACAGCTCGAGCTCTTGGTATCCATAAACAAATGCGTCGCAACACAAATAATGGAGTCGACGGGCTCATCGCAGAGGAGGAAAAGAGAACATGGTGGGCGATAATGAATATGGACCGATTTGTTGGACTGTGTAGTGGCGACTTCTTATTTTCGACGGAGGACCCTGAGGGATTGGATCCGCTTCCAGTTGAAGATTTGCTATGGTCGCAGGATGGTGATCCAGTAGACTTGAGAGCTTCGATCCTCGGCGCACCCACGCTTGCCACGCCTCCAACACAGTCCGTGGGGCAGATGGCTCGAGAGTGTCAGGTCTCTCACCTGGCTGGCCGGGTGATCCGACACACCACCAATCCCACATCTGATCCCAGCTTCAATGCGGAGGAAGCGATACAGCTTGAACGTACATTGCAGACTATTCTGTTGTTGCTGATTGATGAGGATTTGACTTATGGAAGATATTGTGGAGCCCTTGGAATCTGTGACAGGTGCGTTATAACATCACGTTCTCTTATATTTTCCCACTGGCAACTGTTCTCTAACAGAGGTAGCGCTCTTTTCACACTTTACGAATTCCTACTTGGCCGCTGCGATGAACATGGGCCAGAAAAAGTCAGAATACTCGAGTCTATGCAAGAATTGTCAGAGAGAGCTGTCATGTTTGCAGAAGCTGGCTACGCAGATAAAGAAACATTTTATCTCGAGACTCTTTCACCTTTCCTCCCATACTGTCTTTATCAAGCTGGAATCGTGCAGTACAGGCTGTGGAAACAAAAGGGCGATTCAATTCACAAAGTGCGGCTTGATGCCCTCTCACATCTTCTGAGAGGAAATGGCAAGCGATGGGCTGTTGCAGGTAAGCGTCTTGATCATCTTCGGGCAGAACATCCTTATTGAGAGACCAACTTGCTGATGTAAACAAGCAACATACTTGGATGTTTTGGAAAGATTGCAAGAATCCTGGCCACCTATAGTGACTCCATCTTATCTGCTGAGCTTTGGAGAACAGGCTTCAGTCCTATCAAGAGAAGTCTAGACCATCCAAACACTATTGATTGCAGACATGTGATATCAATAATAGAAGGGCGAGTTGATGAGTATTGGAGCTTTGCGTTCCGGCTGGCTTATCCTTCAAATAATTGTGTAAGAGTCATGCTTGAACAAAATTTGAAGGCGTTAACGCTTGCTTGTCTTTTACATGCATATTGCGATTGTAAAGTAGTTTGGCTCGAAGTCTTCTCCATAGATCCAAGTGAAACTTGGAAATTTAAGGCTGAAAGAGTATATGCTGGTCAACTCTTGATGATCAACTGGTAATCGTGTCTATTGCAATGACGCTAATTTTACCAAGTTTTGACACATGTTCCTCTGTGCACCTTCCATATTCTGCTTCACAAATGGCATAAGCCAACTGGAACATTCCAAAACCACATTCTGGGATAAAATCCAGCTGTCGTCACCTAAACTATCTCCATCGTTCGTATCACACTTAGAACCTTGTTTGTTCGCCTTGTTTACCGTATATGTTGCCGTTACAACTACTCCCGCAGACGCAACTGCACGAGATTTGAGACCATCTATTGTATTCTGGAAGGTAACAATAATAGTCGTAGGGTATTTGCCCCAGTCCCCAATTCCCGGGATTATCATGATCTTTTCTATTGCCTTGTATACCTTAACTGGATAGTCAAGATTGTCAAAATACGTATCAAAATCGGAAGCTTCAGTTGAACTGATCTCGCTGTAAGAAGCTAGTTGCGGCTGAACCGTAAGAAGATTTTCATGAAGATGAAGGACATCTATGACATCATTGGCCAAGACATTGGATGGAATTGGATATTCGGCATTGTATATGTGCGTGGCTCGTGCCATTTTGAGAGTACTTTTTTTGTAAGAGGATTGACAGAAGAGGGGCGTTGGATGGATAAATTGAAGAGGAAGAAAATAGCGCTATAAATATAAGCAGCCAAGCAAGACGAACATATAGCCTAACTTTATTTGGCAGTTGCAGGGCTAATCAGCTCTTTTAGTGATGAAGTGGCCTGGACAGTACTCCGTACAGAGAGTCGGGGGGGTTGGAGGTGAATGTTTGCTAAATTCCGCTATTGTATGACAACTCGTGGTTGAGAGTTGTGAGATTGTCGCATAAGTGTGTATTCAGTATTTTATCACTGTCATCAGTGTTTAATCAGACGAAAATACAGTAAGTACTCTCGCAGTGTATACAGATATTGTGGTAATCCGCTAATGAAGACTCCTAGATAGATCCTAGTGATTTGTATTGTTTTCTCATTCTGAAAGGATGCTACGGCCACGATACTGCGGAGTAAACTGGTTCAAAGATGCCCCGCAATATTCTGTAAAAGAGCTGAACTTATCACACCGGTTGCCATCAATGAGTAGGCGCATGGATAGTACAGTAGAAACAAATGGCTCTAGTATAACGAGATGATACTAGAGATGTGACCACTGTCGCTCTTGTGAAAATAAGTGAATACTAACAAGCTACTTCATACATCATCTTCGGTCCCTAACTATTGTGACCTGCTAATATTGTAGCCAACCTCTCACAACCTCCGCACGACCCTTGACATATTTCGTACTCTTATCTCCCTGTTGACTCTGCGTTATGATCACACAATGCATAGTCGATTTTCTCTTTCATATGGGTTTCTTAGTGATCCCAACACATAGCAAGGATCCTGTCAACGTGAGGATAGCTTGGTTTGTATAATGCATCTCTAAGCATACCAGAGCTAACAGCCCGTTTTGGAATGCCATTTCGTGCTAATGGATGTCTCAAATAAGCATCTACCATGTCACAAGATTTGATGTAGTCGGGTTGAACACTACACAAGGCCGTTGGTAGTGCAATTGGAGGCTCTTCTAGCAACCTGTAGGCTGGAATGTTCCACTTGATTCTGATTTGCCGAAACCATACTTCCTTTGACCTGCTTTATCTCTCTATGACTTTCAGCGGTTAAAAGTACGAATCTCCAATTGCCAAGTGAAGTAAGAAATTACCCCAATAACCGTAAATATTCCGGCCCAAGCCATCGCTGCTTTCCGAAGGATGTTGAGTGTAAAGTTATCTCTTGCTGCAGCCTCGTTGACTTGTGGAAATGGCTCTTTCGGAATTGGTTTACCTAAGAGTTTGCAGAGTGGCTCCCATCCTGATCCCAGCTCTACTTCAAGTAGGCGCTCCTTTGGAACTAAATTACGCACATACTCGTTATGCTGTTCAATCCAGAGTGGGTTGCATTTGCGGCCAGTTCTATCTTCAGCTCTGTAAATAGATTAATCGTGTTGTTCTTGATAGGACACTTGAGGTCATCTTACGCTTCAAAGAATCCTCGTGCAGTGTCAATAAACCATCGAATACCAGGTAGTGGCATGGTGATGTATCCCATAGCTCTACTTCCTGCGTTATCAGCTACTGACTTGAAACTCTTCCACCACGCTGCTGGAGGGCGTGTGACAAGGACGAATTTTGCATCTGGATATAATTCCATGAGCTCTGGGAGGAAATCAATGGCTGTGACATCAGTTGCACCTGCAAAACCTGAAAAGGCATCTTCAAGCGCTTTTAGTAACTGTGTGCGATCCCCCTCACGCCTGTATCGATATATCTGATTCCATTCTTTACAGTACGCTGGGAGATGTCAACTAGTGCGCCTATAAATAATAGGAATCACAAGTTGTACTTACAGTCTTCTCGATTAAAAAGCTGGCTCGCTGTATGATGTACCGGTCCGTCGAGCAGCTTCTCTAGAGCATAGGCATAGGATAGCGTCCCAGTTCTCGAGAACCCAGCATCTATTACCTCCAGCCTTCTTCCTTTATCCACCGGTACAGATGCTTCTTGTCCCATTATTCTTTCAGACTCTGTATAGTAACTGAAATAACGATCGGTATAGTACGAAGTGAAAAAGCTTGCACCCCTGTGTTAGATATATCATGAACACAAGGCGATTAAATCAGGGGATACATGTTATAGGATAGGAATGGACATATCTGACGTAAGCTTACATGTACACAAACATTTAAGTTTGAGATGGATAATACTAGTTGTACCCGCATTCAGACAAAGAAGTCAATCTAAGTATTAGAAAAGCACTGTAATTGTAGATGGGAAGAATTATAGTAACAATGTGGAATCTTTTTATGTGAGTGATAACAGAGGCGACTCGATGCGTTCTTGTAAGATCGAGCATCGGTATTTTTTGCAAGGGAACACTATATGAAGATATGAAACCATGTCCATCATGATGATGCGTTTATTGATGACCATTAACCACTTACTACTTCCACTTCTTCCAAGCAAATATCATCCCGACGCCAATAATTGATGCAGTTATTAATGTGAATTTGATCAAAGCCCTTCTTATCATCTCTCCAACCAGGGCATCTCTGATCTCCAAGTGGTCAGCAAAATTCGGGTATGGTACGTCAGGCTTCGAAACTTCAAGAAAGTCACAAAGTTCATCCCATCCCAATCCCTCTTCTAACTTGATAATTCGTAGTCTTTCCTTTGGTATTAATGCTTTGACCAAGTTGTTGTAGTCGACATAATTCTGACGTAGTATCTTCTCATTGTCAGGATGGCCTCGTTTGGTCGTCCCGCTAAATAAATCGTATACTAGGCCGTTGAATCGCCAGTGGTGCCATAGACCTTCATCGAAATATCTCAGGATAGTCATAGGGATAGATGCAAGATAGTCATTCATGCCGCCCACTTGTTTGTTAAATGACCTGACCCATTTGTCCGGATCTCGCTCCGTTAGAAGAAACTTCACATTCGGGTCACTCAGATATGCGCTCTGGATTTGCACAGGCATATAACAGGGCACCTCGATGATCGAATCATATTCCTGAAACCATTTGTCGAATTCTGCTCGTCCATACGGCCTGACGCCAGAAAGTCTGTTATTTTCCGCTAGTAGTGCCTCTTGAAAGAAGATTTTATGGCTGTGGCCTTTGTTTAGCATGAATTCTGCAGCGTGATAAGGCTTATAACCGAGGATTTTGAAGGCTCGATATAATCCAAGTGTTCCGGTTCTATACCAATGACGAGTGTCAGCAGTTGTAGGAGTAGTAAGAATAGGATTAATTCGTACTTGCTGCATCCAAAGACAATGACTTTAATCTTGGGTTTGTCAGATGGCTCTGGCAAATTGTCGATTTTCCGAGCTCGCAGCATCTTTGCTCAAGGAGGGGGTACTTTGGGCCGCATAAACTTCTATAACAAGAGGTGTCTAAAAGATGAAGTCATTCGAATACCGAATGAAGCATTATCTGACGTCGTAGAGTTTAGGCACCTTACGAAACAAACAAATATATAGTTGGAAGTAGTGTTGCCTTCATATAAGAAAATGCGATGCAACATCTAAATCAGCCTACAGCGCTGTTTTCTATTCTAGTATTGTGTACGCGCGGCGATGGAGCCGCTGTAGATTAGGGCGCCCGCATTGACCTTCGCTACTATGTTGCGCTATATGTTCCTGGTGATAAAAGTCTCGTCATCATTCCAATCATAATGTTTTACAAAGTCAAACACCTTTGAAGTCGAAGCTTACGGTGCGCTATGAAGAAGTGGCTGCTTATTTGATGTTTCGTAGTCTAAACGTTATGGGGGGAAAGAGAGAATTGCCTTTACTAAACAAAGCCCACCTAGGTACATTACCTTCCATAACCACCATATATGTCTAATGTCCATTCATAGGAAAGAATGGGCTATCGTGTTTCCAAAGCTTGAGATCAAAGAGATTTCGACTAACATGTCTAGACAACCTACTATCGGTATCGCTACCCAAAGGTCAATTAGTTGTGTTGGTAGAAATATTGTCATAGAAGAGAACCGTGTACCCAAGTTAACATCGTTATGAGCCTATGATGGACAGAGCTATCACTCATGGGACTTGTCGACAAGTATAGTGCAATAATAAGAGAGATAAAAATAAATGTCACGCCAAAATTTCGCGGCTTTAGCTCCCAAAAGAGAAAGTAGATATACGAGTAAATATACGAGTAGATGTTGATTCCAAATTCAACATGTAATCTCACGCAACTCGGGCTAAGCTTCAACCACTGGTCTTGAGTTTTAAATTTGACATCAATCTAACCCACCCTTTCCAAAATTACTACCTATTCTGTTCTCCATAGCCATAATGTTAGCATTCCCTCGTCTCTGAGCTGTTTCAAAAGCTCGTCGATGGACACTCAAATTTTCTGAAAACAGTGGGCGATGATCTGTCCAGCCTGTAAGCTGGCGGATATTATCGCTGCTGACCCACTGGCTAAAATTAAAAACGATGTGTAGCCCTTCGGGGAATGATGGTGGTGCTTTAGCAGGAGGAACAAACTCCACCCCTCCTCTAAACCCGTACTCCTTCGCTAGGGCTTCCCCCACCTCTCTCACTGTCTCATACCGATATCCGGATATGTTAAATATCTTGCCGTCCACCGCACTTCGATCTGCGTGCTCGGCAATAGCTAGGTAAGCTGTGCCACAATCGTCGACGTGAGTTGCGTGCATGATGTTGTCGGGGTTCGCTGGGATTTTAAGAGTGTCATTTTCGACAACTGCTTCAGTCGCAACCCAAGAAAACATGGCTCCATAGTAGCTGCCGCTGCGACCAAATACGCTCGTGGGTCGGAGTAGCACAGCGTCAAAAATATCGCTATAATCGAATATACGAGTACAGTTTTCAGTTCTTTGACGGAGGAACTCTGGAGGATTGGTGGGAGATGTCTCTGTATGTGGAAATAATGAGAGAGATCCGTGGATGTCCGTTTTCCCATAATCTTTGCAACCAGACGACCAAAGAACTAGAGAGCGAACTCCATTCCGCTTGCTTCTCCCAGCCAAGACCTTGACTAGCGCCAATACGTCGAGAAAATGATCCGCATATCCGGGGAGGTTCTCGGTACAACTTATAATGGAATCAAAAACCGTTGCCTGTTCATAGACGGAATCGAGAAAGCTGAGGTCTGTAAAATCACCCACGACGGGTATAACTTCAGCGGCCTCTAGTTCTTCCGCTGCTTCAGGCTTGCGAATAAGGCCAAACGTTCTCCAGCCCGCTCCGACGAAAGCTCGGCAGACAGCGGCGCCAATGTAGCCGTTTGCCCCGGTCACAAAGACGGTCCGCACCCGGTTGGCTACGTCTAGAGGCAGTTTAGTGGCCATGCTGAAATTGTAGGCAGCTCCTCAGACAGTGCTCTGGAATTATTATTTTTCGACTCAAGTAGTACGAAAGGGTTTTTTTTTTCTGCCTATGGTTGAGCTGTTATATACTAAAGAACTGAAGAATATGTCGACAATGGTCAACACAATGTTATTTGTAACATCCATAGCGGATGTAGTGACTGCTGTGATGCAGACTTCATGTTGCCCGCAATTGAGTCGGATCAAAATTTGTACCATCGGACCAACCTTTCGCTGTCGGACCAAGAAATTCTGATGTCGGACCACCGGATATGCAATCGGACCAGGGTCCCATTTATGATTATGAGCGGCTTTTTTGCGCCATCACCAAATCCTATCTTCATTCTTCTTCTTTTCTTTTTCTTTTTTCATAACGCAACTGTGGCCATTGTACATAAGTACTACTTGGCCCAAGTTTGTAAATGTGAGGATGTCGATCGACTCTTGCTACAGAGCACACGAAGCAGGCTCCCATGATTGGCTAGTGGGATGCAAATCCACACGGCTAATGGAAGGGAGCCGGCCCGCGGACCGGCCGTGATTTACATCTCCCGGTGTGGAGAATTTTGGAGATTCGCAAGGCCAAGGCAGCGATCATTCTCAAGAATATTAGTATTGGCTAACTGTCATCCAGATTAGAGCGTTCTAAATTCTTCACCTGAGAGACGTTACTATCGATTTTAACAAAATAAATAGAATACATAGGTAATATGCCTGTTCATTCGCGCCGTATCACAAATCATCAGGTACTTGACTCATCCTCAAGAAGAGCATCAGGCCACCACGGCGGGGCACTAGCTACGTCTGCGAGTCGTGAACCGCTAAGCCACTAGTATTAAATATGGAACACCGAATGTTTTCTCATTCACTTGAGTTCACAGGGGCAATCCTTCTGCGGTATTGCTGTTTGTATTTCGAGGATGAATGTCAGGTCAGGGCGTTGTCCATCTATTCCAATGCCTTTTATTCTAAACTTGGATATAATGTCTCTACTAAAGAAGCCCTACTACATACTGTATCCTTCTGAGTTACTGCGCAGGTAATTCCAAAAGGCGTTTTAGAACTGCATCATCGCTAAGGTTTCCTTCTCCTTTAATGGTTTCGTAGGCGGGCAAAAGCACAGACTTTTCGATTTCCTTGTACTGGCCATCAGCAACAAAAATCGCGTCTCCTTGTCTGGATGTATCTGCCATCAGATAAACGGCAGCGCGCGCAACTACCAGAGCAGGCTGCGGCACATGGGAAATCGCTCTCATGAGCCCCTCCAAGTCTGGGAGGACGTTGCTCGTTGTCCATGATGGCATCAGAGTATTGATGCGAATGGGAAGCCCCGCGATCTCCGCAAGCCGTGCAAAACCTCTGCCGAACCCTAGGACGCCATGTTTGGCCGTGGCTACATAATTTGGTCAGCACAAGGGACCCTGATCAACAATACATTGCTTTACTCTCCACTTACAATAGTCGACTGCTCGAAGTGGCTGTAGCCCGGTGCTAGAGCCCATGAGCACAATGCTACCACCTTCAGGTTGATCCTTTATATAATGAACCGCAAGAGAAGCTGTGTTGATAAGACCCCTCAAGCCGATATCCAACAGTTCATGCGAGGGTTCCTTTAGTCCCCCCTGGTCATCTGTCTCAAGAGCCAAGTAGTTGGCGCGCGGACCGATGCCGGCGTTGGCGAAAACGCAGTCGATGCGGCCATAGTGTTCCTTCGCTTTCTTGAACAGAGCGGTCAGGTCATCCCATTTAGCCACATCGGTCCGCACAAAGAGCAAGTCAGGCGTTTCAGTCGACTCGGAAGCCGGTGGTGGGTTAAGATCGCCGCTGACCACTGATGCTCCTAGTGACAGCAGTAGGTTGACTGTTGCGAGGCCTATACCTGACGAGCCGCCTATGGTGAGCCAGTAGGCTGGTCAGCAGCCTAGTTCAAGGATAATCACTAGAGTAATACGGCACAAAAAAGGTAAAATTAGCCGTACCTGTAAGGACAACAACTTTGCCCTTGAGGCTGCTTAAATCCTCGTCCTTAATAAGAAATTCGGTCATGGTGTTGATATTAGGCAAGGCTTGTTAAAATAATGGAGGTAGCGAGACGGGAGAAGATGAAAGAAAATGTGATATCACAAAGGTAAAATACTAAACAAAGGGGTCAGAAGATAGAGGTCTTTGGAGGAAAAGGAGAGCTGCAGACGTACTACTACTCGTTACTTATGCATGTATCCGACAAAAAAGCCACGTTATGACCCCTTTGTCTAAAGCACGATGGTGAAACGAGCCTAGCTCGGCACTCGCCCCATACACCTACACCGTATTGTACAGTACTAGTTTCCGGTAATTATGCCCACAATCGTCCATATTAGAGGCATTATACGAAGAATACCCAGATATGTATAGGTACCGCCGATCCTACTCCCGGTGGAACGGTTACAGGGTACTCGAGTAATGAACACCCGGCATGGGTCAGAACAAGAAATGATGGGCGCCGGTTTCTTTTCACTATGGTCTCATCTTAGCCGAATTTTTTTGCCTCTGTAGTGGGAGGATTGGTTCTAAAGAATAGGACAATTCTTCTTCTTTGCAACCTCTCTTCTCCGCTATACCCTTTCTTCATATTTCTTATACTTTGCCGTTTTTTCTTTTTCTCTACGAATTGTCCTCTCTTCTGCTCTTCATCTGCCTTTGCTACCAGCGCTCAACTGTTTTGCCATCATGGTCGAGCCGGCAGGGGACGGCCTACAGCTTCTCCATGCTTCAATAGTGCTGATTATCCTAGCCTGGCTCACATTCATTGCACGGACATCAGTTCGTGTTTGGCGAAAAGCATTGGGCTGGGATGACATTTTGATGTTGATAGGCCTCGTACGTATTCCAACTGAGATAATTCATCCTCTCTAAGACCCAAAAGCAATCTCAAATGCAATCTAATACTTTCGTAGCTTCTCTTCACAGTGACAGCTTCCTTATGCATTGTCTGCAGCTATCTCGGATCTGGTCAGCTTGCTGCCAAGCTGCATCCCAGTGATATCATGAAAGGAACCAAGGTGCATACTCTTGTGAATCTTCTATTGAGAATCGAACAATGCCAAACTAACCCTCACCAAAAGCTCTTCTTCATCGCCGAATACTTCTACGCCTCCAGCACTGTCTTCATTAAGAGCAGCATCGCCATAACTCTCCTTCGAATCGCCGAATCTCGTCGTCGCTACAGGTGGATTATTTGGAGCGTCATCATCGCCACGAGCATTTCCTGCATCGTATTCATAGCCGGCATTTCCAACATTTGCCATCCCATCACTACTCTATGGGGCGAAACTACTACCGGCACGTGCAATCTTGAACTTAACAGCGATGTCAGCTTCTTCTTTTCTGCTATAGAGATCATCACCGACTGGACGTTGGCGATTCTCCCTGGAGCCTTGTTGTGGAAGATCCAGATGAAGCGCAGGGTTAAGCTTTCGGTAGCTATGATTCTGGGGATGGGCGCATTGTATGTCTCAGATTTCCTTCTCCCGATCAAAAATTGCCCCACTTCCTTCAACGGAGTGCAACCCTACCAGGTAACAGACAAACTATATGCACCTAGCTAACCTTTTACCAGTGCAAGCTGCGCAACAATTGTTCGACTACGCTACCTAACTCTGTACAACAACCCGGCAGAGTTCATGTTTGGCACCGGCAGGATTGGCCTCTGGTCCATCATCGAAGAAGGCATTGGTATCGTCGCTGGCTCTCTACACGCTCTTCGCCCTCTCCTCTCACTGCCCATCTTTGGCGGTAGCTCCAGCGGCGGCAACACCAGTGGATCAGCTTCGAATAATAAATTCATGCGGTCAGGGAGTGGACATCATCCGGGGATGCGTAACGACATTCAATTGGACACGTTTCACCAGCTAGCAGATACAGATGGGGATGGGGAGAGCGCCAAGCATATTTTAAAGGAGACGAAAGTTACGATGGAGAGGAGCGATCGAGCTGCTTCACCGGGAGAATACGGCAGGAGTCAGGTCCTAGGGTGGAAGAAGAACAATTTTGAGGGCTGATCTAGAACTGATCCATTTTTCCAGATGGCGACTAGGATAAACGGCGCATGAAACTGGACGAGGTGTAATCTCGACTCAGGCATTGAAAACGGCGGAGAATGGGAAGCGAAGATTGATATTTACGGCATCTTAACGCTAGTCAACTGTGGCTGCAATGTTTGCCGATCATAATGGTGAGAATTCTCTAAGCTCAATATTTACTAGCCATCTCTGTCCTGTCACAAAATGGCAAAGTCTGATACAACATGCAGATTTGGAAACCTTTATGGTCCAGTCACTGATCTCTGCGATCTCAGTCTCGCTCGGCCCTCTCCTATATCCCCATACAGTTCTCGTCGTTGTCTTGGTAACTTGCCGGTATCATTTTCTCTTCTTTCTCTTCACCAAGGCGAAACGGGACAGGATGAAAGTATACGTTAAAATCTTGAACCCAACACAAGAGTGTGGACCACAATAGGGGTCACAGGCTGGATCCCGTGCCCGTCATAATTAGAAAGCAATATAGAAAATATAGAGTAATTTTCAATCTTACGAGAATAACTAGCCAGTTACAAGTTGGGATATAGCAAATAATGATTGAATCGCCTAACTAGTTATTTAGAACCTTTGTATGGCTTTTCAGACGAGCCCTTGGTTGAGCCTGACCCTATGTCGAGTTTTGCCTGGTGGACCGTTTCCAACACCTGGCCCAAGGGCACACATGCTTGTCTCTTCTGCTGCTAATGCCATTCAGTATCCTCTTTTGATCTCTTGGTTGGAATCGCGCAAGCTTGTAATTTCAGCTCCCTTCTTTAGTCGTCTCCAATGCTGACACTCGTGGTACTGCGGTACTCACCTTTCTACATGCCAGCGTCAAGGCTTTGAAAAGGTGAGATACAGCCTACCGGGTTAGCTCAGCCAGATTTTAACTAGAATCTATTAGAATATTCGTATAATGTCCATTGTTAACCTCGCAATACGAAGATACCCCTCTCTAACAACCCTCCGCGACATCGTTGTTCATCAAGATGGTAATTGGATCAAGCGATTCATCGAAATATGTAAAAACATTACGTGGCTATCTACGGCCGACTAGGGTGACCCAGAAGAAATCACTGTCGAGACTGCATAACCTGGAGTTCCTATTTTCTGTGAATGATACGACAATGTCTCGTTTGTATCATTGGCTCTAATAATGATGAGTATATTACGGCGATGACACGTATATCACACCAGATTCCTCAAAGCGAAGCTCGTCCGCCCATGATTCGACATGAGTGAGTATATAGGATAACACGGAACAAATATGTTGCTTGAAAGGCTGCGAACTCGTATAGAAAGGAAACCTTATACTACCAGACGGCGTACCTACCTATATAAAGCAACTACGTGATTGGTGTGATTCGGTCAGTAAGTATGCTCCATCAAGAGCAGTAGTTCTAGCATTCCCACTTGGAGAGTAGATTACCCTGAAATGCCGCCGTGTCTATGGCCTGCTTGAAAGTCTTCATGCCTTGTCAATAGACGACATACTTCCTAACTCAAACTGTCCAAAAAGCAAGACAAGTCATTTTAAATGTCTGTCGCCAAATTCCTCTTCCATACAAGCAATGGTACATCATGAATATAATAATTTGGTTGCAGTATCTTCAAAGAAATGCTCCAGAACTCCCACAAAAGCATCCAATTTGTCGCAATGAACGATGTGCTTACGATGGTTGTACTGCTTGACGCTAAAGAATAGTTAAATTAGATGCATACCGATACGTAACTGTTACTGTCCTCTCCATGTTGCAAACCAGGGGTGGAAGAAAGTACATAATCAACTTGAGACCGACGTTTAAGTTGACCAATACCCTCATTCAAAAACATGGAGACGTTTCCATGCTGCCTAGAAGAAGAAGAAAAAACGCTAAATAAAGACGCCTGGGGGATGCGCTTAGTTTCTTTAGTTAGTTTTGGTCCCTTGACCGCATTGTTAGTCCCAAGTCCATTGAAAATAAGCAGCCGGTAGAGTGTACGAGTACGGAATACACATTATCTCCACCTGATTGAACAGTATTGATAGTAAAGAGTACTGATGGGAATACCGGCCATGGACGTGCCAGGTGGCCGTACATTTTCGTAATCCTACTCAATGACATCGCTGTTTTACAAGTTACACACTTTTGAGTCCAACATGCGCATCGTTTTCACTGTTTGTCGCTTCGACTACTAACCAAACCAATGGACAGGCCGTGGTCTCCGGAGCAGTTACTCCTAGTAAAAGTACTTCTGGTACCAGAGTTGATGGCCAAGTAGTCATCCTAAATGTACTCGTAGGCGACAACTCCCTCACCCTGGTGCCGATACCTCCGCGAAAACGCGCTATAAATATGGAGAAAAGTGCCAAGTTAATAGACTAACTTGACAAACTATGGGGCGCAAACGCTCCTTGCCCTTGGAAACGTAACCAACCCCCTGAGTTGTTGCATGATGTAGGCTCTCGCCCCTTTCGCCGGCGAACTACCGCATAATGTTGCCCCTGCTACGTAACAAATCCTATTGCAGCTCATTGCCGCCCCAATGAGACCTTTAACTGTGGTAGAGATTCTCCAATACTAAGTGGGGAGTGTATCCTATTTTCTAGAGGGAATATCCCCTATAGCGCCAGTCTTAAGCTAGGAGATGTCACCGCCTAGTAGTGTAGAGGCTAGGTAGTCGCCGTGTAATCTCATAGGACAGTGATTAAAGTCTATCACCCGTAAGGCTTAGCATGAGCATCATGTTAATGTAGCGCTCCTATCATCTTGCCTTGGTAAATGATAGCCGTCTACTTTGGATCACCTATTCATTGAGCCACTTTAGTCAAATATTGCTTTCTACCTTGGACGAGAAAGCAGAGGCAAACCATCTTACTATAAAGCACGTCATGAAACAAGTTACAATATCTACATGGATCGTGGTTACTCTATCTTGACGTTATCTGGGGCCTATCACAAGGTGCACTTTCTTGGCAGATGTTTTTCTTGTCCCTTGCGGTTTATGCTATCTACGCTAACTCGTATTGCTACTTTCCAGATTTCCGTTTGTTGACTGGTGTGATGGATCAGTGCAAACTTCTTGCATGGATAATGTATAAGCAGCCTTCAATCCAAACCGCTTTCGTTTTTCCGGCTTATTTGACCCAAGACAACACTGTGGTCAATGCGGCTACTTCACCTAAAGATTGCCGATCCCCTCGAGCGCATTCTTAGTGACTTACCTCGCAAAAGTTGCTCCATTCTCTAGATTGCGTCCGTCGAGGGACTGCCTTGCGCCGCTTGGATTCGGGACACCTGCATGGTGACTAAGAAGTTTGGTGTCTTAATATTTAATTCTCCTCTAACTGGATCGAAGTCCTATTTCTGTAGTATCTAAAGAATTTCGCCTCGTTTTGGAGCTTTACCAGATCGTTTTTTGGCCAGAAAGCTCGTGGGCCAAATCTTGGTAAAGCGAATTGCAGTGGCGATAAATCCGAACTAGCAAAGTTGATCGAAGAGAAAGGGATGCCGCCGGAAGGAACATCTGATGCTCTGGACAGTGTAGTCTTTGCCTTATCACAGGTGATTTTGGAGGAGGATATTTGTCACATCCTGAGATACTCCCGGCATCGAAGTTATCCAAGCTATGAAGCACGCATGTCTAGTCGTACGCGCCTCCAGGTGAGAGATGGGGTAGTTGCTGGGAAGATCCCATGTCCGGTGCGCCACTTGAGTGATTTGCTCCAGCACTAGTGCTGGTAAGAAACACGGCCAATGTGATTAGCAAGTGCATTTTCCTGCTCTGTAATTTGATGCAAGTCCGTCAAGGTGCGACTAGGGGCAAATCCGAAACCATTTCCCAAATTTGTTGCTGATTCCGCTACTCCGAGGGGCATAGTAGCTTAGGTAGGTATCAAATATCTCCAGTAGGACGCTATAACTAGCTTGAAGAACGATTGACTACAGGCGGAAGTCGTAATTCTATCTATGCCGCAAGTAACAAGACCAGCGAATCCCTTATCCTCAGTGAGTTGTAACATTAACGAACTAGATCATAGATTGTCCAGCTTATCAAATAATGCTCATTCAATCTCTTTGGGTAAGATGAAATAGGTAGGGAAACTTCTTAATCGTAGTGATGTTGGATGAGTCCAGAAGTGCAAGTTATATGGCGAAGAATATCAACGTCTGAGTGGTCGCTAGCTTCCTAAAATATGCATAGGATGATAGTATCCTGCTTTTGACTATTAGACTAAATTTCTTGTGAAAGGACACGTCAGGTGCGAAAATTGAAGCGGCAAGCTCGACGGGGCGGACATTTTTGTAAACATGGCCGAGCAACCTGAACCGGGTATGCTTGGAACTTATGGAGACCTGTTGGTCAATGCAAAATATTCTGTAAGTACTAGATGCTGAATGTTGTAATGTGTTTAAAAGCTATGCAAAACCAACGCCAGGCGTATCAGAAACCCTATATATGAGCTTTTTGGCACTTACTTTCCCCTCTTTCAACATCCATAAACCCTCTTCAACAGACTCTAATCCGCGTGGCAGGACTTCATGTGGCTGTCCGGTCATTTTACCCTCAGCAATCCATCGACCAACGAGCCGGAAAAAAGCATACGCAAAATCTACATCTTCGCTGTATACTTCATTGCTGATTGGAGTCGCCTGTCCATGCACTGTGCCAAAGAAAGTAATGCCAATAGATATCCAGGGAGGAATATCGCTGTAGTCTAGACGGGGCAGGTAAACAGACATGCGAGCTCCTTCTGGCGCTAACACTTCTGATAGATGCCGAAAACTGTTACTGTCATTGATGGCATCAACAGCATGGAAGCATTTCTTCCCTCCAAGGGCAGCCTTCAGATCATTGACGACATTGCAGTTTCGGTAATCGACAAAGTCCGTAACTACGCCAAGCGACTCGACGTATGATCTTCCAGATCCACATACAGCAATGACTTTTTCGAAACGTCCAAACCGTGCCAATTTTAATGTAAACGCTCCAATAGAAGATCCACCTCCGTAAACGATTAGTGGAGGCTGGACTTGAGCGATCTCTGGGGATGTCGGAAACGGAATTTTGAGCCGCTGGTATAGGCCTATCGCTGCTGTGCACAAGGCAAATGGTATGGTACTGGCTTCTATATCTTACATGAGCAAAGATTCACCAACATGCACAGTTTCTTCTTGGTAACTCACCTTCAAATGAGATATTCGGCGGCAACAGAAAGCACGTATTCACAGGAGCAGTCGCATACTCCGCATAAGTGCCATTCTCCGTCTGCATAGGATGCGCCGCCGCAACCCGGTCGCCTTTCCGGAATTCGTACACATTGTTTCCCACCGCTTCAATAATTCCAGACATCTCATTGCCCTGGTTTATCTCAATGCCAGGAATGAGATGATCGGGAGCTTTCCAATCGCGTGGGTTGCTGGCGCAGAATATGACTCTTATGAGGACCTCATCTGGCCCAGGCTGTGGAATGGGGATGTCGATTATCTCGCATCGTAGAGGGTGCGCTTTGACGATGACGGATTTCATGATGGGCGAGTAGATGAAGCTGAAGGATGTGTAAAGACCGCTTGGAAAAGCGAAAAGCGACGTCTCAACAGCTTTTAAATATATTTATGCCCACCACCAAACCCTCGTGCTTTGTTGGCTGAGCTGAACTCCACGTATAATTATCTATGCATGTAGCGCGGAAGAATTAGTTCATGTGATTTAGATGCCAAAGCAACCATTGCTCCACAAAATACTCAACAAGCCGATCTACCCCATGGGCAAAGTGAGGCCAGACATTCTCTCCTACTACCCCATAAATACGCTGTGAAGCCTCGGATTGGCTATCACGAGTACGATGACGATTCATGAAGATCTGCGACTGAACATCTCTCTACCAGACTAAACACGGCTTTAACACAAACCCACCCCCGAGAAAAGACTTATAGCCGTCACTACGGAATAAATGAAAGAAGCTTCCATTTGGCCCTCCGGATACATTCCGGATAGATTCTGGAAAAAGCACCGGTCTAGCCGACTATCAAACGCATTACGATTTTATTTTACAACGTATCTAATGGTTCGGCAACATTCCAAGCATTATTTTAGGCAGAAAGGCCCAGACTAGTAACTCTACTACTTTGGCAGCTACTGGAAAAGGATTATACACTGTCTTTCAGGTAGGGCGAAAAAAGGGTACATTGTAGTTTACGTATACAATCAATACTATTTCCAACACACCCTACTTTAAATGGCATATAAATGGCAAAGATCAATCTGCAACTGAGCGTTTGGGGCCATCATCATCTGTCAAAGAAAAAGCCACGGCGGTGCTACTTGATGCGGCGAGCAATGGCTCCGAAGAAGTGGGAGTAGAGGGAGGAAGAAGAAATAAACTACACGTATATAGTGTTCGTTATCTACAACGGAAATATATAGATTGAAAACGCTGTCTCTCAATTCGGCATTTTGTAGCTATTCCGATAAGAGCCAGATTATCACACCGGCATATAGCCCCCATTACTATCTAGAATACTATGGAAGAATAATTGCTGCAGGCTCCCAAAATTGGATTCCATAGTGTCTAAATCGTCCGCTGATTCCATATACCATGATGGATAACTTAACTCTGAATCAATGTCCTCTTGGTAAAGACAATTATCGGAGAGGTTGCCTTGCGATACTTCTACAGGCTTTGCATTCAGCGGTATGTTGACTGGCTCTGCGATCTCGCCTTCTGCTGCATATGTATCAATAGAGAGCTCTGCTGGTAAACCCATACCAGAAGTGCTAGACCAGAAGTCTGCTGGGGTAGAAATTGAAGCGCTAATTTGCGGCATCAGAGATATGTTGTCATAGCTTCTTGGTTGAGTATTGTGCTGTGTAAGCTGTTCTTCCCGGTGCTGGCGTGTAGCGGTAACCATGCCGACTATAGACTCTCGTAGAGGATTCTGCGTCATCATAGCCGGGGGGATTTCGTTTAGGGTCTTGACTACGAGACTCCAAGCTCGTTCACACCCAGAGTCCCATGTCTGTGTCTGAAGATGGATAAGAACGATACCGACAGCATACCATTGTTGGAAATTGATCAGGACCCATCCCCATTGATGCGTTGAGGACTGATATTGCCATTTGCGCATGTTCTCAATGAGAGTTACCGCGGACAGAAATGATCTGGCTCTAAGATCTGTCTCGTCGGCCGATGCCGCTTTCCCAAATATATTCGTATCTCGCACAATAATGCTGAGGTGGTCCAGGAGCATGCCGAAGAAAAATTCAGTAAAGTGTTGTACAGCACACCCTGTGTCGGAGTTTCCAAAAAATTGGGTGGTTGCCCACTCTCGTGCTTCCTCTATCTTATGCAATGCGACGCATTGCGCTGCCTGCTGCTTCTCCCCAGAAGCCAACAGAGCGGACAATGAAGAGAGCACATGATTGCACATACGCCGCAGCTCACATGCCATGAGGGTAAAGCTCACATCTGTAAAGCCCTCCCGCGCAGTCGGCTCTTTAGTCATGTTGACTTCAAGATCTGCATCGTTGCAATTTGTGGGCTCCTTGGTATCCAACATGCTGTTGGATATCATAGTTTCAGGAGCATAGCATTGGCTGACACGGGCATCAAAACAGCAAATATGCCACCATAATCTTCGTCTCATCTCCGCCTCGAAAAAAGAGACGCTTGGAAAGGTAGCGCCATCGCGATGCAGCCCTACCGATATCGCGGCCCTTACCAATATACCAGACATCATCCACACAGTCCGCATGCCATACCGATGGCCTGCACTCTCGAGGTAGATTAGAGATGCCTGAGCAACGCATAGGTCGGTCGTCTTGAGGATACCGGCTTGTGATAGTGCCTTCTCTGTTCCGAGCACAAGGCTAGAGAGAACCGTTTCTTTGGCGTCATGGAACGCCTCTTGCACCTAGAGAGCTTCGTCAGCCCTGTGTTTCATGAGTATTAAATGAGTCTACTGGAACGAAGATGCATTTACGTCAGAGTTGCTCAGTGAGTTAACGGCTGCTAGAGAGATGGAGAAGATTAAGGAGCGCATCCCTGGGGATAGCTTATCAAAGCCGGCTTCGGCGAGCCGAATTACTTCAGTCATGGTTGGTACATGCAGCACCTTGATAAAAGGATCCACATTCTCAACATATACCTGCCAGATATAAGACAGGAGATGTGGCGCCGGATGAAATGCAGATTCAAGCGGATTGCTTTGACTAAAGGTGAAGGGTATTTGACCAGATTCTGCCTCGTCTGTCGAGAGACTGTCTTCAAAGGCAGTTAAATCGATGATGTCGCTGGTCTCGAATGCTTCGCGGACACTTCTTAGCTATTAATAAGACAATTAGAAAACGAGCCTACATGGATGCGGTTACGCTGCAGATGCAGAGCTTACCTCGCCATGAAGAGCAGTCCAAAAGCCGTTACTGGTATACAGCGTGCCTTCTTCGCAAACATGAAGACTTCCAAACGAACGACTCAACTTTTGTGTATTATCATGATGTGCGTCCATTGCGTGTATGTCGTGAGACGCCCGGTCTATTTGGGTTGTCGAATCTAGTTTGCTGTTCCTGGCGGGCACATTGCCTGAATTGGTATGGCGAGGTGTGGAATCTTCATCTCGTGCCTGAGCCTTCATATCGTCTACCACACTCTCTAACTGCCTCAGGCGACTGAGAAGCTCTTGCACCTGAACTTCGGACCGCTTACGCGGCCGAGGCGCCCGAGATGAAGGGACAGATGCGGTTGCCGAGTTATGCTGGCGAGTTGGCTTGCGCCCGCTAAAGGGATACAGGCATTCCACTCCCGCTTTAGAGCAGAATCCACATGGACTCTGTCTATTGCATCGGGATTTGCGTCTACGGCAATTGAAGCAGCTCCAAGAGCTCACCACAGGGCCTCGACTCTCGCTAGGGTTCCCTGAATTACTCTTCAAAGCTTGATCCGCCATTTTCTCAGCTTCGGACAATACAGGATGATAAGGGAGGTGTCTTGGTCCGAACGCAGGTCCGCATCCAGATGCGACAGACAATAAACAATCCGAAGTTTGTGTTTTTGTGAGCTTGACGCACCAATACAGTACCCGTGTAACTAGGTAGCATGGTAGGGTGCTTACGAAAGAAAAGCAGACGATGTTGAATTGAGTGACGACATAGTATAGCCAAGAGCGGAGAAACCCCGCCTCGTTGATTGGTTAGAGAGGTCGTGGTCCGAAAGATCGTGGTCCGAAGTCCGTGGTCCGAAAACATTGGACACCTCCGAAACTCACGACCTATGTGACAAAGGTAACATAAGCGCAAGAATCGCAGCCTGGTTTGCTTACCAAATATAATAAATCCATTAATAATGTCAGGGCGACTATATCAGTATGTTTTCTCAAATGATTTGGCAGAGGCTCAGACACTGATGGGAGAGGAAAGTGATATAAGATGCCGGCGTACATCGCCTTCGTCAAAAATGTACGAATAACGTTTGGAGATCATCCAACTGATTCATATAATTACTAAACGTGAAAAAAAATCTTCTGCAAAAGACAAAGACAAGCAAACACAATGCCTAATGTGGAGCCCTTTGTTCTCTACGCCTCTGCACCGTTTGCGGCCTCTGCAAACCCATGGAAGGTGGCATTTATCCTCGAAGAACTTGAACTTCCATATCGGTTCGAAAAAATCCACGAAGCGGATAAAAAGCAGCAACCATTCCTCTCATTGAATCCCAACGGCAAAGTGCCAGTGTTGAGAGACCCAAATAATAACAATATCACAATATGGGAGGTAAGCTGAGTTCATCATAAGAAAAGCTTCTATACTTTGCGCGCGGCCAACCCATCTAATATTACGGCGAGTGATTTAGTCTGGTGCAATCATCGACTATCTTATTGATGTTTATGACATCCAACATACGCTGCACTACGCTTCCGGCCCAGAAAAACACTTGACGCGCTGCTGGGAGCATTTTCAGATGAGTGGCCAAGGACCATACTTTGGGCAGATGGTTTGGTATACCACTTTCCACCACGAGACCCTCCCGTCTGTTATAGAGCGCTATGGTAATGAGATCAAGCGTTTTTTGGGAGTCATTGACGCGCATCTTGGAAGCCAGGGCACAGAATATTTGATTGGAGACCGTGTCACATACGCAGACATCATGTTTCTACCGTACTGCAAGGGCTTGGCTACTATCATTTACCCAGAACTGGATACGTCTCAGTGGAAAAATTATACTGCTTGGATTGATCGCATTTCATCAAGGCCAGCCATTGCGCGTGCCCTTAAAATCATGGACGCCGCAGTGCTGCAGCATAGAGAGTATATTGCATCGGTTGTTGCACAGAAATAGCGTTATGTGGGTAGTCAAGGAATAAATAAATTTTTTATTCACGTAATAAATCAGCTCTCATTATTATATAGTTCTTCTCCCAAAGAGCTTGCACCAGTGGTCAAATGTTTCTCTGGGCATTTTGAAAACGCGATCCTGGTCATTGCCAAGACTCAGCTGCATTTTCCACGCATGTCCAGATTCAATAGTCGCTTCAGCAATAGGTAACTTTTGAGCCAATAGCAATGATCCCTGGCGGTTAGAGTATGATTCTTCCCTATTGTGTAGCGATACGATGATGCTCGCAAACCATTGACATTCTTCCTCCATGTCGTATATACCTGGGGTCTCCTGTAAATGAATGCACGTATTCAGCCGGTCACTGTATATCATGCAGATGTAATAAATAATCAACGCATCGTAATACATATTTCCAAATGGTGGATCATTCACCGACATCCCACTTGGTTGAATATAGGTGCCGTACCAGTCTTGTAGAGATGCTCGAAGTTTCTGGGCTCGAGATATGAGCTCTGTGATTGGTTTAAGTGGTTGGTTGGGGTTATGGCAAATCACGTCAGTAAACTCTTTAAAGAGGGTGGGGATAGTGACAAAGATCGACACCATAGAGATGACCATGGTACTTCTTTCTGGTACAAGGGGATCGTCCGTGATGATTGATTGAAGCACTGCTCTCCATGCTGGGTGTTCGAGGAAGCAGGCTTCATTATTGAGTATTGCTTCTGTTGCCTACCAGAGAGTTCAGTATACGTTATCCAGATGAACGCTTTGATGGCAAAAGCAAAAGACTCACCATTGGTCCTACATGTCCCATAAAGAGACTTTTCTCAAACTCGGAGTTATAGCTGTGTGGGCCCCGCAACTTTATTATGTACGTGGCTCCCGCGGTGTGCTTTATCCAGGCATTCTCCCGACTAGGGTTGAGCAGCTACATAGGTCGAGGAAAAAGAATAAGCCATATATTTCAAGATTTGCTTGATTGGCACTTACTTCATACAGGCCTAGAATTTGCGTGGCGCAGAGCACCTCAGTTGCGATATGCTGAGAAGCAGAGTGAATCGCATCTTGTAATTTTGATAGCGCCATCGAATATTTCGAAAGAGCGAGTAGCTCCCATTGCTTGTCATCAGGCGTAAGCAAGCATCTAACGCGAGCTAGAACACAATCCGTAGCACTGCGTATTAAGACGCTTTGATCGTATTGTAAAGGGATATAACGGAAGTATGACCAATTCTTTCCTTCAAAGAAATGGGTAATGCTTTGAGGATTTTCGAGAAGCCTTTGCCCAGTATACCGACCAACTCCAACTGAAGCCAGTAGCGATAGATCCAGGAAACGTAGATTTGTTTTGGCGAGCATTATCGGATAAGCCGGACTGACAGTGTGCAAAAATGCTACATCTGCCCGCAAGCAGACATCATCATAGCTGGTTATAGCAGGAATCCTGGTCACATCAACTATTTCGGTTTGCCTCCGATCAGTCGCGCTACCACTAAAATCTTCGTCGGCTATAAAAACAGGAATTTGTCGGCTGTTAGGATGCTGGTGCTTTGGTTGTCTTTTCCGCTTCTGAGCTACTTTTTGCATAACTTCACGTCTTATTTTAGCGCGATCGAAAGGCACAGTAGAGGTTGTCGGATTTATCCAGAGAAGATTGGTAGAAGCCATTTCGGCCGAATGAAGTCCCGCCAATGTTGAATGTGTGTTGTAACAACGCAAGGATATAAGTATGCAAGTGATGGCTCTTTCAAATCGGCTTGCGCACTGCTATAGATAGGACCGTCTTGGAAAGAAATGATGTTACGAAGATATAGCTGAGATGAACTGAGCCACCATACTTGGTGGATTACATAACCTGCCGGTAAGCACTAAAGTGGGGAACTGGTTCTAGATCAACCCCCAAGAAGTGGCAAAAGACGCGGGGTTGAATTAATCTGGTGAACTTTTAGCACACTTGGATGGTACCCTACAACTACTATACGTCCCAATGCTTCTCTATAGCACATTGGCACAGAAGTAGATGGAAGATATTCTATTTAGTAAGAGATTAATATTCTGGTAAAGAGCACAATAGACTTTTAAGCTTGGGACAAAGCGAAGCTTTTGCTAATCCAGACATTACAGAACATAAACTGGTTTACACAAAAGGACAACCCTGCCTGGTCTTGTAGCCACTAAGTCTCACAAAGCACAATACCGTTCATGATGAATTGGGATGAGCAACTCGTATATTAAAGCGATATATCTGACTGCATGACTACCTTGGTAGATTGAGATGCAAATGAGTGTGTACACCGTGCATTTATTCGTATCTACCTCCTGATAATCTTTCTCACAATAAACCACGCTTGGTTATTTTATTCCACCGGAGTTAACAAGCCTGTCTTGATGTCGTACACAAATCCCAAAGATTGATCAGAAATTCGCTTTGGAACATAAGGAGATGTCTTCAGTAAATGAAGGTCATCTCGGACGCTTTGCTCAACCCTGGCTTATGTATTAGCATAGACCCTTGCGATTTTTCTTTTTTCTCGCACGGAAGACTCACTCGTCAAAAGCTCCAAACACCATATGATCGATCTCTGAATGATCCGGCAGACGGCTTTTATGAGCTTCACGGATATCTGCATCCTTGAATTGACTTCCGCCACAGTCTAACAGCGAGCATCAATCAGCATATACTTCTCACCTTAATGTTGATCAGCACGGCATACCTGTGTGATGAATCACAATGACCCTCTTCAATCCAAGAAAAACATCAAAAAGCATAATTTCTTGCAAAGCAGGGCCAACGCGCCCTGCCGGATTGCGCGAGATAAGGAATTGATCTAAGGCATTGCGCTGATTAGATTACTGTAAATGAGAAAGACTAGCTTTTGCGTACCTTCGGGCTTAGTTTGCAAGAATTGATCTGGGTTGAGGCGGAAATCGACACAAGTAACTATGCAAGTCAGTTTTTCGAATAACCCGAATAGTTATTGCAAAAAGTTTTACTTACTGACGAGAGTGGTTTCGAAGACGCGACCGAGAGCCATCTGCTCGGCGATGGTGGGGGCGGGGTTATGAGTTTCAGCGTACTTCCTGTTTCGCAGCGGTTAGCATTGGCAGCAACTTAGATATGAGATATCATCAACTTGCTTGTTGCGTTCAACAAGTGTTTCGTAAAAAGAGGGAGCCATTGTGTTGGGCTGAGTTGGGATGATTGTATTTGATATGTTGGATTGAAAGTTGACTGATGTGCTTGTAGATACAGGGCTTTTTCGGTTTTCTTTTCGGTGACTGTCGACTCCTACTTATATACTTAAAAGTGATATATAAGTTGCTCAATAGGATGAATTGATGAATTCTACTATGTGTAATCATTGACAATATTGCCTTGCATTTGACATTCACAATCTGTTCTGTATTCGTCATCTTTGATCCGTGGTGTTTTGTCTCTTCCAGGGTGCTTCTACCTTACTTGGATTAGCACTACTCTACCTAGAGCGCCTTTGACAAGATCTTAGCTGGTGCAAGCGGTTAGCTAGATTTGTAAGACTGTCTGCTAATCCGATTTGGGCAATCGCACCCTGGTCATTTTAGCACTCAATAGCTCGTGCAATCCACCTCCCGTCCCATTATGGTAATCATACCCTGGTAATTTAACCTTTCGTCTGTGTAAGCAAGAATGAAACCCGGGATTTGACAGACCAAGAGTTCCCAAATTTTGTTTTGTATGCTGCAAAATGGTAACTTAGTGACGGTTGTTCTGCATCACCACAGAGCTACTTCGCAGCCTCATGGTATTATTTCGCCACCTCTGCATTATGATTTGAAATCGAGGATTGATTTGTTATGCAGTTCAACCTCGCTACAATTATTCCGTTCACGATAAGTACTCTGTCGCTATCTAATTGACAATGGCAGAGTAATTGAGTATAATTACATTGAGTCAATTTTATATACTACTTCAAGTGGAAAATACAGAAAGCTCTCGGCAGACATCAATTGGGTCAAATGGATATGTTCACGAGAAGACTCCGGGGCAAGCATCATCCGACATTCAAGTCTCGCGTTCAGTTCATTAGGCATCTGTAACTGATACGGAAGCTGGCTATAGGTTGGCTAATCTGGGGTCAGGAAGATGTTGTCAAGGTACGCGCCGCGATCCTTGTAAAGCCTTACGTATGGCGGCACTGAATAATTCTCTTTCGGCAAAGTGAATATTAGTCTATCTGGCGCTGAGCATTGCTGTTTTCTCTATAGCATCACAGTACCACAATTGCTGTTGATGTTCAAGGAACGATCTTGCAACTGTTTAGTAAATACGACAAGCTGGTTTGGATAGGATTGAGATTCCCTCTAGGCAATGTCTGTGTCATACGTTCTATGCAAGGGCAGCCTGGACTGTGCACCTGAAGCCACGTGCTGCATGGATGGAGCTCATGTATTAGTGTAGCAGAAGATCATACGGCTTGTTCAATACAGGCTTATATTATTTGAGGCGGGCAGCGGTCTCTAAGTGGACCCACCCAATATAAAGGTCAATGCCCGTATAAAACTAGACAGTCATTCAAAATATATTCTAGTCAACGTTATACAAAAGGTCTTATCATCACTATCGTTGACAGAGTTCTTGCTGGTGCTGGTGGTGCTGGAATTTACATTGCGTGAGTAATGAGGGATTGCTTATGCGGGCCCCAATGAACGATTTTACAGGGCCTTAGTGTTTTGACTGCACTACACAGGTAACTACCGACTACGAGAATTCTCACTACGGTGTTTACTTACGCCGTTGGTTCCGTTTATCGCTTATCAGTGATGCACCAATTCTTTTGTGTAGTTTTCGCTTAATGGAGAAATCTTTTCTACGTTCAGTATTAATATTGCATTTTTCTTCTTCAATTGTATCATAGGCATGTTGTTTTGTATGCGTCTACTATGGGAGCTTCCCCTGTGTCGTAGTGTTTATCAGTCGGAGTACTTCTGAAATGAACATCGACTGGGTCGTCGTAAATGTTTGTATAATTTTGGTCCAGGGAGTATTGACCCACTATACTTGTACTTTATGCGTTCTACTATTTACATGTAATGTAGATGATGCTTTAACGCCCATAGAAATCTGGAAAATCGTCTTATCAACCATTGCACGTTATTTTGCACTGTGTCTGAGGTAGATATCGGGAGTGAAGTTTTGGTGGCAATGGTGGGACCCCGAGTCTATGTGATAGACTCTCAACGTTAATTCCCAAAGAGAACACAATATAGTACTTTCTGTATAACACAACATGGTGAAGACGAACTTGGTAAGGTAACGGAAATACTGTGCCCTAATCTAAAAGGCTTGCCTGAAAGCTGAGAAGATGATACCATACACAGCTGGAGGCCGTTAGAGTTTGTTGTACGACCACAGAGGTCTTTCTTATGGAGCATATTTAACGCCAGCGCTACATGAGGGCCTTTGAAACGGGGACTCCTAGGTAAAAGCCATTGAAACACAAATTTCGATGGCCGATGGCAGAGTATTTATAATTAATGCACCACTAAGATTAGTCGACCAGTCAAACAGTGGACCGGAAGGGAGGTGGAATCACGTATTACGAGCACGGGTATACTGCTCTCGATGTGCACTGTAAGAAGCCATACCTTGACTCTGGATACGCATCCACGAATGATCTCTTTCCCGCCCCCAGCTTGAAGCTCAAGCTACATGTACATATTTTGAAAGGGCCCTTTCCCTAGCTTTGGCGTGTGGATAAAAGTACAATTCATGTCACTGACGATATGTATTAAAAACACGATTACAATTACAGCCTTATGTCAGGCCTGAGACCCCACATCGTTATTCACTAACGAGGCAGATCTATTGCCACCAACGGTGATATCTAAGTCTGCGTCAATTAACAATGGCCTCCAATCTCTCGATTTCGACGATCAAAGGCATCAATTCCCCGCTACAATTGCGGTATCTCAACTTGCTGCGTTCAAATCGAATTCTCCTGCTGCGCAATTGAATAGATATCTCATCTATACACGCAGATGGCTCTATACACGTATATGGCCTCTAATTACTTCTCCTAGCCACCTACAGATTACAAGCCCGGCCAAATCCCTCCGTCAAAGCAACAGCAAAGAGGACTTGATACACCAGTATAAGTATATAAGCAATCCAACATTCGAAATAGCGCAAAGATTCAGGGTATGAGGTGATCATTTCATTGCTAAGCTACAGTCTGGAAATTCCGTGAGAATACATTGAGATCCGTAGTCTGTCAATGGTATTCATGTGTAATGGCTATTTAATATTAGTGATCCTACTCAATGATTTGTGATCTCATTTACTGATTAGTGATCTCAAGCCCTACAGCTATGGAGTGGGGCTTTACGCCTCTCAAATCACCATTGATACTTTGTTCTTAACAAGCAATATAAAAATAAATACCATTTGTCAACAGGTAGTCCAATTATTCGTAAAGGGGAACGGGATACAGACAAGGTTGATATGCAAGCTCGGAATAAAGAAGGATATAATGCCGAAGTAAGGGGAAAAGCTATTAAAACCGAATGATCCTGTTGTTTTACAACAAAACCTTCGAAATATTTCGGCTAAAAAGCAAAAAAAGAGCAAGAACAACTAAGTTTACCATGGATACCGAAAAGCCTGCGCCGTCTAGTCTCTTTGTTTCGAGTCCAAATTCTACAACGGACGAAGAACGCCAGATGGAAATTGAGGTATCCAAAGCTTCGCCGTCTCCTGCGATTAATACCGATGAGGAGGAGGCTCAAGATGAAAGGGCGCACGAGCAAAAGAAGTCTTTCAAATTCAAAGTCACTGTCTTTATGCTCTGCCTAACTTCAGTCTCCGTCGCCATGGACTCAGTTATCGTCGCTGCGACTTTAGCTGCCATCACATCTTCGTTAAAAGGAAATAGCTTGGAAGCCTTTTGGGTGGGAACGTCGTATTTATTAGCCCAGACGGTTAGTTTATCTACTCCTTTGGTATACAGTTCTCTCACATTACTCAGCTTAGGTTGCAGTACCTATTTATGGTACTATTTCAGATATTTTGTAAGATTTGTCGTGCATTGCCTAGGCTACCAGTATGCTAACAGAGACCTCAGCGGCCGGAAGTGGGTTATGGTCTTTGCGATCGCGATATTTCTTCTTGGAAGCATCCTTTGTGGTTGTGCTCAAAACATGAACTGGCTGGTGGCTGCGCGGGTAGTTCAAGGCCTTGGAGGAGGTGGTTGTCTGACCCTGACGACGGTCATTCTCAGCGATATCACGACGCTCCGGGAGAGGCCAAAATATCTTTCCATGGGAGCCTTTGCGTGGGCTTTAGGCACAAATATTGGGGTAGGACACGCTCTGACCTGTTGCAACTATTCACAACTTTCTGTAAAGGCTAACAGTCGATTTGATAGGTACCTGTTGGTGGAGCGATCGGACAGTATACATCTTGGCGCTGGGTCTTTTGGATAAACATCCCTATCTGCATTCCCAGTATTGCTGGTATTGTATACGCACTACATCTTGTTCGGGATAAATCTTCATTTAAATCGAAGGCCGCCCGTGTGGATTACTTAGGAATCACCCTATTTATCGCTGCCACGACACTATTACTCTACGGCATCACCACTGGAGGCACTACAAATCCATGGAATTCCGCAAGCGTTTTAGCACCTTTAGTCCTTGGCGTTTTTGGGCTTGGCATATTCCTTCTCATTGAATGGAAAGTGACAAAAACGCCAATGGTGCCCTTACGCATCTTTAATAATCGCAGCGGCAACACAGGTTTCTTTGGTTCATTCGTCCATGGCTTAGTACTATGGGCTTCTGCCTACTATATCGTCATTTTTGTCAGTTCTCAGCTATCTTTTATACAAATATGTACTAATCTACCACTTCAGTTCCTTGGCGCGAGAGGTGATCCCCTGTTCAAGTCTTCAGCAGAAACGCTCCCGGGCAGGTAAGCGGTCTTCCAACGACACCAAGTCCGGCATAATTTCACATACTAACTATACAATTTTAGTGCCCCAATTGCTCTTTCAGCTGTATTTTGCGGCATATGGGTTTCTAGGTCACTTCGATTCCAGAAAATGACCTGGTTAGCTTGGGCACTTCTTACCACCGGGACAGGGTTAGTCGCTCTCATGAAACCAAATTCGTCTGCCGGTATTTTATACGCGATTCGCATTATTCCTGCCATTGGAGGAGGTTTCTTGTTCCAATTGCCTCTATTTGCTGTACAATCCACCGCTGCCGGCCAGGATATCGGCATTGCCACGTCAATGATAGCTTTCTTTCGCAGCGTAGGCCAGGCATTTGGAGTTGCTATTGGAGGGACAGTGTTCCAAAACGAATTTGATCGCTTTTTGGCAACAGCGGTTGCGGCAGGTCGCATCCCACCAGATTTCGTGATCACGGGTGCTCAAGCTGCTGGCGCATATGAAAGAATCAACGCACTTCCTCATACCATGCATAATGTGCAAGAAACCTATCGATATATCTATGCAGATGCCTTGAGAACTGTCTGGTATGTCACTACAGGTATTGCCGGCATGGGCTTCCTGGTTGGACTTTTAGTGAGAAATGAAAACATGGACCGAGGGAATTATTCAAAGCAATCCTTTCAAGTAGAGGAGAGCAGAGAAAGTTCTTCGTGAAGGGACCTAAAGGGATCGTCGACTACAGATTCATTACTATAAACCATTTGATGGAAGGAAGATAATGGATGAAATGGATATAAGAGATGGACTTTTGGTGCAGACTCTCCTCGACGTTTCTTAGTCGGTAATTGGGAAGCCATCAATGGTCATGTCTCATAGAATCATGCAATAGAAGGCTATCATTACATATGGAGTAGCAATAGCCGCGGTCCAGTGACTGGTATAATTTACAGACAACGTTGTTGATCTTATGCGAGAGCTTCAGAAGAGGGTCTAAAGTTGGGAGCTGCGGGAATTTTAAGGGTGGGTGTTGCTAGATTTTGAGAGCTATATCATCATTCGCAATATTCAGCATCACGGGTAGTGAGCAGGTAGTTATACCACGCAAGGATGAGAATGATGTGATGCAACTCAGTATGGGGAAGGGTAAAATCGTGGGGTTTTCCGCCCCGATAATCACGACTCTACGCGCAATGCATCACAAACTATTTACGCGAAAATGCCAACTATTTTTTAGCGAACTAATATTGTTACTGACGAACTGTACAAGTCTTCACTGTGGAGGTTATGCCTTCAATTTTGTCAAAAGTGGGATCCCCGGATTGATTTGCTGCGTTTATGAGAGGCGTTGTTCAGCTGAAAGCTGATCTAACCCAATCTCCGAAGATTATATATTAGCGAGCTGGCACTAAAACATCCACATGTTTTAACATTTATGCGACGACTCGTCACTGTGCAATTGGGATTGGAGGTTTTCTTTTTTTGGTGCCTGGCGCAACCAATTAGCAATGTCCAGCGTTTCAAGGCGGCATTTTGAATTTATGCTAACCCGGAAATATCGGGACAGCAATCCAACAACATAACTTCCGGAACAGTTTCTCCAGCTCAGCTTGCATTCCTGGCCTCGCGAGAGCTAATGTAGTTCACTTACGTATAATAACGAACAATCAACCCAATCTCCACTAAAAGCTTTTTGTGAATCATATGAAGTTGCAAGCTGGAGCATCTACAGCGCAGAGTACTCAAGGAATGACAACTCAACAACCTCTATCTTCGGCAAGCGGGCTCCAGAATGGACCTGAGCTTGGTGAATCCAATGACGACGACTGGGAAACAGGTCAGCTCTCAGCGCCAGAACAACGGGTCTGCAGCCCGGGGTATAAGTGCCCAATTCGTGAGCGCTTGAAGCACTTTACTTGGGCTTGGTTTGCAGTCACCATAAGCACTGGTGTTCTCGGCCTTCTCTTCCATAACACGCCTAACCGCTTCGATGGGCTCAATGCTATTGGCAAAGTAGCATTTATTCTCGCTATTGCCATGTTTCTTGTCTCCGTCGCCGCCATTACATATCGATTCATCAAGACGCCCAAAGGATTAAGGACAAGTTTACTGCATCCAACTGAAGGCTTGTTTTTCCCGGCATTCCTATTAAGTTTGGCCATTATTCTTGCCAATTCAGCTATATACGGTATTCCGGCATCAGGTCCTTGGTTACCCGTAGCTCTGAGAGTATGCTTTTGGATCTACGCTGCTCTAGCTATCTCTTCATCTGTGATGCAATATACCATGGTCTTTAAGGGGGCCAAACTCAAGATCAAGTCAATGAGCCCCCTTTGGATTTTTCCTATTTTCCCCACATTATTAACGGGGGTCCTGGCTTCCACAATCGCGCCATCACAACCGCCTTCACAACGATTACCTATCCTTGTTGCGGGAGTTACTTACTTGGGCCTGGGATTTAGTGTTGCTTTTATCCTATATGCACTATACCTCCATCGCCTGACGCAGGAGGGATTCCCGGCGCCTCCAATGCGTCCGGGAATGTTCATTGCAGTTGGGCCGCCAGGATTCACAGCGACGGGCCTCATAGGCCTCTCTAGATCTATCCCGGACGACTATGCCTATTTCGCTAGGTTTCCTGCTGCATCGCAGATACTGAAGGTTCTTGCGCTCTGGGTGGGCATTTGGTTATGGGCTTTGGCTTTCTGGTTTTTTGCCTTCAGTTTCATTGCACTTCTAATGGGTGTAGCAAGGAAACGCATCCGCTTCTCCCTTGCTTGGTGGGCAATTGTCTTCCCTAACACAGCTTTTACAATTGCAACGTGTCTCATCGGAGAAGAGCTTGACAGTGATGGCATCAAGGGCGTAGCAAGCGCTATGACAATTTTGATCGTGATTGCATGGTTTGTAGTGCTTGCTTCTCACATACGTGCTGTAATACTTAGCAAAGTTTTATGGCCTGGCCGAGATGAAGATTTCGGACATTACACTCCTAACAAAGATAAAGCAGTTGTGAACCAATAAACATAAGCTTAGCTGTCAATAAATAAAAAATTAATCTATCTGAAACAATCCTATTCCGTGCACACCAGCATATATCATTCTGAACCACGATCAAACCCGCTACAATACATAACCCAACAGTTCCATGCTCACACATCAATAAGCTCGGCAGAAAACCTCGAATCGCAAATTCGGCTAATGCTGGCATGGTGCCAAAGATCTCTATCTAGGACGCACACTCGAAGCAAACTCTTCTGCAAAATGTCGTCAAATGATTTGCCCTCTGGTATAACTTGCATAGAAGGCATGTATGGTAGCAAGGTGCAGGCTGCTGGTGCGAGTCAAAAATTATGAGGTAATGCATAGTCGCTTTTGTGTACCAAGAGAATAATAGTCGTTGTCATTAACTGCTCTGCCCTTTCATTATCTCCCGATAACTATTTTAACTATCATACTTCGGTTTAAACTGCTTTGGCCAGGTTCTAGCTTGGATAAAGTCGACAAAGTCAAATAAGCTCTTTTTATACCGCCTTTCTTGCGTTGTTCGATCCACAGTTTGCATTCCATAATGTGGCGTAAAGTCCCCAAATTCCCAATTGTCCACAAAACTCCACGCAATCACACCGAGTACCTGCACGCCATCCTCCCAGATGCTATTCAGTATCTCACTCATAAAGCTCAAATAGTACTGGCTGCGAGGTGAATCGAAGAGCTGTTGTGCCAGTGGCAATGCGGCTTCATTCTCGATAGGGAAGCCAAATTCGGTGATGATGATTGGCGAGCGATACGTATTCCACAAGTATGACAAGTAATGGCGCAAATAGGTCGGAGTAATATAGACATATGTTTGACTGGCGTATGCAACATTCCAACCGAATTTCCCACTCCAGCTCTGCTGCACGCATTCTGGATAAAATACGTTGGATGGGGTGTTCAAACAGGGTGACTCGCTCGCTGATAGAGGTGAGACAACAGCTGATTACAGGTTGCAGGGTTAGTCTGCTGTTAAGTAATACCCTGTCACTCCTGGCTGGAGTCATGGGGAGGGAATTGAGCTCCGCAAAGCTTACTGATAGTATACGCGTCGGTTCCCCAAAAGTCTGCTGTCCCTTTTATATATCTTAGATCTTCCTTTGTAAGAGGAATGTAGTCTGCGACTCGTTCTTTATAAACAGCAGGATAATCCTTGCCGAGATAAATTGGATTGCCAAAGATTGCCAGTTGGAAGTTGTTGTAGTCATTAGCCGCCTCAACGTGAGACGCATTCAATGGATCAAGCGGTACACCAAATAGATTGCTGAATTTCATCCCAACTTTGCCTGTACCTTTGATCTGGTCGTGATAAAATTGATATAATTGGGCATGTGCCTTAAGTACTGAATCCACAGACTTTCCATTCTGGCAGTAAACAAAGGGTTCGTTAAACCTAGTGATAACAATTAGTTATCAATGGTATAACAAAAATTGGTTTCTTACGTCACCCAAAGAGGAACCTTTGAACCAGAAGCATTAGTATAAGCTGCCACTGTGAGAATTGGATTGGTATAAACGAACTCGATCGGCAAAATGCGTCATAACAATCTTTCCATAGTGCTAGAGAGTAAAGAGTAAGCATTGTAGATATTGATAACCCAGAAGTTGACTTACAACAAAAGAATCCAAGAAAGTCTCATTTTGATAAGCCCCGTTGTTATAGCCGACAGTCGGCTTTTCATATAAAGATGAGACATTTGCGCCATAAAACTGCAATGGTGTATCGAAGTGAATCAACGTAACGACTGGGAGCATCCCTTTTGCTATAACAAAATCTAGAAGATCACTGAGGTAAGAATAATTAGCCATCGCCCGTTTAAGACATGAGATCGAATAGAATATGTCAGGCCGGTTTACTTATAGTGGTCAATAGCCTGCTGGTTGACAGGGGAACCTGGAACAGCGAATGGAAGAATTCTAGTCCATGGAATCGAGAAGGAATAGTATTTTACTCCTATAGCTGCCAATCGTTCAATATCCTGCTTATATAGGTAGTAGTTCTCATTCGTCACGTAATCTGGGCTAGGGCCGTCTTTGGCGATAATATCTGCTGCAGATGGCGCTTTCCCTTCATGACTAATAGCACCTTCAATCTGGGCAGCTGAACCAGCTACTCCATATATAAAGTCATCTGGGAAATAATAACAGTCCGTTGGACCAAAATAATCTCTTGGCGGCAATATAAGTTCGGCACTTGGCACTGGTGTCGGCGAAACAGTTGTACTATAGATCCCGGTAGATGTGAAATTAGTAAGAAATGGTCGCGCATTCTCCCAAAGTGCAGTCCATGAAGCACTGCCATATCTATCATGGAAATCGGTCGCGGTCACTGTGGCGTTGGGATCCCAGCTACCCCATGTAGTTGTAGGAACAGGGGGGAGGAGACGGCGAAGAGCGGAAAATGGAGCAGCAAATGTTTCTGTGGAAGTAGGGGAGGGAATAGGAATCGCATAGCGATAAGTGTCCGACTGAGTAAATGCAAAAGTTGAAAAGGAAAATGTAGGAGAGGCAGCCCTAGTGGCAGAGCACTGCGGTCTCGCAGTCGGACCCGTCGTTAAAACATATTTCTGCTGAGCGTTCACAAGGATACTGAAGGCAGAAATCACAGACAGCAGTATTATGATGATCATGATGATGTGAGCATAATAACAAAAATGTAAAGGGACGAGTGTAATTGTAGAATGTGTCAAACAATATTTCCGTAAAGAGGGCATTGGCGCTTTAAATAATCGGATTATACTTAGCTCCATAGATTTTTTTTAAAAGTCATGATAGATCATTCATGTTGGCTGCAGGGCATATCCCTTGATCTCTACCTTGTAAAACTAGTACGAGTATATCAAGGCAAAATAGGAGATGAGTTTCATCCAATCACAAGGCCCAGAATACGCGCATTGGTTTAAAGCGTATTCGGAGCTGCGGAGTACAAAGAATCGTATTGGCTTACATCAAATTATTGAAGTTGGTCAGAGCGAAACTGACTACTATGGTAAATAACTCGTTCTTAATCCACATCTCATTGCTGAACTTGAAGTAGTGGGCAATATTCGACCTTGATTACCCCATTCCAACCCGAACGCCTCTATTTGCCTTCTACAGCTATAAGAAAAATGGCTAGCTTAAGAGCAGTAACTCCACTGGTGCCGCAGCCCAATCCGATCCAATTACTTTGCATCTGCACATTTGGAAGGATAATGCTGAATGTTCTAGGACTGGAATACGGCTACTGGGTATCTATGCGATATGCATTATTTTACTACTCTGTATTGATCTTGTCGAAGCGGCAAAATTGTTAAGCAGCAGCAGTACATACCGCATCTCGTACATTGTGGTAGCAGCCCACTATTCCTAGCCCATCCCTACCGAAATTCGCAGACCTACGGCATTGTCCCGTCATTGCCCAGTTGGCTAGGCTTTGAAAGAACTCCTAGAAGCGCAACGCTAAGCGGTATGAAGAGGCCAACATGAGGAGGCCTAGACCACATTGGTTACTTCGACTCAATGCCTGGGGTACTCTCAAATGCCGCGGCGCCGTTAGTACTGCAATCGCACTAGGCATTGATCTCGCTGTCGATAAGTATGAATCCCTCGACGACGATGGTGCAACTCATGCTGGAATTGTCAGCGACCGCCTTATCCATCGGGTTAGCGACGTCACTGCCATTGCATTCACTGCCCTAGTCGTCGTTAAACTTCTTGTATCTACATGGATAGCTCATGCTATATGGGCCTGTATTCGCCGTCTTTATCCGACGCAAACCTCTTTTGTGACCAAGTCCGAAAATGTCTAGTCGGAATAGAACAAAGACGCTGCCTTTATGATGAAGTGGACGTTGCCATTTTGGCTGAAGCCCCTGTTTAAGACACCAAGAAACTTGTCAGAGAGGTTGCACCCCTGGTATATCGCCACCGCCTGGTGCTGTCAAGCGCGTTGCAGTATGTAATTCGACGACTCCCAGCGCACATATAAACCCAACCGCTTTCGGCAGCGTCGACAAACTTCGGCAGATACGAGCTGACTTGGGGACACCAGTAAAACAAAAACTGCTACTGGTATAGACAAGTCGACTTTACAGCCGGAGTAACGATGAGAAAAGAGAGTAAATATCTGTCCAACCTAATTGCGAAGGACCGGACACCTGTCGAACAGGTACCTAGGTAGTCCGAGAATGGAACGTCAGTCAATCGATATTGAAAGCGAACTTCCCTTGATGCGTGTATATGTCAGAGCAAAACGACCGGTGAGCTAAAGTTATAAAGTAATGGATGTTAATACATCTTGTGCGGTAATTACCACGCGAAACTTTTTATGCGAGTCACCTGGAATGTTTTAGGACAATATCCTGTAACATTGTCTACCTTATGCTCTCATGTCTGTCAAGCAATTTTGGTCATCATTCAATTATACCCAACATTCAGTCTACAAACCAGAATCTATTTTATCATCATCAATATTATACCCCGGACTACTTTTATAAACACACTTCTAGTTTCAGTATCCAAGGTGAAGCAAAATCGGCAGCAGGGTTCGGTATCACTAGTGTCAGAGGTGGGGTAAGATCGGAAGTAGGGATTAGCATCGGGACGCTTTCCGAGAACTGGCTTTGCAGACGGACAGAAAGGCATTGGGACATTTTACATCTAACTCTACTCGCGATGTCGGAAACCACGGCTTTGTGTGCTTTGAACCCCGATTTTCGGGTCTTCCGAACTATGCGATATGTCATGGATGCCGATGTATAATGTGGGACACTGTCTTCCCCGTGTCCCGTCGACATAACCCCGCCATCTAAATACACGAAAGCGCTGGTTCGGGCTATAAATGGACGGCTTCCAGATGCTCATCCAGAAGAGTGCGTTACCACATCAGATCTTGCTCATATCTCCGTCCTCATTGTGCCCAACAGCTATCTCCCAGTCCATTCACTTTACACCCAGCTTACAAATGTCACCAGTAAAGGACTTTGACATAGCAATTGTTGGCGGTGGAATTGCGGGGCTGACTTTGGCGATTGCTCTCAATTCTCGGTCGATTCCAGTCACTCTCTATGAGCAGGCGGCCTCATTTGGAGAGATTGGAGCAGGTGTCTCCTTCAGCCCTAATGCTGTCCAGGCTATGAAAGTTTGCCATCAGGGCATTTACGAAGCATTTGAAACAGTCTGTACTAGAAATTTATGGCCGTCCAAGGAGAAAGTTTGGTTCGATTATGTGGATGCATACAGCGATGTAACGTCCGACGGTGTTCTTGCAACAGCGTTCACAATTTCGAATAGTCTTGGCCAGAACGGCCTCCACCGCGCTCATTTTTTGGACGAGGCGGTCAAACTCTTTCCCAAGCAACTTGTGAGGTTTGGTAAAAGACTTCAAAACATCACTGAAGATGGCAACGGCAGACTCGTGATGCATTTCGACGATGGGACTGTAGCGGAGACTGACGCTATCATTGGCTGTGATGGGATCAAGTCCCGGGTGCGCCAGGCCATAGTTGGCCCTGGTCATCCATCCGCTCGGCCCGTTTATACACACAAATATGCGTACCGCGGGCTCATTCCGATGGAGGATGCGTGTGCCGCTGTTGGTGAAGAGCGAGCTCAGAATGCTTGCATGTATGTAAGTTCTCTGCTCAACCCCGCGATTATGGATTGGGCTAATGCTTCTAGATGGGGCATGACAAACATATCCTAACTTTCCCGGTGAACCATGGAAAGACTCTTAATTTGGTTGCGTTCAGAACGACCTCGGAAGACTGGCCTGACGCTCAGAGATTAACCAGATCAGGCGAACTGGACGAGCTTCTGCACGAATTCGAGGATTATGGGCCCGCAGTCATCAAGTTATTAAAGTTGCTCGACCCGAAACTCAACGTGGTAAGTAACTCGTTCTCAATTCACATCTCATTGCTAAACAGTGGCAGTGGGCGATATTTGACCTCGGATATCCCGCTCCAACCTTTTATAAAGGCCGCATTTGCATCTCAGGCGATGCTGCGCACGCTACGTCTCCTCACCATGGCGCTGGGGCGGGTTTCTGCATTGAAGATAGTGCTATGTTGGCGGAGCTGCTCGCAGACGAGCAAGTCAAGTCACGGCATGAATTGGAGGCCGTGTTTGCTACATATGATGCGGAGAGACGATCAAGAGCGCAGTGGCTGGTAGAGAGCAGTCGGTGGATTGGAGACTGCTACGAATTACGTGCAGAAGGGATTGGAAACGACTTCACTAAGATTGAGGCCGAAATCAAGAAAAGGAATGGGATTATTGCCGATATCAATATAGAAGAGATGTGTGCGAGGGCCAAGGACGAGTTGCGGAAGAGGTTATCAGGCTCTTGTGAGAGGTAAAATATTGTAAATTTGAACGGCGCAGTTACACCTACGCGTTGAATAGAACCGTGGATATTCTTTGGAACCACTTCAGAGACCTGACCTTCTGGTGCTCGTTTCTAACCATACAAATGTGTAGCAACTTGGCGCGGGTGTACCCTTAAGGCTAGCCCAAGTAGCAAAGAGTCACTGTAACCATGCTGTTATATACTAGCTGCGCATCAATAGATGTGAGCCGGTGAATGGTTACTTAAATTAAGTGGAAAGCACAAGGGAGAGAGTCACTGCCTTTGAGGTATGTTATAGTCAGTCTACCCTTGAGGATAAGCCCCAAAACATCGGGGAATCTCTTCAGTCCGTCTACGAGCTTGTCGGTGTTCCAAATAAAAGTTCGAGCAAGTATTAATAACGCATTACAGGCCACCCACGTATTATAAACAGCCTGTTAGATACTGTAGAAGTTTAATCGCTGATACCGCAACACGGCGCCCTCTTTGTCTCCCCTTGAAACATTCCCAATGCTTTGCAAACTTATGCTCTACTCCACCGATTTTCTGTCGCCAACTGTTCTTTGAGACTTTCATTGCAATAATTCGAGCCATAAGCAGTGAGCTTAAGGGTTCATGCCTGATATTTAAGTCTCAAATGCCCCCTCAATCGTCTCTCTAGTATCCTTCATCGCCACAGCATACGGTACGATTACCACAAAATTGACACTGTATTGGGACCAAGTGTAACGTCCCAGGAGATGAAGTGGCCAACATGAAGATTTACTTATAGAGAGAAAATTGTCATTTTAAAGAACTGCGAGTTCATGATTCTTAGTGGTGGTGGTTAACGTGTATATAATGGCTATTAGGCGATTATGCTTATACAATTACTGCAAAAGCAGTGATATAGGAGAGTGCAGTGCCTGCTTTACTTCTCCATCAGGCACTGCTTGCATACCGTACGTTCCTCTCTTGCCCTAAGTATGATTAACTGCTTGACGGATTATTGTGATTATCTGCCCGACGGGGTATATTAAATAATGTATCCACTATTCTTCTAGCGGGCTGCAGGACCATCCCCCAAGCGTGGATAATAGCAAAGTAAATCTTTCACGAGACTTGCGATACTCCCGTAGGGACAAGAAGCAATCTATCCTATTAATTATTGCCCTAGAACCTCGGGATATGAGACTCCAATAATAACTATTGCTCGTGCTTATGGGGAAACAACTACAAACAGGTAGTTTTGTCTGTCATACTTATTTTGGTGCAGGGCGACAGCCCCTGGGAACGAACTCATTGACGGATAGGGTACTTGACAATGTTTCTCTGTAAGATTTGTAATATTCAAAGTACATAGACCCATTTTGCTGCCTAAGATACACAATACCGTATGTCTAGAATACATAAACTTTCTAAATTCAAGCCTTTTAAATAAGATGGAGCAATACGGAGACGCCATCAGGCTACTATACCTGATGATCATTAGCCAATACGTAGCGGTATTTTGCCTTTCCTTTCTCCATGTCAACAATGGCGCGGTTTGCCTCGCTCATAGGCCACTGCTCAACCCACGGCTTAATGCCCTTGTCAGCAGCGAGCTGGAGCATCGCCCGAATTTCGTGTGGCGAGCCCATGAAACTTCCGGTTAACTTCCGACGTTGTGAAGCTATCGGCCCTGCCCCAACCCTAAAAAGGCCATCGTCCGGCAGGCCGAGCTGGCAGAAGGTGCCATCACGCTTCAGCAGGTTGATGTAGTCGGTTAGTGGCATGCTAGAACTTGACACGGCACATAGAATCAAGTCCAGCGAGCTAGCATACTTCTTCTCCCACCCCTCGTCCTCTGCCGTAGCAATATACTCATCAGCTCCAAGGGCTAGAGCATCTTTGCGCTTATCGGCACGACGAGAGAGTGCCACGACACGGTCAGCGCCCATGGCCTTGGCAAATAGGAGAGCGAAGTGGCCCACACCACCAATCCCAATCACACCAACGTTCATGCCCTTAAGCCTCTGCTCAAGAGGACCCTGGTCATTGCCGCGAGCTCCAAAGTGAGCAAGTGGCGAGAACACGGTAAGGCCAGCACACATCATTGGTGCTGCGTGCTCACTAGCTAGCTGATCAGGGATCTTGAAAGCAAAGGCAGCCGGGCAACGGTGGTAGCGAGCGTAGCCCCCCATACTCTTTCCACCAGCAGGGGTGAGATATTGGGCACCATATGTTAACGTCATATTCGGGCAGTATACCTCATTGCCGGTTGCACAGGCGTCGCAGTCTGAGTGATCCTCGCGGATCTGGGGGGGCTTGCGGCACTGGCAAGAATCATTTTGTGCTCCGACTCCAACTCGATCGCCGACTTTGATGCCTGTCTTTGCTGCTTCTTTGCCTACTCGGACAGTTATGCCAACTAACTCATGGCCGACAACTACGGGATAAGCTGTCTCGCCCTGTATGGAATATCATATTAGCCTTTGAGAAATAAACAAGGAGATATTTTATCCTAGGCTGCTTACCCATCCTGATCGAAGTTTGTGGATATCTGTACCGCAAATTCCGCAATGCGTGATTTGGATATCAATGTCGGTCTCTTCCCAAGCTTTGGGCTCGTAGGTTTGCCAGACCATCTGGCCTTCGGCAGCATTCTTGTCTAACGCAACCCAGCCTTCGAATTTGTTGTCGTTAGACGCCATCGTGTGAAAAGGTGACCTGTTGAGTTTTTAGACTATGGAGAATAAAATATTGGCAATGAGTTTGGTAGTTGATGTGGTGACTGAAAGCTTCGGTGATATTGAAATAACAGTGACTGAAAGTTGTAATTGAAATAAGGGCTAGTGTGTCTAGGCGATCATGATTCTACTTCTTGTGAGTGACAAAGTGATTTTTTATTCCTGGACATGCTGTTGTTCTTATACTGTTCCATCCCTATCATTTTGGGTGACATCACAAATTCTAGACATCTTCTCGATACGGAGTTCCCGGCAACAAACTTCTTGAGTCAATGCGCAGGTCGGCAGAGTATCACTCGCCATGGTGCGAGACTTCTTGAACAGCCGAAAAAGTAAGTCATCGGCGTTAGTAAAAGCTCACTAGCCGTCGGCTTTCGGCCTTGAGTTTTTTTTCTTAGTGACGCCCGCTTGTGATTGGCTACATACATTATGCCATATTTGGCTATCGGACCCCAAAGTCTCAGCGCTTGGGTGGCATAATTCTCCTTCAGGGAACAACATGGAATTTAATTGAGCAATTATGCTCGTCTTATTGATTAACTATCAGTTCTCACTCGGTTTTGTGGCAAGGAGCTAGACTTGAAGATTTATAATTATTCACGGATTGCGAGGCTTGATTTTGGATGAAATACACGATGACGTGCAAATATACATCTTTCATACCAGTGTTTCCATTGCATGAGACAACTTCGCTATGTATAATTCTTTTCACTTTGTACGTAACCAGTATGCCCTACAAACATCAAAGATGTTCGTTTTTCATCAGATTTTCCATATAAGGAAGGATGTCTGTTTTCTCATACTTACACTAGTGTAGGTTAAGTAGTTAACATTTATATCCTTCTACCTCTCGAATCCCATTAGATAGAGCACTTTAGTCTGTGGTCAGTTTGGAGAAAAGAATTCTGTATTTGATATACTTTGAGTGATACACATATAGTGGAATATGAAGCCAATCAATGAGATGCCTGTGAGACATGTATTTTATGGCACACATAGTTACGTTTCTCTGGACATGTGAAATTAATAAGGAAATGGGGATGTCTATTCTCTACTCGCTACCAATATGCTCTCTTAATTAGGTAATTGTACATCAGGAGGTACCTAGTTCCGTGGTGTGGCTGGCACAGGAACATTGAATCCATTTAGGCACATAGAAACCAACGAATACAGCCCAACCAAAAGAATCAGCTCAATGACTTTGTCTTCACCAAGAACTTTAACCCCCTCTGCGTATATGTTATCGGCCAGAGGGCCCCCTTGCACTAGTCCCTTTGTAAACTTGTATACCAACTCCTCTTCTGACTTGAACCCGTGAGGAAGTGCCCCAGTGGCCAGAGCATTGACTTGCTCCTCGGAAAAGTATTGTCGTGCCATCGATGCGTGGGCGTATACTTCGTAATTGGCTTTAAAATGTGATCCAGTCGTAACAATAGCAATTTGTCGTAGATTCTGTGGCAGCTTCTCGTCTCGTCTCATTTCTTTGATGACATTCCAAATTGCAGCTCCCGTAATAGGTGAATGAATCCAGCCATTGAACGGTCCAACAAAGGCTCCCTCTTCATTTTGGGTAACAAAAGAATGTGTAGCATCCAAGTCTACACCAATAGACGCAACAATATCATCAAATAGAGCCCTTTGATCAGCAGTGAGTTGGTTTGGAGGGATAGGCTGTAGACGATGGGGCTGATCCATCTTCTCGGACTGATTGAGCTGTTGATTGGAAGAAGACACAAAGAGTATGCAAATAGCTCAATAGGTTCTTGACCTGAAAGTGATTGTAAAGTAGATGAATGCTAAGATGATCAGGCGAACCATTGATGTAAAGAAAAGATGGCTCTCTTTTGCGGACTAATGCGTGATTATATAGTAATGGTTATTCTCTGTTGGAATATCATTTTTTTCAATTCCCTCATTCCTTTTCTATATACAAGTCTGCCGGTTTGACCCGAGTATCGATCAATATGGAGACCTAGTTCTCTCGGAACCATCATCGTATGCGTTTAGCAGGGCGTATAGAGCTTGCTGGCATTTGCTTAACCGGGACAAAGTTGTCAAGATTGCGCGTCGCGAGACTATTCAGCATGCTCTATCGGTGATAGGACAAAGGACAAATGGAACGAGGTAAAAATCGTAGAAACGTCAGATACCTTAACTGCCGAAGCATCACGGAGGATGAATTCCGCCCTAGATTTTCCACCATCATCAAGGCCGTTTTAGAGACACTGTGCTCTGTGGATAAGTTTGGTTTGCTTTGCACGTTGGCGGCGTTAACGACTCGTATCCAAAAGGGAAATGGAACGCCGACGCTAAGTCAAGCTAAGCCGCAAGAGCGAGCACAGGCGAGAGGCGCGAGAGGCGCGAGAAGTTCCCACAGTCTTAATAAAAGTGGACACGGTTCGCCTTGTTCGTATGCTTCAAGAACACGGAGTGAAGGCTTCAAGGCTCGATATCCCTCAGTTATCATCATTAGCTCTGTTACCCATCATGCATAGATTCTCTAACTACGTAAGAACTCACTGCTCTAAGGCCACTTTGAGGCAATGCCGGCGACCCCGTGATGCACCGACGTGACGTTTGACGAATTGCTCGACACAAATTCTACTTGCCGAGGCGCGAGAGGAGAGAGAATCATCAGCGTTATCGCCAGTTGATTGATATATATATAAGTAGCTCATGATTTCGAAATCATTTTACGAATCTTCTTATCCTTCATCAGTTTCACTTACATGCAACAGAGAGCAGAAGATCTCAATACACATCACAAGTTCTATTATTACTTTTATATCCAACCTTATCCAATTCGTCTCTTATACAACAAACATATCTCTTGATTTTCATTACACCTGAAAACAAAATGTCCAAAGTCTCACACTACAACAGCACCAACCCTGCTACCGGGCTGCTGGTGAAGAGCTTTCAGAGCGCCTCGGATGAAGAGGTCTTCTCGGCGCTGGCAAAGGCTCACGACGCCTACATCAAAATATGGCGCGAGACTCCTGTTGTCAAGCGATGTGAAATCGTGGGCAGAGCTGCTGCCTTGATGCGCGAGCGTAAGCAAGAATTATCCGAGATTGCCGTCATGGAGATGGGTAAGACCATCAGTGCAATGGAGGTGGAAGTGGACATCTCGGCAGATATTTTGGAATACTACGCCAAGAACGGTGAAGAGTTCCTGAAGACTGTGCCTTGTCCTGGTGTACCCGGTGCCGAAGTCATTTCTGAGCCGATCGGCGTCATCCTAGCTATTGAGCCTTGGAACTTCCCCTATTATCAGATTGCTCGTGTGGCCGGCCCTCAGATTGTGGCCGGAAACACCATGCTGGTCAAGCCTGCATCCACCGTGCCCTAGTGTGCCCTAGCCTTTGAGAAGCTAATGATTGATGCTGGGGCACCTGTCGGGGTGTATACGAATCTTCTGTGCTCCGTTTCTCAGATCAACGCCCTGATTGACAACTTTCTCGTACGGGGAGTCACTCTCACCGGTAGTGAGCGAGCCAGTGCTGCAGTAGCAGAACGTGCTAGCCGCAATATGAAAAAGGTCGTGCTAGAGCTCGGTGGCTCAGATCCCCTCATCGTTTTGGAAGATGCAAATCTTGAAGAAGCTATCCAAGTGGCCGCCGCTGGCAGAATGATTTGTATGGGTCAAGCTTGCGCCTCCATTAAGCGCTACATCATCATTGGTAAGGAGCGCGGCGCCGAGTTTCAGGAGGGAATTGTGAAAATTTTCTCAGCTATGCAGCCTGGCGACCCAATGGATCGATCAACTACACTGGGGCCATTGTTTGCAGAGAGTGGCGTCCGTGACATTTTGGCCCAGGTCGAGCAGGCTAGGGCTGCAGGTGCTACAGTTGTCCATGGTGGAAAGCGTGTTGGCCGTCCAGGCTGCTATATGGAGCCTACTCTTATTACGAATATTTCTCCAGAAAACCCCCTCTACCAACAAGAGACTTTGGGCCCGTCGCCTCCCTATACGTGGTAGACACGGAAGAGGAGGCTATTGAAATTGCTAACGCGACCACCTTTGGCCTCGGTTCATCAGTCTATTCCTCCAACATTAAGCACGCTAAAGAGATTGCTGCCAAGATGGAGGCCGGCATGGTTTTTATCAACTCCGCTCTTAATGCTGGTGCGGATGTGCCATTTGGGAGTGTAAAGAATTCTGGATTTGGTAGGGAGCTTGGCGAGTTGGGAATTGGCGAGTTCCTGAACAAGAAGTTGGTCCGGGTTCACCAAAAGTATCTGTAATGTACTTTAGGCATCATAGTTCAAGATAGCTAACGACACACTCCTTTAATGATACCGTACCAGTACGAATATAAATACATATGATGATGATAATATTACGAAATCACGAAGTGACACTCTTGTATCATAGTCACCTGAGTCCCCCCACGTCCCCCTATGAGCTAGGTAAGAGAGTCGAGACGTTTTCTTAGATACGGTCAATCCTCTATTTCACATCCACTCTTGAATTGCGGAGTGCAATCTTTAGTAGAGGGCGCACAAACGCCCGCCGTTGCTAATATTTGCATTGGATTGCTGCTTCTATTAGTGGCATAGCGAAGATATGCATACTGTGTATCCAAGTGGGACAGAAAATCAGCTGATGCCATCTGGAATCTGCCTGTTACTCGACTACAGCATAACCGGGCACCCATATGTATACCCTCAGGGGTTCATTGAGACAAAACAAAGTAAAAGAAGGAAGTGGTGAAGAGAGTCTTAGATACATATACTGTTAGACCGAGAAGGTTTTAGCTTAATAGACCTTGCTCTTGGGATAAAAGAGCCCCCGCGGGATGACGCGTGCTGATACAGTTTCTAACCTAGTTTACCTCCTAATGGGTATCCTAGAGTTAGGACGGATTGAACAAAAAACCCAGGAAAGTCAATGACAGAATATTGGAGGTTATTATGAGAGCTTCGTATCTCCGTGTTTACTGCCACAAAGTATTCACTCAACAGAGATGGCGATTGGTCAGTACCTCAACGTCTACGAACGCATTAGTTTTAGAACTAACTCTCTCAAAGATTTGTAGGTGCATTCCCTCATCTTCATTCAAGCTCTTACACGTCATAGCTCTTGGGCTGAGATATCTCTTTATCACTGTTCTTAGCTCAGTTGTTGTAGTTCACATGCCGGTCAAATGGATGGGAGAAGAACATGACCCACTCGAGTTAACGCTTGGATCCCACCCCTGACTCTTGTTCTTTGCCACACATATCTCCATTATCAGCCTATCATGTCGTTTATTTCGGCTAATTTTAATAGAGCACGAAAGACAGTGATATTTTAATACCTATACTGCAATAATGATTGTATATCCACTTCCCCGCCGTTGCTGAACTTTGGTACACGAACAGCCACACCCATGTGGACATATCTAGACAATATCTCTACCCTCAGTAATACTTGAGAGTCAATAAATCTTCATGGAGCCTGAAATGATTTGCTTTTCTGAAACATTTAGTTTCTTTAGGTAGCTCGATCTCTGCGTGCATAAGAATACTTATATCCAGACTCCACTTTAATAGCACTCCTTAGCTAATTATACTAGACCTTACAAACATTTACTACCACCATCGACTTCGCCCCCGCTAGCTCCCAGAATCATCAGACAGCGCCGGTTCGCCCTCTTGGTGCTGGATATCTCAAGCTCTTTCTTAGACCACCCAGGTAGACTATGGACTCAGGGAGTCAGCCTCCGTCTTCGCAGCCTGTGAAGAGGAGACGCATTACGGTACGTCGCACCGGACCCGGCCGAACCATGACATCTGCCACGCTGCGAAATCTGGATATCGCTGACACTGCATGTGGTCTCTAGAGGGCTTGCGATAGATGCCACCATGGGTCTCTTAAGGTATTCAGCCTGTACATAGACTGCAATCTTGCACGACGCTAAAAGAGATTCGGCGCAGTGTGCACCGGGTCCGACGCCGCAGTCTTGTCAACCTTGCGCTTCATATGGCGCAGAATGCAAATTCGATCGACCATTCAAGCGCCGAGGGGTGAGTTGTGTGCCCAAATAACCCAATGGAACTGGTGAGCATTTTCACTGACTACGAAGCGTATCATAGCCACCTGCTCGCTCTAGGACTGACAAGGTTACCAGCCAACTGCAGCGGCAATCGCCCACATACAGCTTGGTAATGGGAACGGGCTCGCCATGGGAATATTCTCATGTTGCTGATACCTCGGTAATAGAATACCTGGCAGATCAATATCACCAGATTGTCTATCCCATGTAGGCTGACTTCTTTGAACTCCTTCCGGTTTCTGCCATTGATAAGTCTGCTAGCCTTCTATATTTCCACTGGCCGAGCTTCTACGCAGATATTGTAGCCAGGCGATACTTGTCCGATCGATCATTCCATACTTTAACTATGGCGGTTTGCGCAACTGCCGCCACCCGACTATCCGGAGAGTTACCCCCACGCATTGCATCGGTTATAAAGGTCAAGAATAATTCGTCGTTGTCAGGCATGTTTTACACCGCCTGCATTAATTCTCTTCCGGTCCTGCATACGGACGAGGTTGAGTTCAACTTTATGCGCGCCGAAGCACTGCTGGGCATGTTATGTCTTGAATATAACAATATCCGAGGCTGCCATGCTCACCTTCATAGATATTTGGCCATGTGTGCTGAGATAGGCTTCAATGATGAGAGTAAATGGCCGCCTGGCCTCACTGCCATTGAAGTTGAGGAGCGGCGTCGGCTGGTAAGTAAAACACTCGATCAGCTTCGATATGCTTCGCTTGACAGCAGAAGGTATAGTGACCTAACTCGAGATGATAGTTTTGGCAACAATACCACTTTGACGTCTACCTTGCCACAATATTCGGTTCCAGCATCCGCCAGCGCGGCCAGACACAATGCCAGGTCTTATATCCGGCTGAGGTGTATGACGATAGCGATATTGGGGAGACCGACGTCCATCTCCGAGGGGACGATCACGTGTCTTTCATTCGGGGATGGAACTTTGTAACGGATCTGTACCGCATCTTGGAACATTTCGTTCAGAAAGAACATCCACAGTCCTCACAACAAACCCGAAGAGGTAGTCTGATGGACAAATTGCTCTCCAGTAATACAAATCCAGATACTTCGAACGTTGCCAATATCTTGGCTGTCTCGCAGGAAATGTATGATTCGTTACCTATCGAGCTTAGGGAAGCTCGCCCTTTGACGGGTCAAATACATCAAGACAGGTACGGCTTTCAAGGTACGTACCATGATCTACCTCTTCTATCATGTTTACCATCCTGATTTCGGTCATTCGCAGCAATCAACGCCACGATCACATTAACCACCCTGAAAATGGTCCTTGCCAGGACTGAAGACCGCAGCGTTAATCAGCTGTGCACCATGGCTGGGGGCTTTCTTGATGAGCTTCTAACAATTCCAACGGCGTATATACGCTCGACGTCCACGGCTATGGTAGGGTCTAAATACTTTGTAGCATGAAACTATTCATTCCTTTGACAGTACTACAGTTCTAGAGAAACGACGCTGACTGTGCTTCTAGATTCATCACCTTGCAGGTGTAGGACACATTCTAGGCTATGTTATTACTGCACCTTCATCACAGTGGACGTTTATTCAAGTACGATCCGCTCTCTTAGCTATGGCCGATCTCATAAGCAGCCTTGAAACAGCAATTAAATCGTCGTCCGGTATTGCATTAAAGTTAAGGAATCATGTCGCGCGCATTGACACGTACATGACCGAGGCCGTGAAGAACAGCAGGCGAAATCAAGTCATACATAGCGCCATTCCTTCAACCGATCCACGTCTGCTCTTTGCGCAAAACGATTCCCTGTCAGAACAAGAGACTTTGTTACAGGTGCGACATATCATGCTTGTCATGTATGTCTGCTAACGATCTGAGTGATATAGGAACGAGAATTCCCCCTAGATCCCCCGGATGCTAGACAGGACAATGCTTTCACAAGCGATTCTGACATTGGACTCAACAGAACACAAAATGCGGTATTTAATGACCCCATTTTTGAAGGGTTCAACTTTCAGCTCCCTGACGAACTATCACTTGAGTGGCCTTTTTATGCTAGCCAAGGCGACCCTTTCGCCTTCCCGGGACATAATACGAGACAGGGACCAAGCTAACTACTGGTTATTGTTCGACAATTACATGGGAGCAATTTGATTACTCTAACGTTACACTCTTTCTCCCTTTTGGATCATCAAAGAATCTATGTTTACGCGATTGGTTATGCCATAACCTATCAATTTCACGAGCTATACTATAGTTGAGCAAAGTTGTAATCTAGCATTAGTGCCCCTATTTACTACTCAAATTCTTTTTGTATGCTTCTGTTTCCTCCACCCTAGTATCAACGCTATTGGAGATAACCCAGCCACTTTGGCTGCAGAGATATCATGGTGTCCAACATTTCTGCAGCAGCTTGCGCGTTATCGACAACAGGGTCAACAAGCAGGGCCTGCAGGGCGACATTCTTTGATCGAGTCAGGATGGCCTCCGTGGTCATCTCATTCACAGCAACCTGAAGCTTAAGCAGATTACCAAATGCTTTAGGGTATGGCTCGAGCCTCACGCCGTGGACACCGTTTTTATCTACAGTAGCAGGGACCTCGACACACTGATCGCGAGGCAGGCAGTCGATGAAGCCGTCGTTAGGGATATTGACCGACATCTCATAATGACCGTCGTCGGCGATGATTCCCTCGATAATGTTCACAACTCGCCAGTATTCGTCGACAGGCGTTCCCGCGGCCACGCGGCCCATAGCGTCGTCGCGATTGGCGGCCATCTCAGACTTGTAACTATTGTAAAACTCCATGATGCCACGGTGATCAACGGCACTCTGGGCCCACGGAATGTACTCTCCAAAGTGGCTATCTGTGGTGATAGGCAAGACGTCAAAACGCTTCAAGATCTCTTGAAAAAGCTTGCGCTCTCCAATATATCCGAAAACAGCTGGGGCCTTGGTGAAATATTCGGGAGCTTTTGCCCGGATGTCAGGATAGGCATCCTTGCCCGAATCCTTGTATTTCGCTTCAACCAAGACGCTGAAGTGGTTAAAGCCGCCAGCTTTGAGCTCCAGATTCTCCGCAGATGTGTTTAGCATGATGGGAAGGTGCTCAATAAGAGAGAAGACCTCGTGGCAGATTCCGGTACATTTAAGCCTGGGGTACTTGGCGTTAATGGCATGCATAATGCGCACCATCGGATTGCTCAGGTTGATGACATGTGCATCCGGGCAGATTCTATTAATCTTGTCGCATATTTCGAGAATCGGCGGTATAATTCGGAGTGCGTGAAACAAACCGCCTGGTCCGCCATTCTCTCCATAAACTTGCTTGAACCCGTATTGCATGGGGATTTTCCAATCTTGTTCCCACAGGGCGTGGCGGTCGCCAACCTCAATTGAGATAACGCAAAAATCACATCCCTTGAGCGCGTCATCTAAATCAGCGTATGCTTCGACGCTGTAGTTGAGCTTCTGTTGTTGGATATATTCGTTGGCGATCCCAGTCACAAACTCAAGAGATTCAGCGTTGATGTCATTCAGAACGATGGTGCTGCCTTCGAGTGGCTTGGATTTCAACACGTCGCCCACCGCACCCAAACCAAACATAGCGCTCCCTGCCCCGATAAGCACAATACGAGGCGCCATCTTGAAGTAAAGATCAGAAAGAATGTGGATTTGTGACAAGAGAAAGCCTATATGGACAATTTGTAATGATATAGGGGACTATGAACCCAGAAAGATATAGAACAGTCGTGATGTAGATCAATTGGCCAAGAGACAAAGAAAAGCACGATATTTATATACAGGCGGTCTTATACTAGGCTCTGCGATAGAGATTACCTCGTTGGAGAGTAGGCTAGGATATCTCGTGCACTCCGCGGCTCCGACTTTTTCCTGGAAAAAAAAATACTTGTTTCAAATGACATGTAGAGAGTTCGTAGGTCAGCTGTATGGTTGATAATTTTTTAACCGAATTGGGAATTTGGAACGTGTTTCATTACATACCTTTTCAAGGCCATAGTGAGTACGAGCATGCGTTTACAGCTTCCTCCACAAAATATATTTCTAAGGGACGCATAATTATCGCACTGTAGGTACTATGGATAAACTGCTAAACTCAAGCTTGTTAAATTGGTTAAAATCATTTAGACTATAAATGACTGTTAAATTCAATTAGTGTCTTAGGTAGTGGTGTAAGAGTGATTTAGCTCACCTATGCATGGATTAGACACCAATATTTAGCAGTTTATCAAGGTGACCCGAGAGAAATGCTGAGTAGCGCTTGAAGTATGGCTGACCCTCGAAGTCGGCCTCCCCTGTAGAACTAGCTCGGAGTCTAGGACGGTAAATACAAGTCCTCAGGGAGGCTCGACTGATCTGGCGAGATCAAACTGCGAGGCAGTCCTTCCAGGCTCCATGATAGTGGTAGCTATGGTGGTCAACAACGAGTAAAAATAAGCGAACATGCAATGAAATCAGCCAACATCACCATCGTTTTTAGTTAAAGATTTCTCACGAGCGCAGTATTCAAAACTTGGATTGAACTGCAATGGACAATTAGAATCGCGTCACAGCACTTGTTCAGCTATTGAACTATATATTCTTCAAAGTGTCACAGTGGCCTGCAAATCTCACTGCCGTCTTTACAGCTCTAACAAATAAACGGCTAGCACAGGCCACCTCGTACCAAAGAGTGACTGTAATGATAGCCACCATGTTGCTCATCATGGATATTCGGCATGGAGTTAGCTGCAGGCCTGGCAATGGTAATGCATGGGGTTCCAAAACATGAATCGCGAACTGTCCATTTCCCAAATAGATAACGTTTCTTTACTACCAAAGCTTTCATAAGGTTTGTCGCATGCACAAGACTGTTCATCTACTCCGTGGCAGCAAAAAAAGGCAACCTTGGACCTCTATTCAATGCAAAGCTGCCCGGGTCCAATCTCAGTTGGCTCGTTGTATGGTGTGTAAATAGTGCCATAGGCAATACTGCAACACCCATCACGAATCAGTCCGACTTGGCTAGACGGAGTTGGACCAACAACTCTCCCATGGTCGGTGGTTTGGTTAGTACCTGAATGCAAAGTTACATACCTAGGTATTTGCGTATCCACTTGCAACAATGCTTACGTCAAATTGTGGCATCCCGCTCACGGCAGCAGTACGAGTATGTGAAGAAGTCATAAGAAAGGGTAATGTAGAAGTTTATATCTCTATGATACTAGGACTAGCGGTGAGCGATGCCGATGCCGCTGGGGTGACCAAAGTACTACCAGCACAGTCGCGTTCGGGCGCTGTCGCAAAATGTATTAACCCAGGTTCCATGTATATCTGGCCCTGAAATCGTACCATATGAATCGTGCATCTGCAGGTTGAGCTTGTCATCTGCACGTTCAACTAGTTCATGGGTGTTGCGGGCCCAAATCCACAGATAATCCTAGGAATCGGGCTTAAAGCTATCCCTTTACGTTGCACAAAGAGCAGACGAAGGAGACCTTCCTTCAGCTTTCTCTCAGAGCCTTTGTTTCGATCAATTTACCAAGGGGCAAAGGTTTGCATCATATTCAGGAATGAGATGTCTACTAGAAGAGGGTGCCTGTCATTTATGTTGATTGGATATCACTTTAGTTTTATTAGTTGGATTACACAGGGTTTATGAATACATACCCTGTATACCCTGAAGGCCTATTGTCGAGATCATAAAGATTGGGCTGCAATATTATTCTCTTGTAAAAAATGCCCATGAGTATATATCTTGCTTAGGTTATAACACTAGTACTCCACTCTTATCCTCGCACTTTGTCTCTGTTAGTTGAATTTGAACTCTTCAAAAAGAGTGCGACCCTCATACGCTCCCTTTCCTCCAGACCCCTTTATCGTAGCTTTGGCTGTTCCCTCTGTTCGAACATAGTTGTCCGTCTCAATCAAAACAAGTCCTGTAGTCACATTAACCAACATTTCTTTTCCCTTTCCCAAATCGAACTTTATATCCAAGCCTTCCATAATGCCCGTCTTTGCTTTAGGAGGGTATTCGCTGTTTTTTCCCCACGGTCGCACCACTACAGCATTTTTAGTGCAGCTGCCCTGTAACAGTTCTCCATTCTGGCTTACATAGCCGGAGAAATATTCCCTCCCTGCTTTATCAATCGCATCGAACCAAACCACTGAGTAAGGCCCCAACCGTGCATGGCCCCAATACCATGATGAGGTGACTGAAACAAAAGGCGCGTCACCCCAATTCTTGTCGTGGTAGCCAATTCCGTCGGCAAACTGCACGGGAGTTCCCTGAATTCTCAGGTCGACGACTGCGTCAGCATCAGGTTGCGCGTTTGCCCAGAAGACGTTTGGAAATAGCTCTTCTCCAGAACCAGAGTGGCCAAGGCCACACGACACATGTGGCGGCGCCCTCGAACGAAGCGTGACGGTACCGTAAGATCCGATGGCTGGGGCGTCGACCTTCAAAACGTATGTTGGGTTGGGGCCATCGAGGCTGGTACCATAGAATGAGAAGCCGGAGCCGCTCCACTCGCCAGAAATACCACTTTCGTCGGTTTTGATGACCACGTCCCCGGTCACCGGAGCGGTTAACGAAAAGAGGCTACCATTGGCGAAGGAGCCAGAGATGCCGACTGAGAAGGGACCACCGCCGTTGTAGCCAAAAGGAAATCCATCGGGGCCAGTATTGTAGAATACAACAGTTACAGACTCATTTGTTGTAGCAGACACAGCATCAAAATACCACCTTTTCATGGAGTGTAAGTATAAACTCAGTCGCATAGCAGAAACAGAGGCTCACCAGTCGTATGATGTCTCATTCGCACCCGGCCACAGTTTCGAGCCATCAAAGTCTCCTGCGCGGACCTCTGATTCTGCCTTAACGGGGTTGTTGATAAGTTGGTTCGGTAATGTCAGCGTAATGGCGTGAATAGAGGGAAGAAGCCCAAGGGCTATCACGGCCAAGGATTGCAACATGATGACTATGAAATGTGATGTCTAAGTTAATGTTCATCATGTCTTCAAGAGCACGGGAGATAAGGCCTTTTATGTTATTCCAAGCCCACAATTCCGCTGCATCTGCAGCGACTTGGAGACTGTTCCGACATCAACTGAGTAGGAAGAGTATAGAGCGGCAAACTTCTAAGCATAGACAACATGTCACTGGTAGCGATATACGGAGTTTGCATCTCCCTAGTATTATAATAGCTGACAAGGGCTAACTGACATTTTTTCTATATGCAGTATAGTGCTGGAACAATGGTTTGACCCCTGTCTACTACTTTAGAGGAAACAGAAGAGTCCTTCCGTCCAGGTCTCCAATACGAGTATAGATAAAATAAAATATGCTGGCATTGCTCGGCATTAATTCGAACCCGAACCTCGTATGAGTAGAATAGCCTATCTGACATTTTTTCCATTTTTGGCTAGAGCCAACATCCACCTCTGGATGACGGGTATATATATTAACGCGAACCCCTGAAAACTATTGCCTCCCATCTAGGCGACACCTTGTCTCCTTCTTGATGGGACTTCACTAGCTCGAATTATGTGCATCTACATGTACGTTTTAGTGCTGTTGGCTCAAATCATAAAGCGCGCGGTTCTCGACAACTTGCTGGAATAGATGCTCTACTGTAGAGGCTGTTCTCTGACAAAATGCCAGATCTGTCATTGAAACCCCTTCATCATCTATATCCTGGTAACTAAAAATGCTTTTGATGTTCAATAGAGTATGCTTGTTAAGTCTGGAGGTTTGTTACCGCACAATGCCATTCACCTACGGTCCTACACGGTTGATGCGCCAACCACTCTACTGTTTGAGAGTTTTAGCTTTTAAAGTCTGTGATGGCGCCTTCAGTCCCTGAAAGAGCACTGCGGCCTCAACAAAGTGGCATATACATGAACTATAGCTTCTACGTTCTAAACCTGGCACCATGAGAACCATCGCGGTTTTGGGCGCCGGATTGAGTACGGTGCCAGTAATCCGGTAGGCCATGGTTCAGGTTGTCTCGAAGTCTAAAGACTATAGGCTTCTCGTTGTGGCGCCGAACACTCATTATCACTTTGCTCTGGCCATGCCACGCGCCATCGTCCCTGGTCAACTCAGCGACGATAAAAATTCCAATGGATCTGGAGCCCCAATTCAGTCAGTACCCAACCAACAAGTTTGAGTTCATACTCGGCGCCGCCAGCTCGCTAGATGCGAACAGCAACAGCTTTACCGTCACGTTAAACAAAGGTGGTCAAAAGGCCGTCAAGTACGACCACCTCATCATCGCCACAGGTTCGTATGCTAAGGATGGAATGCCGTGGAAGTTGGGCGCCAGTGCTGGTACCACCTTGGATAGCTTGCACTGTCTGCAGGACAAGATCAGAAAGGCATAAACGATGGTCGTAGCAGGTGGCGGCCTGACGGGAACAAAGACGGCTGGCGAGCTTGGGTTCGAATATGCCAGTCAGGGCAAGAAGGAGGTTATCTTCATCTACAACGACGCACTGCCACTGCCTTCTGATGTGCTGGAGAACGTGCGTAAGCAAGCTGTCACTGAGCTCACGAACCTGGGCGTCAAGATGATGCCGAAGACAAATGTTACTGACGTCACAACTAAGTGTGCGAATACGATCATCAAGATGCGTGGCAGCGGTGGAATGATATCATCCGTTATGGTGCAACCCTACATTCTGACCCTTGGACTGTCGCCCAACATAGCCTTTGTACCGGCTAGTATGCGCAACGCAGGCGGTTACCTCAAGCAGACGACGACGCTACAGGTAGAGGGCCACTCAAATATCTTTGCCGTAGGTGATGCAGGCAGCCTAGAACCCAACAGAGCGACGCACACAGAGAGCTGGGCGACTCACTTAATCAAGAACTTCCCAACGATTCTGGCGGGAGGCCAGATGCCTTGCCTGAGTACGCTGTGAGCTCGAAGAAGTTTTACGGAATCACGCTGGGTCGCAACCGCGCGACAGGCTAGATGGATAACTTTAAACTGTTTAGCTTACTAGTGTGGTACTCAAAAGGATGGTTCCTGTTTACAAACATTGCTCCGGCCATGTCCATGGGGAAAAGGATGATGAGCATTAGCTTTGAGAAATAAGGTAACGGGCGGTTGATATCCCTTCAACTTTGTATCTACATATATAGTTTCAGGTGCCGAGACGAGCATGGTCTAGTTGTTGGTTGCGCAATAGGCGGGCTATGTATCATCAATAAAGAGTAAACAGACCGCTCGCTCACAGCTGAGAGAGATGAACTACCCTTGGATCCTACTCACATACTTGTGTCTTTTATAAGTGGAACCCCGTCGCAATGACACAAGGGCAATATTGGGGCTTCTAAGGTGGATAGCTGAGATAGGGCAAGGGAACATTTGCTTGTCTTACTGTTTGGCTGCTAGATGCCGTGTAAAAAGATCCAGCAAGATACTACATAGAGCATATTGCTATCATTCATCTATTTGCTTATACTTAAGACAAAGCTCGCTGTTGAAGGGGGCCAATGTGATAATGAAGTCTTAGGCGCGATCTCAGCCTCAACTGAAGAGGTGCCCTTCACAGGCCCTTGCGGTCCAATCTGGTCATCTAGGCTAGCCTGTAGTCTGTTACCTAATATTAGTCTGTATTTATTGTCCCTAGACCCTGATTAAGAACAGTTGTCGACGTCAGCTAGGATTTGCCTCATTCCTGGTAGCCTGGCAGACAACTCCCTTTGTTCTTGACCAGACACTTATATGCCTCCCGTCATATCTCATAGAACAGAAGGTCCCTTAACTGCACTAATCGCATATTATCCGCATTTTTTGTTGCTATTCCTTGAGTCACCTTGGTATTTCTGGTTACGACCGTCATGTAACATCGAAAGTAACTACCTTACTCAACTACTGCACACGTAGTCTATGATATACGGTAAATGCGTAGAAGCCGAATCCAGAGGCGGAGAAAGCGGGTCAACAAAGTCCGCCGTCGCTCGGTGTCAGCAAACAGTCCGCGGCTAGTTTACCATGTCTCCTTTTAACCCTTGCTTGCCCTGCCAGACAACTGCTGATGTTGGTGTTTTAGTGCCATATCCGCCACGTCCACCTTCTTGGTAGGCTCTGTTAACAAAACCCTCTTCAATCTGCCTAACTGACATCTTTTCCTCTTTTTAACTTGCAAACGTTTCGTAATGAGGGTTTATGAGCGCACTGATCGCCAATTTCGGAACCAACTAGTGATACGAGATCATGTCGCCACCTAGAGGTGCATTAAGTCTCCAAGTGGGGCCAGCTTCACACGGGTTAGCCCATGATGCCTCTACTTCCCAGAACGAGAGATTGCAGAAGAGATTGCGGAACCGCTTTGATCAGCGAGCACGACGTGAGTATGACAGTGGGTGCTTTAAAGACATTAATGCCGACTTGATGATAGGAGCCCGCCTAAAGGAAGTAGACTTGGCAAGCCAGACTCCTTCTAAAAGAAAGTTACCTTTATTTGAGATTGATCGATGGAGGCTGGACGAGGTAGGCTCTCGTCAAGGCACCTTCGTTTCTCCATTAGCCACAACTCGGCGACGTGGCAACCACGATGAGACGAGTGTAACTACGAGCTACACGAAAGTTATCATTTGTCAAATAGCGGACAAGTCACCCCTGGTAAATGTGGAGTTTTACGGCCAGCGATTGGAATCTATATCCTCACTTTTGGCAACGAAACCTCCATCACGGCAGATAATATCTCCTCTCTCGGACCATTTACTTCATCTCGTCAACTATAACGCCTTCCGAGGGTTTCTCAGGAACAAAATTCTTCTCTCACAGGTCACAGAGCACTACTTCAAGCAATCATCGAGTGATGTCGTGAAAGCAAACATCATGGAACCATTTTCAGCCAAGACCGTCATTATCCCGACTGTTTCCGATATGCCCATTTGCCTGTGTCCTACCGAATTGCAGAGAAGACTTCCCCATAGGACCTATATTGACTTCCTTCCTTTTCCAAGGATAAGGGATAACCTCATTCTGAATGAGCATCGTTTCAATCACTGGGAACTCATCCTTGATTTAATTGGCTATCCTGTGAGCCGGATGTTATATCCTTCAAAGGAAACAATGGGTCCTCTTAAAAGTCATGGTCAACTGGTTCGAAGCGATATGTTTGACGAGAATTTAACGGCAACTAGAAAATGCCTGATATTATGGGGTGATCCAGATAGACCACAGAGTTGGGAAGCTACTCCAGGTTTCATGGAGAAATGGGGCTGGGCCACTGAAGGTTACCCTGAAATATTACAATATAGTAATCAATGGAGGATATCAAGGGGTGAAGAGCCAATGTTATACACTGAATCTATATATAAACCATAGGAAAGAGTAATAATGTTTTGATGAGAATGCAGTATATCATCAATACTCAATCTTTCATTACGGGCTATTATTATGGAAAAGTTAAACCCACTTTTGTTTGGAATGCTCAACATGTCATTTTGTTGCTTCAAGATATGCTGATTAAGAACCCGGAAGTTTAGACTTTTCCTGAGAAATGTAAGAAGGAGGTCATGTGTATATAGAGGGGTTGGCAGCATAGGAGATATGCTGGGGTGGACGCGAATAAATTAGATTCACAAAGCCTAACCGGAGCAACAGGACTATAGGAACTACCGGCCCGACGAAGTATAGCCTACTGGGTTGGCAACGTACAATACCTACCAGCCATTTATCAAAAACGTAGAATTGAGACGGATCAATGGGAGAAATTAATAGCAGAAAAAAAAAACCCTGAGTTTCTGCATCTCAAAATGCTAAGTATCGACCTGATAACCTAAAAAGGCACGGAGTTCTTGGAGTTCTGAGTGAAACAGGATTCTCTACACATGGAGTGAGGTAAATTCCCTGCATGGCTAATTGTTATCTTTTTATGGGATGTCTTGGACATATATTATTTTGAGCCATAAGAGTTCTCTCCGGGGCCACGATACTAAGATAAAACAAAGGTCCAGCCAGCTGCAGGGACATCACCCAAGACTGCAGCTATGGCCTCTACGACTATGATCGAGTTTTGTCGACTGCTCGCGATTTAATCCATAGGAAGTTTATGAAATATAGCTCGACGGGGCATTCCAATAAGCAAACGATCCAATAATCGCTTACATCGAGTGCAACAAGTATCATAATCATGTCAAGAAGGGTTGCTTTGATTGGGCAGGCCCATAAATTACTTTCCATATCTCTCATCATAACAAAAGCCTTCTTCTGATGTAGCTTTATCTCCTTTGAACATTAACCGGTACCGCCGTTAATCTGCTTATAACAGAGCGCTAGAATGAATGAAGAATACAATGTGAACCTCGGCCAGTTTTAACGTTGAGTCAGCATTTATGAGACGTGAAGTCTTGAGTAAAGGGTACTACTCAGATCGTTTGACCATCTGTCCGCAATCAGAGTAGAATTTGAGACAGTAAAGGGGACACCCCACACACATCGAGCCAGCAGCTTCAGGATAGCGAGGCTGATCTTAGAAGCTGCCCCGTTGGTATCCAGCAACAGCATGGCGGCTTCTTCTAACGCTATGTGTTCCATATTTGAAGTTATTGTGTCGCCGGCATCAGGTGGTAACTTATGGAGAATAGGGTAGTTTTAGGAACGCCGTTCGTTGATAGAGAATCTTTAGGTTGTGTATTCGATTCGAAGTAAACTGGTAGCTAGTGCTGGCCAACTAGCTGGTCAAACAGAGTCATAGGTGAGAACCATAGTCTATGAATGAGTTGAACATGCTTGAATGAGGGCTTTCTATACTGTTATCCCTGCTCATATTCCGATCCGATAGCTTCATCATCATATAGTAGTCGATAGAATTGGTAGTCCATTCAAAACAACGAATAGCTAATGAAGGTGTCGCTTGAATACTAAGCATCTGCATCTCTGCTTTGCAGACTTCTATTGAGCCCGGCTATTAATATCGGTAGACTTGGCCCCCGATGCAAGTGTCGTAGTTTTGATAGGAGGAGACACTTCTGGTTGCCGTGGAGGTAAAGGTACTTCTGTAGTAGGCGTTGGACTTGTTGGATATAATGCGTCAAAGGGTTCTAGAATCGTTTCATCCAGACGATATCGTTTTCAGCTGAAGGTGCCCATAAGATTTTGGCTCCTACCTGGTCACCGCGCAGTCAACCCAGCATGGGCGCTAGTGTGGACGCATACTGGTGATGATGGAAAGGAAGTGAACGAGAGTATTGTAACCTCCATCCACGGAAGCCAGGTGGACGAAAAACATCTCAATGCTTTCCTCGAATCTGAGCCCCTTACAGAGAAACTGGCTCTGATGCACGGCTTGAAAGAAAGCGGGCTAATCGGAGTTCAAATTGCCTTCGGGGCCAAGAGTGGGTTGGCGCTGTATCGGAGGATACAGCCAAAGTACTGGTTGGCGAACCATGATGCCCTATTTACATACAACGGTCTCTTATATAAGAGCGTGCAGCTTAACGATGTTGGGCGAACGGTAGATTGGGCCTTGGAGCAGGAGCAGAAAGTTAGCGGAGTGTATTCGAAGGCAATGAAGCCCAACTTTATAAAAGCGGCTAATGGAGAATGTTTTGTATTAGTATAGCTAACAAGCAGCGCAGAAATGGCCCTGGAAAGAAAGTCAAATTGATGGGACCTGTTGTAAGCGACAAAATGTAGTAATAAATCTTACCCTAATCGTTTTTTTTATGTCAGTGGAAGTAAAGGGAACGATGTAGAACGTAGTGCATATCTGTAAGTTGATTTACAAAGAGCTCCAGAATTACTTGCTCTCTATCCAAGCTAGTTCAGATCCCATGTGTGTAATAGCTCTCCTGCTTATTGAAGTAAAACACTTTTATCACTACCAATAACATGTCTAGTTTGAGTGAACCTCTAATATTTCCAATTGTCAGAACTTTATAAAAATGCCATCTGCCCGGCGTACGTTAAAACAAGGCAACATGAGTTATGCTTCTAGGAACTTACTCTAACGATTCTCGAGCGTTATTGGGGAACTGGAGGCCTGCTTATTTTTGAGGTTGCGAACCATAATAATTTCTCGCCTGCCGTCAGGAATCTCATCACCAGGCTCGTCAGATACAATGAAGCTGTTGCGTTGGTACACTGATTGTGCGATGGCATTATCTGGTCGTACTGCAAGTCGAAGCTCGATGAATCCAGACTGCACGGCCCAGCTCGCAATGCTTCCAATAAGAGAAGAAGCAAGTCCTCTGCCTCGAAAGCCAGGGTCCACCCACATTGAGATGATCTCAGCGCCCCCATTCCCTGTCGGGATCCCGGTTGCCATTCCAACTGCGCGGTCGCCAGCGGTCTCATCAATCCTGTATGCTACAAGATCAATTGCATTTCGTATTGATAGTCTGCTACGCCATTGAGATTCCGGAGCATTAACCCAATCGTTGAGTCCCGATCCAAAGGCATCAGGAGCATTTGCCAGAGCTCTCAGGCGCACAGCTTTCCATGACTCCCAATCGTCAGCTGACAAGGTTCGAATTTCCATTATGTTGGGCTCAGATTGTAATAAAGATGTTGTTTCGGTGGAAAATTAGACAGATAATAAAAACAGCAGATGCACCAAAATTTGAGTTCCAATCTTCAACCGCATAAGTCTGTTGCGCGCAAGTGCTATGTGTGACTCATCTTCTGGATCTTATAGGTTACTCACTATATATTACAGTAGATCACGCTCAGTAACCCCACTTGAAGCTCACATCAAACTCATTGGATAGCTGATACTGTCGACATGACTCACGGCTTCACAGGCAGTTCGCCTCTGCTATTAACGTAATGGACTTGCTGCGGGTAATCCTATAGTCAATTGTACATAATTCATGGCCCTATGACTAAGGGGTCACATCACAATGTCGCATTTTGCTGGATTAAATGGTGCGGATGTGTTCTTGGAATCTTACGTGGGGGCAATGAGGGGTGCAAAAAACACAACCGGTCTACACTATAAACTTGTAGGCGATGAGCGGCGATGTTTTTTGCACCCTACTTGGCGGGGTACCTCTGTATGGAGCCATGGTACGAGGTAGAAATGCGGGCTGTATTCTGACCTCAGTTACGATCATACATCAACTGACAAAAGGGATTAATACTAAGCTCAGCAGAGAATATAAGGGTTCTTGGCGATAACTTTTAGGAGTGAAGTTCAATTTCAAAATCCAAGGAACGAAATTAAGATAATAGCTGCTATATCAATCTAAATTAGGAAGCCTATTTTTAATTCCAGCTTCTTCATTATATCTTACAGCATGTATCTCCAAGTCAATGCCTTATCACCTTTACCAGAAAGCTGCTCAGCCGTGTATTGATTCATATCCCCCCGAGCCACCCTGGCCTCGCGCTTTCTGTTGATTTGCATGTATGCAAAGACTAAAGTGAGAGCAGCGATGATTCCAGCGCTAATGAATCCAAGCTCCAATGCATGACCGAGAATGTATCGAGGGCCGTCCTTTTGTCGGTAGAAATTGGATGCCATTGCCTATTATAATTGTTAACATAATTCGCAATTCGGCTGAAGACAAAGGAACCTACTCCGCCAAGATTTCCGATACCAATCTGAATTGCCATACCGGCGCTCCTCTTGTAGCTGCCGGCCAAGTTGTTTGCAAGCCAGGAAATGATACCAGGGAAAGCTGGATAGATAGAACAGGCTGTAATGAAGACGCCACCGTAGACTACCTTTGGATTACTAGATGAGATACACCTAGAAAAGGGAATAGTGGTTAGCTTAATAGATATGGATTAGGCTGGAGTTGTGAGAGCAGCGTACATGGAGAAGCCAACAATCATGACACAGAGGAGGGTGATAATGAAGGGGCTTCGCTTTCCAACACGATCCGAAACGTATGCCACAACAACGGCGAGAATAGCAGCTGTGATGTAGATAGGGACTGTCATGAGCTGGGCCTTGTTCGATGTGTATCCCAAATTTTTGATGATGGTAGGAAGAAACAAGCTGATTCCGTACAGTGGACAAACGATCTAGGCAAATGTCAGAACTGTGCTCAATGAGTGATCAGAGGACTTGTTTACTCACGCCCCAATAAACAACGATGCTGACCCAAATTTGCCAGTCTTTAAAGGCACTCCAGACATACTTCCACTGAAACTCTTCGGCCTGGGCGACTTGCACCTGGTCTGTGTCAAGTTTACCCGCTTGGGCCTGGTACTTCAGACGGAGTACCACAAAGGCTCGTTCTTCTTCAGTGAGGAACGTAGCCGTCTCTGGGAAGTCTTGTAGGACGAAAAAGGCTAGCACCGCTGCCACAACTGTCGCAATTCCTTCGAGAATGAAGATCCAGCGCCAACCCTCTAGCCCGGCAGTTCCATCCATCTTGGCAATAGCAAAGGCTAAGAGGCCGCTGAAAGCACCGGCGATTGAGGCCGCGGAGAAGAACAACGCTTGGCGGAACTGGATCTCGTGGCGACAATACCACATGGTGAGATAGTACTAGAAGATTCATTAGCTGAGGACAAATCCGAAGATAATGTTGGGGAAACATACAGCAACGCCGGGAAACAGACCCGCCTCGGTAACACCTAAGAAAATGCGTGCGATGAGAAGGCCGTGATAGTTTCGTACGATGCCCATCAGGGTCATCACCGTGCCCCAAGCAACCATGATTGTGGGAAGCCAGACACTAGGACGTAGCTTCTTGAGAAGTAAATTCGAGGGTACCTCGAAAGCTGCATATGTGAAGAAGAAAACAGTCAGGCACCAGTTGTATTGATCGGGCGACATGTTGAGATCCTCTTGAAGGCCCTCGATCTTTGCATTGCCGATATTTCCTCCTATAAAAGAACAGCGTCAGCATGATGTTTATAGTAATTAGTTTAATCGCGCCTACGGTCTAAGAAAGAGAGAAGATAGAGGATCGCAAGCATGGGGATCAACCGCCGATCCATCTATGTCGCGCTGTTAGTTATATACAACAGAGTGAGACTGCAGCAAACGTACTTTGCGAAGGATCTTCTTCTCATCCAGATGAGAGAATGACTCTAGAGTAGTGCTTGAAACCGCTCTGATGCCATTGAAATCGTCAATCTCTGCTTTCCCGCTCCTATCAGAAGTATTGGCCATCTCTGCCTCCATCACCTTAGCTTTCTCAGTCGAAGGATTGTAGTGAGCCATGATGTTGAGAGATAATGACAACACTCCTCAGGGGTGATGGTTGAAGAATGATGCTGGTGTGACTTAGAAGAACTCTGAATTGATGCTCTTTGATAACGAGATGTAGGGACCATCAAGAGGTTGAAATATGCTTGTTTCCTCGTCATATATGCTCCTACACTCGTGGCTAACGAACCATTCTGGGTTGCTAGACTTCTTCGGTCAAGACTGTCAGTGGCTTGCCGAACGGGCGACCCATAAGGATGCTGAAGGGGTGATCAACTGGGGAAACAGGGCATAACATCCGGGGGAAATTGCCCTTGGCGTCTCCCCCGCACTTTGTTAGACGAACTATTGCCTGCAAGGGGAAGCTTTTTGGGTGTGAGTGGGATATCAATTCGAGCTTAAAAGGCTGATGGTGAAAATGATCATCGGATCCGACATATTGTAAGGTGAGCTGAGTTACTGGAGTTGACGACCTACGGATACTCGAGTCATGCATAGACGGCTGTGACATCGGCATCAATTCTCGTTCGACGCCACAGTTATCATCGGTTCCGACAATCCTTGTTAGCATCCATCGACTCTTGGAGTGATTGGCCGGGGGAGGGTCTGATCCAGTCCGGCTTATCGTGTTGCCACTTTCATTCATGAGCGGTGATATACTAGTACTTTATAAACGGGAGATAACATCCAGCTGCCACAGCATAGCATGAGTCTCTTTTCCTGCCGCAGCGCCCCATCTCCCCAACCTTTTTCTGTAGCTAGCGGTTACCCCGCATTTTGAGCGCCGAAGGTCTGGGGTAGTAAATGAACGGAGACATGGATCTGGCAAGGTTTTCTAGAGTTTCCATCTTTTTTTAAGGACAAGTAATCCCAGATAGTACACTCAGATGTTTGTTGGATCTCATTACTATCTATCGGATCCGATCCTTGAGTGACGCGTTGTGACTCTGCAAGTATCGGGTGCTTCCAGGCGCCCGCTTTAACCCATTGCCAGACCATGAGAGACCGCATCGTTACACGCCGTACCCAATTTTCTAGTTGTGACGAGTGCCGCAGATCACGCGTCGCATGCGATGCACAGAACCGTCGCAGCGTTGCTGACATACCGTCCGCTCCCTGTACACGCTGCTTGAATCGGAATCGAGCCTGCACATTCAAAGTTAGACCCAAGAACAAGTCTCTGAGATTCGACGAACCTAATCATCGCATACAGTGGATCCAAGATGCCAAAGAGGGATCATCTACTAGACATACAGCTACTACGGCCTCAAAATCGCAAGGTCGATATAGACGAACGTCCCATATTCTCATCGATCAAGTATCAGCAGAGGAACCAATTAATGCTTCTTCCCCGGAGGCCGCCCCTATCAACAACTATGAGTTCTTGCAGAATCGATTCAGGCCTACGCCATACTCACGACTTGAGTCATCAGAACAGGCTTTGTCGGACCTTGTATCACCCCCCTCAGACGCTGAGCCGCATCCACTGGGCAACTCCCACTCTGAATGGCTTCACACTCTATATAGACAAAATTTCGAGGTCGTTTTTGGGTCTTGGATGGGCCGGTATTGCTGCCCTTTCTTGTAAGTCTAGGACCCAACCCTCCCTCTTTCGTGTATTGTTAACTCACTGCATTAGATTTGGACAAGATGACCTCGCCGAAAGGTACATCAGCATATCAGATTTGTGTCGTCATCTCGACAGATATATGGCCGATACTTCTAAAGGCAACCAAAGCTCGGGCCAGGAACAGTGGATTCAAAACGACGAGAAACGAGACGTTTTAATAGAACAATCGTTGCGCAATACGATTGCCGCATTTGCCGCAAGGTGGCTACCAATCACCTCTTCAGATGACTCAGGAGGCATCGATACCCTGCACCAAATCCAGACCATGTGGTGGCAAGCTCGAAGAGACATGCTGAGAATTATCAATCGCCCCTCATATAGATCGATGTTGTCCCTTTTTCTCTTTGCTTTGACTCCAATTCCGATGGGTATTTCGGAAGACGAGGAGATGGATGGTGTCTCTGGACAGGTTTGCATCCACGCGGCTTTGCAACAAGTCCAGTCTCTTCGAGCCCGGCAGAGAAATCTACAGTTCAGTGGCTCAAAAGTGTTTCCTTCATCGAGTTCGACAGCAATATGTGCCACTCCAGAAGCTGCCGACACTTCTGGCTTTATCAATGCAGAAAACATTGCGTACTGGGCGGCAATCACATTCGACACCTCAGCATCCCTCACCCTCAATTGCAGACCACTTCTTTCATCAGGGCTCTTTGGGTTTGAGTCCGAATTTACATGGAAACTGGTTCGAACTTGCTTGAATGTGTTTAATGAATCTTCAAAGAGTTGGCGCCTGGGCAGTGCTGAGATGACAGATGAAAGGGCTAACGAGATTATCGCAGCCGCCGCCTGCTGGAAGCTGTTGACTTGGAAATTGGCTGCTAATTTTAAAGAAGCTCTTCGGGATGGTCACGACGAGCATGAGGTTCGGAAGGCTCTTTCCTACGTTAGCAATTCCGTCAAGGAGTTTGATACTACATTCCGTCCGTTTCTGGACGAATGCTATAAGCGCATGCAGTTCCTTGGTCAACAAACAAAGCTTCGTTGGTGTAAGTATGCTCTGACTAGTCATAACAGTTCCTTTTGGCTAACCTCGACATAACCAGTCTCACTGATGCTTCATTATTCTCTAAGCATATTGATGGTGCTGGATACAATAGAAGTCGTAGATCGGTACGACTTGCTTGTTGACCTTAAAGATGCTAGCATTGAAGCAGAAAACACGGTTATGAATGCATTGGCGTTTGGGCTTCATAATACCATTACCTTGAGACGAATCATTGATTCTCCTTTACCAGGTATGCCTGGGAGGAGCGGAATGACTCGTAGTATGACATTTACTGTTCCCCTCATCGCCATCGATCCTTATCCGCATCATGTGGTGGCATGTGTGCAACTCATGCGCAAAGCCATTGACCGAGACTACATGGATAAGAAAATCACACAGGAGTCATATGGTAGCTTAAGTTCAACTTTGGAATCCGCGTTAAAACATCTCCCCCAGAGTTCAAAATCAGTCCAAGCAGCTCGATAGAAACTTTCATCAGCAGCGTCAGATGCTAAGATGCAAAAAAATACTCAAATTCTGTACAAGATCTACAAGGCCAATAGAACAGCCGTAAGATCAAGGACCAGGTGTAACATAATTATTAATACAATGAACAAATGAACACAAAACAATAGCCTAGTTTCAATCTCAGAGATTTGCATCTGAAATCATATATGACGTGATTCACTCAATGAATTCTTTTGTACCTGACCGGCCTATCCCAGTAGTGTATGAAAGATGGCACTGTGCCTCTCCTTGGGAGACAATGGTTTGCGTCTCGGGTACCAAGGCCGAATCCTAGGAGATACTCTTGGATTGGGGAGGATACAGGCCGCCGTGAGGAGATTTTGCGCCAAGTCTACCCTTGTCAAGATATTCGCGACGCAAGAAGTCTACAGTATAAGTTGGAGACAGCTGACGCTCCTTAATGTAGTGGTCTTCGATAAGGGCGACAGTGTCCAAACCAACGGCTTTTCACATGTCAGTGGAAATGGTCACGACAACGGAGAATATACTGACCGTCCATAAATCTACAGGGTCCTCCCCAGCTTCTCGTCAATTCTATAAAGAGAGCGTCTATTTCCTCAGGGGTTGACACTCCTTCGGCGAGAATGGAGAGCGTCTCCCTTTTTATTGCCGCCCAAAGCCTGTTGAAAATGAATCCTGTGCATTCTTTTCTTGCAAAAAAAGGTTTAGTACCGACTTCTCTCTGTCTATCCATTAGAAAAGGAAAGATGTCTGGATTTGTGTAACCATCCGTCATCAGCTCCACGACCATGTTCTCGGGAGGCATGTAGTAATGCGTGTTCAGGACTCGCGATTTAGTTGTGTCTTTGACCTTTCCAAGCATCTCAGAAGACTTGTATGATGATGAATTGCTGGCTAAAATAGCATCCTTGGGAGCATGAGTTTCGAGCTCCGAGAAAGTGTCTATTTTGATCTGAAGTTTCTCAGGGACTGCCTCAATGACGAGCCATGCGGTTTCGACGGCCATTTCAAGATCTCGGAATATTCTGACGGTTCCAGCGGCTGTATTACCAGCGGCTGGGTACTTCGCCACATTCTCCCTGATGTAGTTGAGACAAGACTCATGTTGGTTTTGATCTGGCTCCCGAATTTGGACATCATATCCAGCAGATGCCCAAGTACAAGCTGTAACATTAGCTTAAAGTATATCTGAAGTCTCGCAGTTTTACAAACCAATGCGTCTCCCCAATACTCCGCCTCCTAGGACAGCAACTGGCCTGTCAGAATAATTCTCTGGCAACATATTCGCTGGTGCGATACGAAGACACACGATGTCAAGAGATATGAGCTGTAGGTAGTAAACACAAAGAAGGAATCGAGAATTTGAAGATAAAAGAGAAATTCCAGAAAGCAGCAGAAAGCAGCAGATAATATATACATACAGGCTTGGACCGGGACTGAGACGAATCCGGTGGTCTCCCGCGAGTTGCAAGCTGGGACATTCAAATCGGGATCCTATCTACTCAACCCCAAGGAGGCATGGGGACTGTGGGCCACCCCTAGCGTAGCAATGACGGTCAGGTACATATCTTGGCCTCTTTTGGTACTGGCCAGGAGGAGCTTTTTGGGTTGTGGGGAAATCGTGGCAAACCTGAAGCAATAAGTTCTTATGCTATGGAAACTAGGCGCTTACCATGATTCTAGACTTTGCCAAGCACCCGTAGAAAACTTTCAAGCCGATGCAGTCCTCAAAATATGTACATTTAGGGGCAGTCATCAATCACAATGATTTGATATGGAACAACAATTATGGAACAGCGTTTATACTTCGAAAAAAAATATGGGGGACTCGGCAACTAGAACGAGGTTTTGTGAAGACCACAGTTAGGCCTTGTGTGTCCTGTGATTCTTGTTGCTGTAAGCGATCGGAACCGATTTGAAACGGCACCGACGCCCGCCAGTCTAGCAGGGATAATCGGATCCGATACGTGACCCTAACGGAAATGTTCAGGCCGCAGCCCAGACCAAAGCCCGCAGGATTGTGGAAGAACTCACCAGGCGCACTGCCAAAATACTCTTGCAACGTAATCGTGCTATATATAATAACTTATAATATTCGCCTTCACGAGCGAGGCGCATAGTTGTACTTGCAAAGCACCTTGCGTCTAGGTATTGGGGTTCCGAGATAAAATGGGAACACATGGGTTAGCAATAGATAGGATCTCCAAGGGACAAACCATAGTTCTGGTTATAGGTTAGGCGATGGATAAGACGGGGGATAATTGTCTATTGCCATAGCCACTCAATTAAGTAGGAAGTTCTGAACAGATTCAGTCTAAACGTTATATCTACAATTAGCTATCCAAGTTTTCTAATTAAGTGTTATATAAAGGTGTTATTTCTGGAGTGATTTATAGCGACAGTCGCTGTTTGCCGCATTGTGAGAATGCGCTGCCTTGTATTAAGTGCTCGTTGATTAGGTAGTGGCCGGTCCGTCTTTTAGTTCTGAAGGGATTCCCTGTTATGTACAATTGACACGAGATGCCGAGTCGTAGAGATTGGGATTAGTAAGCTGCTCCGGAAATCTTGCAAGTTCTAGTAACCTTAGTACCTTAAACGGCCATGCATGCTATTTTACACTTGCAGGTTCACGGCACGCTCAATAGAGCAAATGCACCTCGCCAGCTATTCTGCACTACCAACCGCTATTCCATGAGGGTAACTGAGCGGCGTCTTCCCAAGACATGTGGCCCGTGGAGCCAGGGAGGGACCCGAACAGTGCGCGTCGAGCTGTCCACCGTCGTCGTGAGCGGACTTCACCAAGCAGTCGCAAACGAGTCCGCACTGCGTAGGTGCTATCAGATACTTCAATGCCCCCAGGCTGCTTTTGCTTCTACAGATTGTTATCAATCAAGACCATTGAGAGAGTTTGACGCTAACAAGCCTCCTGCTCCAGCTGCAATAGCTGCAGCCTTCGACGGATAAAATGCTCAGGTGAGCAACCATGTTCCCAATGTCATCGAGCAACTAGGCATTGCGAATACCCTTTGGATTTCGATAAGGTATCCGTTTCTCGCTCAGAGTTGGAAGCCCTCAAGGCTAGATGCGAAGAACTGGAGAGGCGTAATGCGCCGGCAGCTCCAGCGTCCGCATTGGCTACATCATCATCCTCCAAGATTGCCTCTACCTTAGAGACGAGCAATACCGGTACGGCATTTGGCAGTAGCGCCACCACTGAGGACTTTGCTCCCCCTGAGGGGCGGCTGCTTCATGACCCAGATGGGACCGCGCGTTACCTTGGGCCGTCCTCTGGTGCGCACTTTCTCAATCGAGTCAAGGAATTCATGGCAACGATACAGCCTCTTGTCGGCGCCCAACAAGGCTATCCTCCTCATTCGGGACAAGCATTTCTCACGAGCGTTGGGCGTTACCAAACGTTTGACTCGAGGACGCTGCAACTTCTGCCTGTTGACCCGTTGCAACTACCGAGCCAGACGGAGATGACCCTCATGGTCACCGAATTTCGGTTTTTCACTCAGGATGGTAATGGGGATTTCCCTAGCGGTGGCATTTTCTACTGGGGCAATCTATCATTTGCAAACCAGTTTCCTTATGATGCGGCAGCTCTGCGGACATCAGGTCAACTCGCGCTTTTGCACATAATTCTGGCTGTTGCAGCTCGCCTGGGGTCTGCGGCGCACTGGAAAGATGAAGATTGTAGCGAGCGTTTTTTCTCCAGAGCACAGCAGATGATCGGTAACCCCCTTGATATCACTTCTCACACCTCGCGCGACACTTCGGTCATGCTTCTTATGGCATTCTATTTGATCGAAGCCAATCGTCGTGATGCCGCTTATATCATGGTCAGCGTTGCCCTTCATCTCGCCATAATGGATGGCACCCATTGCAGCTATGGTCAGGGTGAAGACTTTAAACGCACGTTCTGGACCTTGTATGTGCTTGATTGTTGGCTATCATCTGTGCTCGGACGTCCGCCCAGTATCTCAGACACTGCAATTCATTTAACGTTGCCGGAGGAATCGCCGTGAGTCCATACAAATCATCGTTGACCATCCAATATGCTCACCAGCTTGTTCGCTGACTTTACGGTTCAGTGGATTTCCAAGTCCGGTTGGCCTTCGTGCGCACATCGACCTTGCCAAGATCTCGCGTTACATCGTGTGTAACGTATACCGAATAGCACCATCCGATCAGTCGTCAACCACGTCTCTACAACACGTCGAGCATGCTCTTTCGCTACTACAGCAGTGGCTGGCATCTCTACCTCCACCGCTGCAGATCAATGGCCAACGATTGACCAAAGATAGAGCTTGTCTCGTACTACATCTCATGTATCACCAAGTAAGCATCTTTGCAGCTAGTACTGGACATCGTGGCACAATTTAACCCGTATTCCATTTCCACAGGACATAATCCTCACAACAAGACCGATATTCTTCGCAGCTACCAAGAAAATTCTCGCCGACAGGTTTCTGTCGCAAAAGACTCACAAAGACAGCGCAGAAAACTATCAGGGGGATTTATACATGGCTTGCGTAGGCCACTGCCTCGACGCCGCCCGCGAAAATATTCGACTTGGACGGCTCATTCGCGATGCCAGTCCCAGGCAGAGGCTCACTCACCAAGAAGCGCACGCAGTATTCAACGCAGCTCTAATCATATTGATGCAGCAGCTTGCCTCTCCCCAATCAGATTCAGCCGAGACCGATGACGTCGCCTTCGCAATTGAAGTATTCCAGCAAGAGGCGAGATTAGGAAACAACTTCGGCCTCGATTGTCTCACCGTTCTACAAGATCTGAGCTTTATTGCCCACGCGCTGCCACAGACCCAAGTCTCTGTAGCGGAAGAGCAAACCATATCCGCTGTCACATATACGGCTAGCAGTGAAGCGAATGTTCAGGCCGAATCTGCCATTCCTGCTCCAGATATCGACCTCCTTGAGAGTACATGCGATGGTCAGGCTGGAGTAGAGTTAAATGGTGCATTGTTCAAGGAGCTACAGACGTGGCTTGAGAATGACTATTTGGAGATATACAACGATTTCAGACTTTGAGTAACAAAGTGGAAGCACTCTTTGTAATTATCTACCGTAATAATTCTTTCACGTGCAATTAATCTGCGAGACAAATAGGAATACGGTGTAGTAGTATCACAATCCATAAATGAAGGTGTACTTGCGGTCGCCATATCGAATGTGATCGGTTCTTTCACGCTCTAATTCCTCCGAGGTCATTTGGGCCATCTTGTCTTTCTTGTATCGATTCGCAGCTGCAAGAGCAAATCGGTAACCTGTATAACCTAAAAGAGCAATGATGGCAATGCCGAGAGTGATATAGAACGATGTTGTGTAAGAAGGGCCAAACTTGGCACCAAAAATCTGCGCACCGATGATACCGGCGAGATTACCAAATCCGTTCGCACCAAGGATCAGCGTACGTTTTCCCGGTTCTGGATTTAGACCTGTCAGTTGCTGCATGATACATTGCCAGCTTTGGAGAAACCTACCAGGTGTGTTCCCGCTTAGCCATGCCACAGTCAAAGGAGCAGACACGTAACATCCGAAAAGCAAAATGCAGAGACCAGCATATTTGCCTCCGCTCGCCTTGACAGTGACAGTGAGAATCAGCCCGATGATTCCAATAGCAATGCTTGCTACGATATGCCACCCACGTTCGTGTCTACGTCATTGTTAGGAGAAAGGATAAGAAGGAATGCTGCTTAGAAGTGACTTGCCGATGATCTGAACTCAAAGCGAAGATGTATAAGCCAACGGCGCCGCAGACGTAGGGCGGCACTGTCATCTGTGTAAACGCTGTTAATCACAATGCTTGAAAACAATGCGAGCCTCTGGTCTGCTTACGAGGTTTGCGTGGATACTTTCGAACCCCAAACCCTGTAGAACTAGAGGTAGGAATATGCTAAACGCTTGCGTAGGGACACTGGCACAAATGTTGAAGAAGATTACGCCGTAAAACTTCCAGTCCTTGACAGCCTCGATAGCATCGCGTCTTGAGAGTCTGTCTTTCTCCATGCCGTCTTTGCCATATTCATGCTGAACAAATAGTGCGGTGTCGCGTCGCATGCGTTCCGCAGCAAATTCGCGTTCTTCTTGCTTGAGAAACCATGCGGAACCTGGGCCTCTAGGAAGTAAAAACCATGCTAAGATTGCAACAGAACAGGTAAGACTGCCCTCAATGACAAATAGATACTGCCAATTGAGCAATTTACCACTTTTTAGATGAAACACACCAAACGCTAATTAAATGTGTAAGTCGAGTTATGTCCAGCTATAATGGAATGATGGCTCTGTAAGGTTTGGGCCAAGACTTACAGATGGCGCCAGAGAATGCTCCAGCAATCGCATATTGGCCATAGAAAATGGCCACTCTTACTGCCAAGTCGAATCGTCCGTAGAAGAAAGATAGGTAAGAGACACACGTCGGGTAAAATCCTGCTTCAAAAAGCCCAATCACAAGACGAATGGCAATCAACGAGCCTTTGCGGAACTAGTCAGCTCCAACGTTCAACTTATAGGAGTTTCCTAATTAAACATTACCTCGTCCTTTAATAAATGCTTGCCCGATGGTTAAGGCCCCCCAAGAGAACTAAAACGCATGTGTTAGCGGGCGGGTTCTGAATGGAAGTACGAGGTGGTATACGAACCGCCAAAAACGGGATCCAGCTCTGAGGTCCAACCCATCTACCCATGGCAGCAGAGGGGGGCTGAAAGAGAACAAATGTAATAAAGAAGAGCGACACAGCTAAATTGAGATCTGCTGGTTCAGCTCCAATGGCCTTCGTAAACCCTACGCGAATCGCATTAGTGATATCAATTCATTAACAGATTGAGTATTGCCAGTAACATAAATCAGAAACATACCTTGGGTTTCAGCATTACCGATATTGCCCTTATCAAGGCCGTTGAATAGGTATACCAGGGACAACAAAGGCAACATGGCAAAGTCCATTTTGCGATTGACTCGACGACTAAGCTCCGCCTCTTCGGGCGATGAAGGCACAAAGCCAATCGGGCCAGACTCTGATGCTGCAACTCGATTGTCGTCAAACTGAGGACTCTTGCTGAACATTATGGAATGGCCTTTCCCGGAGGCTTCTTCCAAGGTGACTGAAGGTGACTCGCACTCTGGCTTCTCTGAGCCGAACTTGGGGACAAGATGAGCCATGCTATTCATGACGAAGTCGATGATTGAAGAGTAGACGCTCGTCCACTTTCCAGAAGCACGATTCGATACTCCGCATTTTATATTTCTCCAAGCTGTCATACAGATATGTCTGGGGGGGAAATCTGGGGAAGTTTGGAAAAGTGCCTGTATACCAGGGTAGCGACCCGAGACTCATGCCGAGTCAGGCCATGCTGTGGATTTATTACACCCCGCCTATCACGGCTGCAAGACTCAAATGTTCACGAAATTGATCCAATAGTGTGTTGAGTGTGGAGAAATTTAGCATGGAAATGGGTCCGGGCGCTGTCCCGGTGGCGACGCCATGGCGCGACCCGGGTCAATACCCGATACCAGCTGTTGAGGCTTCTGAACTGGTAAGCTCCCGTGTAGCTTTTGACCCTTAAATGGGATTAATACCAGTATATTCGTAAATCTCCCTGCTCGAGAGCACTCTGGCCATTTTCTTTACTTTTCTCAGCCAACATGGGTTCATTATCGTCCACGCAGGAACGGGATTACTCTACTCCAGAGGTCTTTGATCCAAAACATGGCAAGAAAGCGAATAAAACAATAGATATTGGTCAAAATGGAACGACTCTATCAGCCAATATTTATGGACGTGTGAGCTGCAGTACTCAGATTTGAATTTGATCGCGCATATTAACAGACCATAGGCTCTTCAGCTTAGTACGTATCATCCCCATCACGGAATCATAGTCGCTGCCTCTTATGAGCAATTCGACGGTGGAAGATACTATGATCCATTATACGTACGCGACTATCGAAAGCGTATGCTCCATATGGTGAATGAAGCAAACGAAGGTTTTGGCTTATGTATTGGCAACATTGGCTCGAGAACTACAGTGGACTTGACTCAAATGAACACAGCCCACCTTGGTTTCGACACAAGAGTTGGTGCCGCGGTGCGTTATGTCGCGAGCGTTGATGAGAAAGGACGACTTAATCAGCGAGCCCGTATTGTCAACAATACCAGTCAAGAGATTCAGGTTGGGTATCAGGTCAATCTTCGAGTCAGTGTCCATCGAGCCTCGTACGGACAACTTACTGAAGGGGGCCCGATACCGTTACCGGAATGTGAGAATGCTCTCGAAGTCAATAGCCAGGAATGTTCTTTTATCATAAGGAATAAATTTATTGGAGCGCATCTGAGCGGCCAATTATACCTAGATGGCGTTCCTGCACCACTGGTGGGCCTGACAAATAAAACCCAGCCGGGTTTGTTAACAGGTGTGTCTACAGAAGATCAATCTGTCTCTATCAAGCCATATTCAGAAGTCACTATCGGCCTGATTCTGCGTTTGGCACCCGGATTGGACGAGAACAACAGCTTCCCAGAACACCTTTGTGTCAATTCAAAGACTCCGGGGAGTGGATTAGCGTGGAAGAGGCCAGAAACTGTTGAAACATATATTGTGCGGCGCAATGTTGACTACATTCTCGGCAACTGCGCGATTCCTGTCTCTGAATCAGAAGTCGCCCTCATTACTGACCATGTAGCGCTGCCTCTAGGCTGGAACCGAGACAACTAGTAAGTACTGGAAATCTCCTGCTTCAGCATGCTAGGGCTAACATCACTTACAGCTGGCAGTGGCGCCTGTTGCTATTGACCCGGCGGAACTTGAGGTCTTTAGTTACACCAGCCGCGTACAATCATTACATGCGACTTCTCGATAAAACAATCAAGGGACACTTAGATTGGGTGTTTTTCAAGGCTGAAAGACCCCATAAGTTCTGGCACAGGTCATACATTATAACAGGCAAACCGAAAGATGGGCCCGTGTACCAGCTCGATCAACAGTGTTACCCTATGCTAGAGCTTTGCGACTACTTCTCAGAGTATCCCAATGAAAAGAAATTTGTGGAGGAGATTCTTTCCTCTCAAGTCATCACGGAAATTCTCGACCACATTACCTCAAGGCAAGACTTGGCTACAGGATTGTTCCCTACAGATGAGACCCCAGGCGACGATGAAGTTATATATCCGTTCCACTTTTCTAGCCACGTTTTACTCTGGTACACTCTTTGCCAACTGGCTAAATTAATTCGCTCGTTGCCGGCGACTTTAAGAGATCCTGGGGAAAGATTGCAATCGCTTGCAGATGAAGTTCACACGCAAACGATGCAACACTTCCTAATCGCCGACCCCGATTCTGGACATGTGAAAATAGCCTACTTGGTAGATGGTCATGGCAAGCACACCTTCTATCATGACGGAAATGATATCCCAACTGCCTTTGCTGCCAATTGGGGATTCTTCTCCAACAGGAAGGATTTGGAGGCGTGGTACAATACAATGAACTACGCCCTATCGGAGGAGAACAGTCTAGGGTATAGCTCAGGAGGGTCTTTTGCAGGACTTGGAAGTGTCCATTCACAAGGCCCTTGGCCGCTTGGATACTTTCAAGAGATGTTGTACGCAGACGTCAAAGGTAATGAAAGGGCAAAAGCAGGTGCTCTACAGCGAATTATCGGTGTCATGCAATGGGACGGAACTTTTGGAGAAGCGGTAGACGTGAAGACAGGTGACACCACGAGCAAAGCCTGGTTTAGCTGGCCAGGCTCCATGATAGCAGGAGCTATTATAGCCGATTCAGAGAGAAATTAGACAAACTTGCTACGACCAGACATTTTGTGGCAAAATTAGTGGACAACGCCAGGTTAGAGCCAGGTCAGGTATATGAAAGAGTCTCCTATCAAACAAAATAAAGAACTTGAAGACATCTCTATGCATACCTATATTCCAAATGTTATTAATGATAATATACTGAAAGATGTTATGCTCTATAGTACATAATATATCTGCAACGCCTTCTTTGGTGATCAAGACCTCTCAATATCAGATCAATTGTATGCCAATTCCTATATAACACTTTCCCAGAGGTTTCCTCTATGATTCTAATCTTTTGGCTGGTTTAGCGGGATAATATAATGGAACGTGACAAGCACTCAGTGAGAATAGAGCATTCGGAATAAGCCGTCATTGCTCAACTAAGCAATCCGCTTAGTATGTATGCAATTTCGTATATTTTGCCGCTTACATCTTTTTGAACTGCTTAGAAGACTCATCGGATTCAAATTAATGGACTTTTCAGACACTTAGATAAGTTGCTTATGTGACCTTTGGATTCACAGTATGGTTCAAGAATTGTAGCATCCGTGCACCACGCTTAATATAGCGGTATATATACTGGTTGTATGTTCCAAAAAGAGCCTGTGAAACAAGAACCGTTTGCTAGACTATAATTGAATCGGACCTTATTATATCGCATAATGAAGCCTTCTTTTGTTATTTCCTTGACTCTCTGTAGCATCTCTGCTGCGGTAGGCCAAGAGATACTCTCAGATCCCGGGACACTTGGCCCGGCTCTCGAAACCATCCACCTCTTTTATGATCAGTGGCTAACAGGTCAGCTTTCTTGTAACATATTGGAACACTCACCTAGGTTAAATGTTAATGTGCTTGTCCACTAGGTTTCACCGTCTCCGCCAGTGGCCACATCTTCGTCAATTATCCTCCAGTGTTTCCAAACAGTATCAACTTTACAGTCGGGGAAATCGTCAATGGAAGAGAAGTTCCATATCCGAATCTCGAGATAAACACTCCTCCTGGTGGCCGTCTCAATTACTCCACAAATCCACCTACAAGCTCAAACAGTGAAGATCATCTCATAGGTGTAATATCTGTCATAACAGATACCGAGGATAGGCTGTGGATTTTGGATTCCGGTAGAGTCGCGTCAACCGAAGGCTTAGCTGAGACTGCTTACGGTGGACCAAAGTTGATTGGAATGCACTTGACACATAACACCATCTTCAAGAAAATTCTTTTTGACCAGACTGCTGTACCTGCTGATGGAGTAAGATATATCCCCTGCAGTTCAAAACGTGATCTTTCCTGCCAGATGCTGACTTTATAGTATCTCAATGATGTCCGTATTGATCTCAATCCAGCTCTGACGCCATCAGGTCAAGGCGTAGCCTACATTTCCGACAACAGTCCAGAGGGCCGCACTGCGATCGTAGTGGTTGATCTTGGCTCTGGTGCTGCTTCGCGCAAATTGGTGGGCGACCCTTCCATCTCGTCACATCCAGGATTTGTGCCGTTTATATGGGGAGAAGCCGTCTATTCCAATTCCAGCAGCATCTCACACTTTAGTGTCGGCGTTGACGGTATCGCACTGTCAGCTGACGGATCTACACTATACTACTGTCCAGCAGGGGGAAGATCTCTTTACGGCATTGAGACCAAATATCTCCTAGACAACTCTCATAACTCAGATGTCCTCTCGAGATCTCAAATCCAGGTTTTGGGTGATAAGGGGCTCTCTGATGGACTAGAAACAGACTCTAACAATAACATCTACGGCGGCAACATGGAAGACAATTCCATCATCAAGTTCAATCCGAAAACTGGACTGGTGCAGCCATTTGTCAGGGACCCGAGACTCAGCTGGACAGATACTTTATCAGTTGCTACAGATGGATACTTGTACTTTACCGAGAATCAACTCTGGAGAGCGCCTATCTATTGGGGTGGAATCGACCGTAGGGTGAAGCCATACGCAATGTTCAGAGTGAAATTGCCCGATGGTGGAGTGAAGGTGTCTCGACCTCGGCGAGAATGAGGCTGCCCCTTTCTTTAAACTCTTTCTGAATACAGGAGGAGCTCTATTTGACATCAGCAGTATTCCAATTCTCTATTTTAGAACCTACGTTAGGTCGATCTATTATTGCTGCCGACTTATACGGCATTTTAATCCTATATTTAAAATTCATTTCCATCATTCAGACCTCTGAAGCTAAAGCTCTATTTTTAAGCTCTATTTTTATTCCGCTATACTAATTTTGAGTAACAAAAGATGTGTAAAACAAAGTCAACACTAACTCCGGATGCTAACTCCGGCAACCCCCCCGCAAATAATGAGCTGCTCACCTAATCGTGTAAGCAACAATCGAGAGCATGTCCGCTTTGTGAATTCCTACGTTCGTTTCCAATCTTTCGATTCTTTAAGATTACAAATTATAGATACAGGTCATGAATCTTTGAACATATCAGTTCCCACTGAGTAGTGTCTGCTATAAGGTGGCTTGTTCAAGTACTCTAGTCATGCCTCCAGAAGAACAAGCACAGCAACGGAAGCTTATTTCGGAAAAAAGACGCTTACAGAACAGGCAAGCTCAGAGAAACTACAGTTTGTCTCTCTATCCACCAGAGATCAAATAACGATGAGAAATGTTGCTGAAATAATGCAGGAGAGAAACAAAAGAGACGATTAGAAGCTCTCGAGGATCTTGTTGAACGCCAGATCCATGAGTCCTGCAAGTTTGGCTCTTTATCTGCTGAAAAGAATCCGGACTCTTTTAATTTCCAACAAGACTTCCTTATGTCACCAGTACCATTATTGAATGAATCGTTTGATGTTCTTGACGGAGATGAAACAAAATGGGATCTGGATTTTGACAGTATTACTGGCGGCGGAAATGAGAGTGGAGTTAATCCTCTCCGGCCATTCCAATCCTTTTTGGACAAACCTGCACGAAGCCTCAACATGAGAACTGACCTTTCACCTAATAATTCTCATACACAAACTTTGGCTCGTCAATCAAACTTACGGCCCACCGCATTAGCCAAGTCGAGTGATACTATATCCCTGCCGGGAACAACAACTGATTCTCTAAACAGCTTTCTCTCTCTTTTCTTACTACAGAATGACGCTCCTATAAGTATAAGATTAGTGAATCAGATTGAGCATAACAAAGTGACTTTGCAAGATCTCATTGGGTTAGGTCTTGGAGTGTTGGAATCCGATTTTTCGCAAGCAACTGGTTCTGAAGATTCTGAAGACTCTGCCCAGTCCCAGGCCAAGTATAACCTGAAAACTAAGAATCACATCCACTCAGGTACCGGAAAAGGATCGATCCATTTAGAAGCTAAAGCTAATCAGAGTAGATCCGATTCTCAGTCCGCCTCTTGGCACGATCCGACTTACTCAAGTCTCATTCTTATCAGCCTGTCTCAGCAACGCCGCTATGCTAGGCCTAACGCCAGCTACAACTTCAGACGATGCCGAACCGCCATTTTTTCATGGTCATCTTTCCAACCAAGCAGAAGAGTGGCAAAAGAGCGAGTTCAAAAACATCAAGCCAGATCTCAGGCCAACAAAAAGCCAACTCGCCCGCAGCCATCACCCATACCTCGACGTCTTGCCGTTTCCGACGTTTCGTGAAAGGGCAATTGCTCTCATCCATACAGATACTCCAGTCTTTGACGAAGAAGAGCTTTGTCGTGATCTTCTAAACGACGCACTAATATGCTGGGGCTCTTCGCTAGGTGCGGGTGTAGGCAATTCCGGGGCACCTTGGGACATCCGCAGCTGGGAGGCACGCCCATGGTTTTTGAAGAAGTGGTGGTTTTTAACTGGGGGCATTGAAGGCGAACTATACCAACAGACGCGTTGGTGGTGTGAGATGCGGGGCGATGACTCAGGATATGCGTGGTAGTTTACATCAGAGAATCCAGGCTAGTATTAACAAATTACAAAACTGTATACCCCCAAAGAAACAGGATATAATAAAATGGTTTCTCTGACACTTTAAACCTGGGACAGGCCGACAAGTTGCCTCTTGGCGCGGCAAAGGCGCTCCAAGTTGTTTGTTCAGAACGAAATGAAGACCCCCTTGGCCTGTAGATGTCCACTATTTTCCCGATGCTCGAATCAAAACAGAGCACCAGGCGAAGCGAAAGAAGCTGGCCCATGTCTTTGCGCAAAAGAATATTGAGAGTCTGGAGCCCGTTATTCTCGATGCAACGGCCACGCTTGTCTCCCAAATCGATAAGCACATTGCTCAGAGCAAGGCCATTAATATTCGGAGATATGTTAACTATTATACCATTGATTTATTTGCCGAGCTACTCTATGGACGTTCGTTGGGATGTCTCGAACGTGGCGATGATATAGTCGAAGCACAGACAAAATATGCCAAAGTTTATAAAGCGCACATGATTAGATCCCTTCACGATGCAACACACATGAATACCTTTTTGGGATATGGAGCACATCTGCTGCCCCTGACAAAGACGCTCTTCGCTCGCCACCCGTATATGAAAGCTGGTGCAAATTGGGACAACATCATTTACCACAACACAACGAAACGACTTCAAGATGCAGAGTCTGGAGAGGAAAAGAAGGACCTGTTCTCCAATCTGCTTCGTAACAACAAAGGAGAGAGCCTTGACCTCCCAATGGGCGAAATCTTGGCTGAATGCTCTGTTATGATGAACGCTGGAACAGATACTACTACCGCGGCCCTAACAAATACCATTTTCCTCCTGTATAAACATCCCCGCGTTCTCGCGAAGCTACGCCAAGAGTTAGACAGCGCTATTGGTTCATCGGCCGACGTTCCCAACTATGCATCCGTGTCTTCTCTCCCGTACTTGCGTGCCTGCATTGAAGAGTCGCTGCGCATTCGCCCTGCTTCATCATATGGTCTTCCACGAGTTGTTCCTGCCGGCGGACGTGTCATTGCCGGGCAATATATCCGCGAGGGTGTGACTGTCTCTGTCCCGACGTACACTCTACTTCGCAATACAGACTGCTTCAAGGACGCATAGTCGTTTAATCCCGATAGGTGGATTGAATCAGACAAAGCCACAAGGAAAGGATGAACACTGCCCATTTTCCATTCAGTGTGGGCCCTAGGGCATGTATCGGGAGGAATATTGCCTATTTTGAGCAGCTGTTAGTTATTTCATCTATTGTCAGATTTTTCGACTTCACATTTGTGGACGGAGAGTCGCAAGAGCTCGCTACTTTGGAGAGATTCAATTCGAATCCGGGAGAGCTGCGTTTATGGCCATCCAGGCGGACAGTGTAAAGAGAAGCCAGAATAACTAATTTAGTTATATAGTAAGCATTCTAGTAAAAAGGGGACTGCTTTCCTTAGTAGAAAAATATAGACTTTTATTACTGTGTTGGTAAACTGCTATAGGTCTGAATAAGAATTGATCGGCCGGAGAGAGAAAAGAGCGGGCTTTTATACCTCTCATGAGTGTAGAGGTCGGCAAGAGCCATTGCTGTGGATTTCGCTCCCAATGTCGGCTGAAATGGTGAGAAACGCAGAGACATGGGGGCAGCACTGGAGCGCCGGATATGCAAACGGGTACAATAACTGGGATGAGAATCAATAAGTGAGAACTCCTGATCGTGCTAGATAGTATGGACAGAAATCTGTTTCTTTTTGTCAAGAGGCTACATACATATCTAATATACACGTTTCAATCCTCTGGTCCCTGCCAATACTTACTTACGTCAACGGGGTACCTCGTCAACCTTACAGCTCTTTATAGAGGATCCTCATCCATCACCGGTTAAATAACACTGCACACCGACTTCTTCGAAATCTTCTGCACCAAAGCATCCCTATCGCGGAACCTCTGCGGAAACTTGGCCAAGTCGGCCGCCTTCATCAGCCCCCGCGCCTTGGACGCCTCCCCCAAGCTCTCCGTCTTTGACAACTTCCCGCCGCCCCCCGCCGCGCCGACAATGAGCCCCAACATGGCAAATGGCGCAGACGTCAGGTCTTTGATGATGTCGGCAATAGTGACGGCCGCGTTCCCGGCCTCGCTGACGAGCAACGCTATGCGGGCCAGTGCCGTCGCGCTGCCCACCAGGGGGCCCAGTGCTTCGCCGACAAAGGGGAGGGCCATGAAAACGAAGGTGAGGATCTTGAATATCAGCTCGCGCTTCTTCTCTTCCATGACTCGCTCGCCAATATCCTTGATGTCCTTCATGCTGTCAATGGACTCGGCCAGCTGCAGCACCGGCATGGCGAAGGCAACGACGGCCTCGAGCTCCGGGACCTGGACGGTGGCGTCTTTGAAGATGTCGATGGCCACCTCGGCAAAGGTCGACAAGAGCGTCTCCTGCAGCGTTGTGATGTTCGTCCAAGCGTTTTCAATCATCTCCTTCGGGTTCGCCACCACGATGTCGTCGTCCGAGGCCTTGACCGGCACGTTGAGCCGGCGCCGGTAGATGCGGCGGCAGACTGGCATATTCCCGTTCCCGTAGGGCCGCCGAGGCATGTCTTCGGCCTCGGCGGCGCAGTCGTAGTCCTTACCCCTGTCGCCCCAGGCTATCCAGTCTTTGTCGATGCCCAGAGTCGCTGCCACGTCGTCGTAGAAGCCGTCCTCGTCCGTCAGCTCGTACTCGACGCTAAACGTCTCTTCCAGCTCCCAGAAGTGCGGCACGCCTGTGCAGGGGCTGGTGCCGCTCCTGCTACCGGCCTCCCAGTGGCAGGTGAAAAACTGATTGCCGGGCCCGTCGCCAAAGCGCATGTAGTCGTCCAGCTTGGGGTCAACGAGCTCCTTGACCCATTCCTCGTAGTACTTGAACTTGTCGTCGTAGCCGTGCGAGTTCTCGTCGAAGAGGGACAGGCTCTCGAGGAGCATATTGTAGAGCGTATCTAGAGTGAAGTAACTGAGGCAGCGGTCGTCGAAATCGTCGATGGCGTCGGCGATGCCCTCAAGCGTTCCGGGATTGTCCCCGTCGAGGCAGCCATAGCCGTCGCCGTCGCCATCGTCTTCCTCGGTGTCGTAGTCGTCGTAGAGAGGCTCTCCGCTGGTATCAGTATCTCCACCCGTGTCCTCGGTTGCAAAGGTCTCGAGGTCAATGGCCCAGTCTGAGGAGCCGGCGAAGTTGAGTGTCTGAATCCATTTGATGCGCTCCGCTTTAGTGTCTCCGTCCATGTAAGCGACCCAGTCGACTGCCCCGTTATTTCCATATTCGAGGATATTGGAGGCGGAACTTCCATCTATATAGGTCTTTACAATAGAGTATTTACCATGGTTGTTGATGATCTCGGTAATCTCGGCGTTCGAGATGTATCCGGCCGTGCTAGTGCAGCGTCCCTTATACGCCCTCGAGTCCAGCTTTCCGCCAAGGAACGTGCACATTGCATCTTCGCAGTTCTGATCTGCCATGCGGAAGCTTCGGCCGTAGCTTGTCACGCCCACGGCAATCTTGGTGGACTTGACGCCAGCCTTGGTCAGCATGGCGAGGGCGTTGTAGGTCTCGGTCTTATTGACGTGAGAGCGGAGGCAGTTGCCGCCTTCACAGCTGGGAATGGCCCACTTGTTGTCCACATCTATCACTCGCTGTTAGACATTGACTTGATGCTCAGTAAGATCAAACATACCCCATTGGCCGTGCAAATCATATGTCATGTAGATGAAATAGTCGACCTATTTGGCCATGTCCTTGACGGGGTATGCCTGCAAGTACCAGAATGATGCGGGGATGGCAATTGAAATGCTCTTGTCTTTTGGGAGCCTGGACTTGAGAAGAGACAGAAAATCAAGATAGTTGTCTCCCTCATTAGCACTGCCAGGAGGAACGTCTGGGATATCAGGTGCCTGTCGAAGCCAATGTCAGCATATTACCGTCACTATGTAGTTGGAGAGATCAACTTACACCTGGATATTCCCAATCAAAGTCAAAGCCATCAATATTTTGCTAATACAAAAAGAGTCAGCCCATACCAAGTCCCACAAGAGCGTCTATACAATCATGATACACACCTTCTTCATAAAGTTGACGAGATTATTCACAAAAATCCCCCTGTATGTCGACGTAGTTGCTTGGCGAAATCTCTGAAAAGTATCAGATCCCGTCGAAAAGTCCCATCCCCCAAAAGAGAGAATCCTCTTGTATTCGCCCTCCTTGAATGCACTGAACTCGTTTTCGTAGTCAGAGATGTCGACGTCAAACTCCTCCGTGACCGTCGCAAAGGCAAAGTGCACGTGTGTGAAGTTGTTTTTGGGGATGCTTTTGGGATGCATTGCCAAGCAGTCGCGGTCGTAGCTGAACGCCTCGTAGTAGCCGATCCTCTTGAACGAGTCTGGGGCTTCGTCGTTATTCACGACGTCTGAGCCGCAGTGAGAGATGCAGCCATTTGTGAAGGGCTTGGCTGTTCCGGGGGCTCCCGTGTCTGCCGGAGAGGGGACACAGAAATCATCTGTCGTTCCGCAGAAGCCCCAGACGTTGCAACAAGCGTTGAGGGGGCATGGATTCAGGTCTGCAAGAGAAGTACCGTCGGTCGGCTTCTTTGTGCCTGGAACTAGGGGTCCACAGGTAGCGTCCGCGACTGCTGCGGGCATGGGGGGATCTCCTGTGCTCAGACAGATAAGCTGCCTGACCTGGAGATTTGCATCACAGCCGGCCCAGCCCCAGGTCTTCTTGTTGAATGACTCAATGTTGGCCTCCGTGATGCCGAAGGAGCTTGCGATGGAGAAGCATCCGTCCTGTGCGGCGATCTTGTAGCTGTGGCAGCTGCCGTCAGGGTTGGGCTTGGGGCGCATGTCGGGCAGAGTCCCGGCGCTACAGCAGTAGTATTGGTTTGGCTTGGAGCAAAAGTTTGCCTGAGGGTTGAACTTGGTGAGGTCGGCGCTGGAGATGCCGCAGCGGGTCGCCAGGTCGGCACAGCCATCTCCGAACTTGACCTGCTGGGTCTTGCAGTCTGCCCTGGCATAGACACTGCGTAGCCCTTTGACTCCCAGTGTGGAATTGCTATGAAGCGGATTGATTGTGGTATTTGTGCTGATTGTTGAGACGATAATATCCATGTTCATGTCGGTGGAGGGAGTCGAGCCACTGAGGCAAAGGCCGTTTGTCCAGCTCTTTACCGCAGCTTGGACGACGCCGAGATCAGGAAAGCTCGCAGCATAGACACCAAACGTCAAGGCTGCCTTTTCAGTCTTGCAAATTTGAAAAGCAGTGCCACCATGCTGCGCTTGATCATGGAAAGTCGACAGCATCGCAGAGACGGAGCTCTGCGCTACTTCAGCTCCTGAATAGAGGCCAACCACAGCAGAGTTTGACTTGGCAAACATGATGGTGGTGCCACACTGAGAGGCTTTTTGCAAAAACGTTGTGAGATGGCGGGTGGCTAACAGGACGTCCGTTGCGTTTGGTTTCGACCCAGATCCCGGGTGGGACACGCTCCCGTCAACCTCAGGATTCACAGAAGACTTGACTGTCTTGCCGCCGCAGTTGTTTGAAATGGTGAGATTTCCATGGTCAACTCGACTACCATCGTCTTGCAGCGGAGGCAGAGACTTTGTGTTGTATTTCTCTTGACCAGTGGACACGCAGGCCCGAATGGTGAGGATGGTCTGAGGGTCGTCGACCAAGGCTTGAACGTTGACATCAAAGATGATGGGTAGATGGCAAGTCTTAAGTTCCCTCAGATGGTGGACGTACGTCCAGTTGGAAGGGTTTGGACCAGCGTCATTGCAAAGGCTAGGACATTCTTCCGCGTACTGACCGTTATAGGTGGTTGTGATAGCGCGACACAGAGAGACGAGGTGGCCCAGGGCGGCCCAGAAGGCAACTGAGCGCCGCATGGATAAGCAGACTCTACCACAGAGTAGCTGAGTGCAAACTTAGTTGAGGACAGAGACTCACAAGGAATAGGGAGAACGAAAGGCTGCAATATAGTACCTCCGTGGTTGACTGCCTCTGGAAGTTGAGAGTGGCAGTCCCGTGACTCTGGGCTCATCGGAGCCGATATGTTCCATAGTATCTATATCCGCCGCCTCTGTATGTCCCGTTGAGCCTGGTATCGACCCTCGACTCTTGGCATTTTATGCTATTGGTAAGCATTGTGAGCGATATTGTGATATAGCCGCCCGGAAGCTTATGGTGTTGAACAGCCAGACAACCGAGGAGATTGGCTACGCCTGCCTGGGCAGATACGGCACCCACCCTAGATGCAACATCATACGGCCCCATAGCGGGTTCATGCAAGGCGTCTTTGGGTCCTTAAAGCCAGTCCGACAAGCTTAAGCCGATGCTTTGTTTTAGCCATAAAAACCTTCAACGGATATGCAGGGATCTCTTGTTGTTGGTTCTGTGTGGGGAGGTGGTCAGGGATCCGAATCCCTGAACCATGACGCTCGCAAATTTCCCTTTTGGGCAGTGCTTGAGCTTCCCTTGGGATCTTTTGCCCATGCGAGCCGAGATGTGGTCAATATTTCCGGGTTACAAACACGCTCGTTATCAAACTCGCCTACATAGGAAAAGGTGCCCTTTATTCATGTTATCACGCGTTCCTTTGCCATTCTCACCTTGGGTCCCTTGTCCTGAACCTCTACCTTTCATTGCCAAACATCTGACTTCATGGTCTGCGTCACCACCAAATACAATGCCTGGCAGCCCGTTCACGACTCCTGCCTTTCTGGACAATGGCGAGTTCTTCATGGATCAGGGCAACGTCATCCAGATGAACTGGCCAAACGTGTCTGATGCTTTTTCCACGCACGTGCCATGGCCTCTGCTAGCTTCCCCGGCTGGGATTGGACTCGGCCCTGGCCGGGAGGCGACATCGTCGACGGCCATTCTGTGTATCTCACAGTCGCGCCAGAGGTTCTCACGGACCCAGCAGTCGTGGTGGATGCGACGACGGTGCTGTCTTCGTTGACGTTTGGCATCCCCGACAGCATGATTTCCGGCGGAAAGGCGCTTCCCATGGACCCTTCCTGGTACATTTGCCGTCACGTCTTTATCACGACGAAGCCTGAGGCGAAGAAGTCTGCTGATGGGGGCGACGGCTGCGGCTTTCTTGAGCAGACTTGTCTGGACGACCTCGAGTCCATTTTGAGCAACGACTGGGGAAAGACGGATAACAACACCATGTGCGCCCAGTTGGCTTTTGATACATTGCCCGAGAGCTGCGGCAGCTCATTTGGATACGCGCGTCAGGATTCTTGGTGTAAGTCTCAACACAGCTGGAAGAGATGATATTGGAAGCGTTTCTGACAAGACTGCATAACAGATGCCGATAACACGGTGATAGCGAACTCTGGCCTGGGACCTCTCGAGACGAGCCCCAGGGAGCAGCAGTACAGCTGGCGTATTGGCACCGGGTATCATTCTCCCTATGATCCCATTCCCTATGAAATCGCCGCCAACAGGACCTATCTCGTGGCCACAGCCTGGGGCTATAGCAAAAAGCTAGATGCCAGTGCTAGGAAGACACCCAAAGTCACCTGGGCCTGCATCTCGTCTGGAGACGCCTATGTGCCTCCTCCTCCGCCGCCGCCGCCGCCGCCGCCGCCTTCGTCGACTACTACCACGACTCCCAGCAAGCCAACCTCAACTCCTACAGCAATTTCCAGCACAGACGCCTACTACGATGATTTTACCGCTGGCTTGAAGCAGTGGACTACATACGGTGACTCATTCAGCTCAGATTCTAGGCGGCTTATTGCAGACTATTCCCTTGGCGACAAAGCCTTGCTCAAAAGCAGCTACTCCAACTTCACGTTCGAAGCCGAAATTACCTTGCCCGGTGACTCGGGCAATGCAGGTCTCATCTTTCGCGTCTCGAATCCTAGCGATGGTGCGGATGCTTACAAGGGCTACTACGCCGGCATCAGCACGGAGAACAACGTCGTTCTGGGACGTGCATCCAATGATTGGACGCAAATCAGCCTCGTTGACATTGATATTGCGGCCAACAAGGCTCATCATCTCAAGGTCAAGGTCCGGGAGAACAAAATCGACGTCTATGTCAATGACATGACCAAAGCATTGATCAGCGCGACAGACAGCACTTATACCAGTGGCATGGACGGCGTGCGTCTCTATGACACAGGCGCGACGTTTGACAATGTGCAGATCTTTCCGCTGGCCTTCAAAGATGACTTCGCCTCGGGCTCGATGGACAAGTGGATTCACTATGGAGGCGACTATGCGACCAAGAATGCCGCGCTAGTTGGCCAGGCGTCATCTGGTGGCAAGGCGTTGATCCGCAATACGCTGTACAGCGACTTTGTTTACGAGGCGGACGTGACCATCTGGGATGAGAATGGTGATGCTGGGCTTGTCTTCCGGGCTTCCAGTCCGTATGATGGAACGGATGGCTACTACGGCTATTACGCTGGTTTCGGCAACGGCTATATTGTTTTGGGCCGTTCTGATAACGGTTGGAATGAGCTGGCCAATATCAGCGCATCGATCCAGCATGGCACTGCTCACCATATTATGGTGCGGGCCAGGCAGAGCTCTTTGTCCATCTTTGTGGACGACATGAACGAGCCGAAAATTGAGACGGGGGATGACACGTATCTTACGGGCTTGAACGGCGTGAGGGTGTATGGAACCAAGACGACGTTTGACAATGTGGTCATTTACACCATGTAGAATACGTAGACGGGGGTTTCTGTATGAATTTCACTTTCTATATTTTATTGTAGCCTCTGGACTATTGTATCTAACGCTGATTGCGAAGTAAATTGTTGTATGTGTTGAGTTGTTTTAAATGTCTAAGCTTATCCCAAGCTTACCCCAGCCGTAGCTAACATGCTAGAACCCTTTAGTTCCCGTCTTCCCGTGAAGCCACCGCTAATCTCTACTGAGAAAACGCCGCCCAGCTGCCATCGAATTGAGCTCTTACATGCCACCCACTTTCTACAACCAAATCCCCATTTCCCGTAGTAAGCCCTCGGTGAAACAGCAATTTATCCGGCAAGCGTAGACTTGAAGGTTCAACCATGGCCTGCAGCGCGACGTCCCGCCCCCCGCCCCCTGTCGGCCACTTCCTCTTTTCACCTAGTCGCATACAGCTTCTGTTGTTGGTTGCGGCACCCTTTCTTTTCTAGCGAACTGGACCCCTGGAAAGAGTGGAATATTTACATAAACCACGCAGCCAGAGCTCTAGAACTGACAACTGTAACTCTATGTTGGGCCGCTCCATGAGGATCAAAAGTTCTCTGCTTCATTCTGTTTACCGGATACAAGATTTATATCCGAGCCTTACGTGAAGTTATTGGCTTGTGGCCCTTGTAAATTTTCCCTTGAATTACTCTGGCATAATGTAAAGTAACTACGTATTTATAATATTACGCGCCTGGTATAATACAATAAGCTGTAAAAGGAAGGACTCCCTAAGCCAAGAGCCCGGAATCCCTGGAACTGATAAAGGTAACCCTATGTTAGGCCGCTCCATGAAGAATCAAAAGTTCTCTGCTTCATTCCGTTTATCCGATATAGGATTTATGTCTGAGCCTTACGTGAAGTTATTGACTTGTGGCACTTGGAAATTTTCACTCGAATCGGTCTGTCGTCTGCTCCAACAAAAATCAAGATCGTTCGCTATGCAATTGGCTCATTGAGCCCTACCAGCATTCATTCTACGGCTTTGTATTGACATCGCCGCTGTCTTCTCGAACGAAACTCGTTATACGTGGGTTTCATCATGGGTCTACCCAGCCTCTTGCTTTTCTGGCCTTTGGCCCTCCTATGTCTGTCTGGCGTTCTCGCCAACCAAGACTCTTCAAAGTACGAATTGATTTTGTACTGGCGCCTCAGGCAGTTCATGATTGACGCTGTCGGAGAAAAAGAAAATGTTGTCGTACCGCTATGCGAGAGCCCATGCGACTTCAAAGATTTCATGAAAGCAGTCACTGTCAAGAGGAAAGGGCCCAAGCTGAAGGAACCGGACGGCATAACCAACCGTAAAGACGCCAAAGGGAGAACACTCTATCAGTGGTACCCAGACTACGATAAAGACTTCAGCGTTTTCACCGACGATCTGTTTAGCGATCCCGAGGAGGCTACCAAGAAGCTTGACGATGTTCAATTCACCGGGCAGTTCAAGAAAAGAACACAGTTCGAGGGCGCAGACAGCTTCGATGATATCGTATCAAGTATCACAGACGTCATTAAAAAATTCCAAGCCGCCCTCGTCGCGGACGGGAGGGACCCCAACGGCGGGTGGTTCAACGAGATCAAGAATCTGATCTCAATCGCAGCCAATGGGCGTCGCTACAACCGGGCGATACACCTGACCCAGGAATTCAGAGACTGGCTAGACGAAAACCCAACGCTCAGGTCCGTGAACGTGCAAATGACCGGTTTGATCCATCGTGCGCCAGACTTTGACTACAGGAAGGTGGATCTTCATGCGACATATGATGCAAACCGGGCCGTGGTAGGGATAGAGGAGTGGGAAACCCCGATCAAGATCTTTGCTGTAATTCAGAACTCAAAGGGCAGTGCTCTAGGCCATGTGAATTGTATCCGCTTACTTGAGAAGCTTGAGAAGAGACTGAACGCTGGATGCAAGTAAACAGCTTGCCTACCCCGAAACGAGAGGTGGTTATTCATTCACAAATGGGCGTCTCCTCACCCCAGCAAAAAAGTTATATTCAGCCTACAAAGATACTTCATCTTAGTTAATATAGTAGTTACTTTAAGTGTAATTTACTAGCACCAATAGTTGTTTCACTCTTTCATCTAAGACCTGATATTCAAATGATTGTCTCTTCAACTAAGTTTAAATATCATCAAGGTTGGCTATAATCACCTTCAGAGACTCTCATAACAGTTAACTTCAAAATAATCATCTCGTCGAGCAATCGGACGCTGGACAGAAGGCACCATGCCCACATTCCCATCCACATCGCAGTCGTCGGTACAAAGCATGAACAGGATTTTAGGTGTAACTCGTGGTAGCTCTTTCTTGGCCTGTGTAACCCAAGGATTGTCATCGTCGAATCGATTCACGTAGTTTTCACCGTCGCCCATGTAGACCAACCGCCGGCCGTCTGGAAACTCCTCAATAATTGGATTCCAGGCTGAAAATGGATCTCCATCAAAGGGTATGCAGTTTTCCCAGTTCATCTTTGCGCGCAGCCATGCAGTTGCCATCATGAGCCAGTCCACCTTTTCCATCCAGTCTTGTACGCGAGATCGAAAGATGGGCGACAGAATGAGAGAAAATAGTTTGATGACTTCAGTTCTTTTGCGGCTGTGAATGTCTCTCTTAAAGAGGGCGTGGAAAGATCTGATGTTTTGCTCATCGTCAAAATCCACTAGTTGAACTGGTGCATCAAGCAGCAGGCCAAAGAGGCCCGACGCGACGGCGTGCCTTTTTTCGGCATGTATAGTGATGAAGGCCATGGTAGCGGATAGGGAGATGTGTGTAAAGGGCCTCGGACCATAGTAAGCGTACTCGTTATAAACCACGTTTAAATCTTCATCTACAAAGTCGTCTCTGATTTCAACGCGCGGAAGCCGGCGCATCCTGGAGACGTCTTGCAATCCCAAGTCAAAATCGAGGTAGTACTCGGAAGGTATTGATAACGGGATTGTGTCGAGCCAATTTAATCCGTCCTTGATAAACTCGTCAACCAGCTCTTTCTCCAACCCGCCCTCCCAAATTGCCTCAGCTGCCTCAGACGTAACGTTAAGATGATAAGTGTCCAAACGAGGCTGAATCCATATAGGCCCTAGGTTCCAGCTATAGTTCTGCGAGACCATCTTGCCCCAGCGCATAGCGACCTGTCTTGATTCGCGACAGACTGAGGCAATGCGTGGCGGAGCAGCATTCTTGAGAGATGGCCGCACAGACCAACATTTGTGCTCCTTACGGAGGCGCTGAACTTCGTCATAAGGATCGTCTCTCTGGACAACTCGATGAGGCAGACAATAAAACCAGATAGCCAGGCGAAGCTCCACTGGCAAGAGTGTGAACTGGGGGAATGCGGTCGACTGTATTTCCATAGTGAAACAAAAGAAATTGCTGTTGTGCTTGATTAGAGTGCGTTTATAAGTGTATAGTAAAAGGGGAAGAGATTAATGGGACATATACATAGAAAAGCAATCTCTTTAAGCGCCTTAGTAAACTTAGCTAAGCATTTTTGGCGCCCAATAGGTACCTATGCACAGGGGGGTAATTTATGGATAGTGTATGATGTTTGCACTGGAATAGTTTATTTGCAGTCAAAACACTATTGTAAAATACGTATAGTTATTTTCAAAGTATTAATTTTTTTACTTAAGTAGCTCTGTTTTTCTGCTTTCTTTCAAGGGCGGCAAGAAGAGGCGATGGAAAGTTTTGCCGATATTGCATGGCGGGAAATCCATGAAAGGGTCTTCAGTGAGGACGGCTTTCTAAGCCACCATGTTTTCCAAGCCACAAGCATGCTGGCTGTTCTGGATTTTACAGGTCGGTCCTTGAGCCGCACCCTTCTTGCCAACATGTGTTTCATCGTGAACAAAAGCTGACTTAGTACGTGGTTGGAAAAACAGCTGGTAGGAACAACCGTGGATGGATGAAAGTAGGCCTTGCGATTCGGTTTGCTCAGGTTCTGAACCTCTCAGCAGAACCGGACCCTACACTGCCAGTCTAGTCACAGGATGGATATCGAGGAACCTTATGGTCTGTCTATCTGTTGGATCGCTTCGTGTCGTGTGGCCCTCAGCGCACTCCGACCATACAGGACGCTGACTGCACTATCAAACTTGGCCTTGACCTTGCTCATTACGACGGGACTTCTGGGCCTGCATTAATTACAATGGGGGATCCGGTTGCAACGCCAGGATCTGCTGCTGAGGTAGGCCAGGCGGGCTATCTATGCATTATGGTATCAAAATTGGGTCGGATTCAAAAGTATTGCCTTCGTTCATCGGACCAGCAGTGCACGTATCCGCCCTGAGACTCTCGCAGCGAGTTTGCATCTATTCGCAGAGCCTTGATGACGTTCGAAGCATATTTGCCACTAGTCTAGGGCGATTTCGATCAAGACAGAATACAACTGAGCCCAACTCAAGAGGTTTCGAGTTTTATTTGCTTTTCGTATGTGCTTTACTTTACTAACCGGTGTCTGCTGCTTCACCCTTTTGTCTTTCAGCAAAGTATCCATCGTCCTTAAAAGCGTCTGCACCCGCCACTTGGACATAAGCAAGTGGGAGTCCAGAGAAGTCATCTGCGGAGAGCGGGGATATGCGGAGATCTGTTGGCACAGAGCTGTACTATTTGAGATATTACATGATAGCCTCAGCTGATAGGATCGGGACTTTGGCATTCTCCCGGTAACTACTAAATTTGAGATCTACCGGCTGTGTTGCAGGATGCATTATTATCGGGACAAGGAGGATTTGCCCTTGAAAATCATGCTTGACTAGTTTGTCGCGGTGTGTGAGTGCAGTAGCCTAAATAATTGATCAATAGATTTCTTCCATGATCATATTACGGCTGAGCGCTTATAATATTGGCTCCTTCGCTGAGATCACCAATAATTACATGATCTTGACTGCCACCAAGAGCCTCCAAATTGTCAAAGACCTCAAGAAGGAGTCAGTCACATTTCTGATTTTGCTGGATGTCGCCATTCTTACCCAAAGATTAGCGGCACAGACATCCTCCACACCAGTTGGAAATTTGTTGCCAGGCACCCTGAATTCTGCGATTAGCCTCTCCTTATTACTGAGGTAATCTGTTCCTTACACTCCCATTAGTCAACACTACTAATAGTGACGTTGTTCCCTTTGCACATGGCTCGCCAGAAAACATTTTCGGTGTCAAGATCGCCTATTACCCATCCACCTCCATGCACACTCCAAAATTTAGAATGAGCACAACTGAAAGATGTAGAATAAAGGGGCAAGTCCCACTATAATGATTGTGTCTTTTTGTAGAGCGAACATCTAGTCTATAGATGCGAACCTGCTTTTGATACCCCGTCGTAGCCGGTCACAGGAATTTGCTGGATAGAAAAGCCATCGGTCACGGATTTGTCTGGCTTTCCTTCAAATGCTTTGCGAAATTTAACGGGATCACCTGCAACTGGAATAGGAGAAACCTCCAACAGACGTTAGATACCAGGCCGCGAATCGTCATCCAAAACACCTCACAGCATACCCCTGTCCATTCGGCACTAAGCTACCCTAGGCCTGATTGGCGGTAAGATGTTGACACCATAATTAGAGTGCACTCAAGTGAATTGAAGTCATTCAATGAAGAAAATGGATCACGATGCTTCAGCATATTATATAATCCTGGTAATATTATTCTTCTACCTGAAGATGCCTTAGTACGCCGAGAAACGGTCCACGGTGGAGACGGCATCACCACTGCAGAGGTTTACTAATATACATCTCTGTGCAATACAAAAGTCAGACTCTTTAGTTAGCAATTCCGTAAAAGGCGCTTATGTTGCCTGGTCTAGACCCTTGAAGAGCAGGTGTCGTTGAACCTGTTCTATCCGTCGCGCGCCGTACGGAGCGCAAAAATAGCACTCACAAACGTTAACCCATGGCACAAGGTGGAGGGAATAAAGTCAAACTTCCACCGCATGTTGTGCACTAGTATAACATCTTCTCCCTACGGGGATCAATATGAGAGCCGCCAGAATATGTACGGACGTACCCACTTCCCCGGACCAGAAATTGGGTCTGGGTCGGGGTTAGCGGCGCTTTAGTTTTGTTTTTCATGTTTATATCGGACTACGGATACACATAGAAACACGGAAAAGACAATTCCGTAGTTCATTTCGTACTAGCGTAGTCAAAAGATATAGACACTGGCTTATTACCCAGGTAGACACGTAGTATGGAGAAACACCCGGTGATGGCGGCACAGCCTAGAGAGAAGCCCATTAGTCGCCGTAGAGCAAAGCCTTATGTTGCAGATTCATTTTCCTTATAGAGCGAGATCATGCTTTCGTTTTCAAGAGTCTCCTGACAGCCGTCTCGCAGCATCGCATTGGGCTAGTTAAGAAAGAATCGCAACAGCATCTCTTCGACATTAATTATTCGTTCCTGTCAGTCATGGAGGTCACAGAGGAAACCAAAACCACCATAACATATGAGCATGAGGACCACAAGGCGTCGGATGTGCCTGGCGCGGACGCTGGATTTGCCATTGCAACGACTCTGCGAGAGGCTCACGCGGTTCCGAATCCATGGGCCTGGGGTCACGTCCAGCTGTACCTCGTGTGTGCCATTGTCTACTTGTGCTCTACTATGAACGGTGAGTCCTGTTACCTATGAAAGTAGGAGACAAAAGTTTCCACAAAAAAGATAGAAAGACTAACAGACTGGGCGAAGGTTACGATGGCTCCCTCATGGGCTCGATCAACATTATGCCCGAATACCAGGACTACTACCATCTTGGACCGAATGGCTCAGCAGGCACGGGCCTTGTGTTTTCAATCTTCAACATTGGTCAGATGATCGGTGCCCTGTTCACCTGGTGCAACGATTGGCGCGGCCGGAAGTTCATGGTCATCTTCGGGTGCGTTGGCGTTGTGGCCTGCGCCATCTTTACGGCAACCGCTCCCACTCTAGGCAGCTTCATCGGCGCCCGATTCCTCCTCAGCTTCTTCTCAACCTTGGCTAGCTCTGCTGCACCACTGTTGCTCGTAGAGGTAGCTCCGCCACTGCAACGTGGTTCCGTTGCAGGAGGATACAACACCTTGTACTATATGGGCAGCATCATCGCCACCTTTAGTAAGTTACTACCATTACCAGGGAAGTAAGCTCAGGTATGGTTTTGCTAATATTAGAAAAAAGCCATATACGGTTGCAACCTCCATCTTGGCGGCAACATCAAGTGGCGCCTGTCCCTGTGGCTGCAGGCCGTCTGCCCTGGCCTCGTCGTCCTCGGCGCCTGGTTTATCCCGGAAAGCCCACGATGGCTTATCGCAAAGGGCCGTCACGAAGAAGCACGGGCATTCCTAGTAAGGCATCATGCCAACGGTGACCCAAACCACCCTATCGTGGCTGTAGAGATGCGTGAAATCGAGGAGTCCCTGAGCAGGGGTGGCATCCGTGCGGCCCGCGACTATTTCAACATCAAGGCGCTATTCAAGTCACGCTCGAGGCGATACCGGATGCTGCTCGTCATTTCGTGGTCCTGGTTCATGCAGTTCTCTGGAAACAACGTCGCCAGTTACTACCTCCCCACAATGATCAAGGCTGTGGGCATCACTTCTGTCCCAATGGCCCAGCTCCTTAATGGTATCTACGCCGTGACGGGATGGATTGCGGCGAGCATCGGAGCGCGCTGCCACGATGTGGTTGGAAGACGCAAGATGTTCCTATTCTCGACAGGAGGCATGGTTATCTGCCTCGCCATCATCACAGGCGCAACTGCCAGGTACCAAATCGCGCACGATGTCCACGCTAGCTCTGCAATGATCGCGTTCATCTTCATTTTCGGCGTCGTGTTTGCCGTAGGGTATACTCCCATGCAGCCTGTGTATTCCCCTGAGATTTTAGCAAGTATGGCACCACTATTTGTCTACTTCTTCTTACGCTTAGCAAAGTCTCGATGATCACTGGCTAACAAGGACACGTATCTAGATGACATGAGAGCCAACGGCGTTATGGTTTCCTCCATTACCTCCGGCTGTGCTGGATTTGTAAACACCTTTGCCGCCCCTCTTGCGATGCAAAACATCACATACTGGTTGTAAGTCGCCGTCATTTTACCCCTGCTTAGTAGTTCACCATACATTGTACTTGGCCATGGCGCACATCGGCTAATTTCGGCAGCTACGCGTTCTTTGTCTTCTGGGACATCTTTGAGTTCATCTTTATCTACTTCTTCTTTGTTGAGACCAAGGGTCGCACGCTTGAGGAGCTGGATGCCGTGTTCGACTCCTCCAACCCCCGCAAGGCGAGCACGAAGCAAATCATTCCCCACGATGCATCTGGCGACTCCAACTCAGTGTAACTTATAGTTGGCAGTCAAGGGCCAGCTCGAAAATAGCGTAGAGGGGTTTCAGCTGCTTCTCAAGTTTTACAGATATGTAGCTATAGGTGTTGGGTGTAAACATAACGCTTATAATTCGTGAGTTGTAGCTAAAATGAACTTTTACTTGTCTCTTCATTCATTCGTGGAAATGTTTCATTCACAGTCTCGGCATGAGATTTGTAAATTTTCAACCTTTTCCTCCCCAAGTATAGTAGCCACAAGGGAGTCGTGGATCACATTAAAGCGTTACATAGTACATTGAAGCGTTACATAGTGTTCTGCCCCCAGAACGGGTCGAGCATGTCGAAAGAGTCAATTTTCATCGAGCCGCCCATCGCAGCGTCTTGTTCATAGCCCAGAAACCCAAAGTTGAGCCCAAAGTTAAAATCCAGCGCCTCCTGTATCGGGATGCTGCCAAACGCGGCAGTCCTCTGTGCCATGTCTCCGCCCACTGCTCTCGTCATGTTACCATCGTCAAGTAGTTGTTCGGAATTGCCATTGTTACTGGCGGCAGGTATGGCGTCAGGACCACCGTACATGAAAGAAGTGCTGCGAGCAGGATCATTCTCGTCTGTAACGTTCACCTTGGCACCTTGTGTAGCTGCTTCGAAGACGCGGCCTATCAAGGCGGAGCTGCGGTTGGCAGTTAACGACCAGGGCTTCATGGCTTCAAGGAGGCTTAAGACCATAGGAATTGCGCGACGACAGGGCTCTAGGACTGTCTCGTTTGGCATGTTTCTCGGGTTCCACAGGAGGATAAGTAGAGGAACCATTGAGGCCTGATGCAGATACCAGGCAGCCTTCCATCCAGCTATTCGACTGGGCGTCCACTCCCGTTCGACATCTTCCACCGTCGCAATCGCAAGCGCCAGACACATCTTTACCGCGGCCGCATCGTCAGGGCTGCAATCTTCCCAGTCGCTGCATCCGCTGTTCGCCAGGAAGAGAAGCACCGGCCGGTGCAGTAGCATGCGTAGGTCCTGATAACGCCACTTCATGAGGCTCTGCGTGAAGCGCCACGGTGCCTCATCGCCCACAGCGTCCTGGTAGCTCGCATTGTCTCTGCTAAGTTTCTGGGTGCTTCTGGTCCGTGATGATGGCCACGATTGCGACAGGTGCCAAGCAGCAAGCTGGCTGTCGATGTCTTGCCGCAGGGCCGTGGTTATGATAGGCGATACGGCGAATGCGTCCTGAACTCGCGTAGCAATCTTAGCAAACTTGACGCCTTCGGCAAGCTGTCGCAGAAGCTCGGCATCGCTGGTCTGGTCTGTTTCATCCTCTGTTGATTCGGCCTCAACTACTCTCCGTCCATCGTCGCCGACCTCCTTATGAACGTAAGAGTCATTCTCGGCCACTCCCCCGTCAGGGATTACTATATTCGTCGCCAATTCCCAGCGTCCAAAAGACGGCCGCCCGGTCAGCATGGTAGCCCATGTATCTACGCAGAAAAGAGTCCACCATGTACGACGTCGCGTCTCCAGAGCCTTTTGCAAGGCTGGCGGGATAGAAGACGTCGGAGGGGCCGTCAAAGCTTCCTTGTGTAGTCCCAGGGCGCCAGCCATGCGGATCGCAGCTCCAAGGACACCATACGCCATGTTAGGACGGTTCACGTAGTGCAGATACTCTCCGCCCATCAGCGCTAAGGTCTGCACTGTTTCGATGTGGGAGCTGCCAAGGGCAGTTAGGGGCAGCAATGAGACAGCCCTCTCGTAGTAGGTGGCGTGTTCGGCCTCCTGGTCGTCCGACCTTGCTGCGGCGACGCTGCCGAGAGCGAGAACCATGTTCGCCAACGCTTGCCAGGGCTCGTCTTCCCGACTCTTCGCACCGGCGAACTCGGCTCGGAAGATCGGCTCGTCCAGCATGGGCATGTACATGTGGAACGTCCGAAAGTACGCGTCGACCAGCGCCTGACCCCGACGCGACCAGGCCACTCGCGTGGAGAGCGCTGGCTTAGAAAGCTGTTGCTGTGATAGTGTCCGCGCCTGGGATGGGCGACGTGGCCGCACAGAGTCCGATGTCGAGCTATAGCGCCTATCACTGTTGCTGGCATCGTTTTCATCTCGCATTGGTAGGTGTACCAGAGGTCTTCGGGGGAGACTTGGCGCAGAATCGGGGGCCATCTCCTGTCTTAGTGAAGGGCGTAGTTTCAACATGACAAGTAGAGCAGCTCGTATAGACGATATACCCAAGTAAGATACCTGGCGGTCTAGAGCAAAGGAGAGCGCATTGACATCATCAGCCTCTGCCGGCACATGCTCCTGCTCCCGTTCGCGCCGCTCCTCGTCCCATTCTGCGTCAGGCGTAGGAACCGGCTCCAGGATTGTCAAATCGCCATCGTTAGATCGCAACGAAGCTACTGTGCTTGCTGCGGCCAAGGAGCCTGGTTGCGAGGGAGTAGCAGACAGTGGTGAGCGAGCTGCCCTGGCCTTTGGCTTTGGAGACTCGCCCCTCATTGGAGACGTGTAGATATCATTAAGAGGTGATGGATTTCGAAATGCCTCCGGCCGTGCGCCGTTGTGCGCCTCTGCCGCACTGCGTTGGTCCAGGCGAAGCAGAGCGATGAGATCCTCTCTCGACAACGGGAGCAGTTCCTGCACGTCGTGTATTGGAAATAGTCGCCGAAGTATGGAATGGCAGTCAGCCAAAGAGCTAGAGGCGTCTTCAAGGGCTCTCTTGGAGGGCATTACGCGTGGCCGAGGCGTGATGTAGTAGCATCGTCTTCGACGTGCCCTCGAAGACGCCGAGGATGAGAGGCATGGTCCGCAGGGATAATTACCATCGCATCGGCTACAGACAGGTAAAAGGATTGAGCCACCGTCAGCATCTAGGATCGTAGCAAACATGGAGTAGGCAAAGACACTATATGCATAAATGAGAAAATGAACAAGAAAAGATCACTCACACCTTGCGCCTCTTGCACTCTGTGCAGGCGGTGGGGATGTGGCTCCTCTTGGGCGCGTATCTGTTTTCCGGCTGGACATCGCTGGCGATAGCAAAGGCATCGTTACTCGGCTCGAAGATCTGGAACGTGTGAAATGCACCGGGCCTTGATGGAGAGCCCGCCATCGTGACGAGCTGTCATGCATTGGCCGGAGATGTTTGACCGAGTCTGTGACAGGCCAAGGGAGGAGAGTTGCGAGGACTGATGAACAGCGAAATCGGAGAATTCGACGCGGCAGTCAATCGCAAACATGGACGCTAGGCTAGGGTCACTCTCGATCAAATGATGACGGCCTAGCTCCAGCGTAGGCCTGCGGTTTGCAGTGGCCGGCGAAGCTGTGAGGGAAGTATTGTTAAAAGTAGAGTGTGGGAATACGAGGTTGAAGCCATTACCCTGTACAAGTAATTACAAGTTTAAAAAATCTCCAAGTCACTGGGTCGAATGAATCACTATCGCTGCTGGCCACAGACGATAATAATCCGAGGTTAGTTAACACGTTGATGAGTATAGTACTTGAATCCACGCCAAGAAATATTACTTTAGATATAAATCTATTGATTCTATAAAGCACAACTTTTGCCACCCGCTGCTCATCTTTCTCTGGCAACCAGCTTTGCCCCCGCGGTGATAGCTCCAAGTAAGAACGAGACTGGGAAAACCAACTGCTTTTACCGGTTAGGGTTGGAGCGAGACGCTACACCAGCGGCCAAGGAAACATGGGTCTGGGGTCCTTTGAAACCTCTACTCAGAGTCCAGAACTAAGCGTCAAGAGGGGCATCACCCCCGCAGAGGCCAGCCAGACAGGATAGAGCAAAATAATAACCGAAAAACAACCTGTGTGGCCGACCATGTTTGGGCCTGCTATATTGAAATCGGCCTAGAATATGTAGAAGATCTATGTATGTAGGAGTAGGCAGCATTGCTCTCAGATTGGCTCCCTCTCTTCCCCGGATTCGATTGTTACATGGGGCGGTTTCTTTCCAGATGTGGACGGTGGCTTCTCCAAACTTCGGCCCCCCCCCCCCCCCCCCCCCCCCCCCCCCCC